AGTTCTAGCGAGTAATGCTCATACCAAGCACCTCTGGGACACCCCTGAACTTCCGTTCACCAACCTGTAAATTCTCGACTCAAAAGTCAAGAGGTCGAGCTGATGTGCAGCATCACCACAAACAGAGGTCATTGCTGCCACGTGACTCCGCCTACCAACTTCTCTGGATCTGGCGCGATCGAGATGAGCGTGGTCTGGGGCGGAACCTATCTTCGAGACGTCGCGGGCGCGGGGATCGTCATGGGCTGCGGTCCGCAAACGATCAGGGAGTACAAGCTTGCCCCGCCGGAGGAGGTATACGATGTTGAGGACGATTCGATCTTGACGACCGGCATTCAAGGGTGTGAGTTGCCATCAGTATAGCTGGGTCCATCTCGTTGACCGACAGACTTTGAGCGTATCCTGTCTCAGACATATCGAGGTTGGGAAGAAGTACCGGGGGAAGGCACGAGGCGGGTCTGGTCAGGTATCATTGGGTATTCTAGGGACAAGCTCCCCTTTGTTGGTCCAGTACCAGGGAGTGAGGGGCTCTTTGCAGCGGTGGCGTTCCATGGTCACGGTTAGTGCCTCTCCGCCGGAATACATTGACCATGCAGGGATGTCTCGCATATTGTGCTGTACCCGAGCGCTCGCTAAACAGATGATGGATCCTCAGCATCAGTGGGACGAGCGTCTCCCCCGGACTTTCGAAATCAGCTCGGAACGGATCAAGAGAGCGCTGGAAGCTCCGCCGATCAAACTTGCTGGACAAGGACTGCCGACCTCGGAAGTTGACCAGTAGACAGGTAGTCGGCGCATTCGTAAATGTCTCAATGTATAAGATCGATGAGCAATATGAGCGAACCAGTAAGCATTACAACGGGCCTAGTCAGCAATTGGTGGCCTCCAATCCCGCGCAGCCACCAGATGGTACTTGGTGATGGATGCGGAATCCGCAAGGTGATCAGTAGAAAAATAAGGATCAACGTGCACTGTAATGTCAGTATGGGTGTCACCGCATACGTCCACCTGATGAATGTACTCACTATTGACCCCTTCCCCTTGATCCCATCCCCCTTCCTCTTCCTCGCCAACCTCCGCGACCAAAAGTTCGGACATGTTCCGCCCTGCCTTGCCAATCTATCACCACCTTCCAAGCTGCCTCTCCGACCTCCACCCCTCTTTGCTGCCACGCCGCCTCTTCCAGTCCCTCCATCCGCAACATCCGCCCAATCACATCCAATGGCACGACTTTTCCCTCAAAGTCGCTGAACGGCTGCCAATACCGCTCGGGATCCGCACCGAGCGGCGTCATGTGACATGCGAGTGGCTTCTCCAGAGTGTTGAGGTAGGCGCCGTGAAGAAGCTCGTGCTCGCCGTGCCGGACCGACCAAATATAGGCGGCGGTAGCGGAAGGCCAATCGAGGACGCCAAAAGGCCCGTAGATGTATTCGCCTGTCTCGTCCCGATGATCCGGATGATCATTGGAAACAAGGTGGTGTATAGTCGCTAGCCGGGGTGTTCGGCGGAGCTGGGCGGCGAGGATAGGTATGATGCCGCTGGGGCCTTCTTGGGGTTTCAATTTGGCGTGGAAGGCTTGAAAGGGAAGGTACTCCAGGACTAGGACCTCCAGCGCGGGCAGATAATGCATGTCTCCAAACTAGATGATCAGCTCAATTTTTCTCCGTCTGAGGCAAGGACACACCATGATCCACCAGTAGAATTCGTTGTAGATACCCACACGCCGTAGTGAGGCCGAGCTTGACGTAGAGTGGTCAAAGACGGGCAACACTCTGGGAGGTTCGTTTCCATCCGCATCGAGAGTCCAGGCAAAATCTCGCAAGGAGGAGATGCCCTTGATGGCGGTGAGGAGCTGAGGATACGAGTGGTAGTGATTACCGCGAGGTTCTCGGTAGATGAATGACAGGTGCTCCAGGTGAGGGCTATGACTGAAGAGCTCGAGCATTGTCTTGAGCGGCTCGCCGTTCTCCCACGCCAGGGGACGGTCGTAGAATGACAGACGGAGGGACTTGATTTTGGTAGGAAGGAAGGGTATGGGCTGAGGGGTAGATCCGTCCTCCGTCTTGACGTCAAAGCGGAAGACGTGACTGAGCTCGAGGTCGAGGGTTGTGACGTTTGGCGCGGAGTTGCACATGGTGCTGATGAAGGAGGGGAAGCGCACCGTGTCGTTCCCGAGCTGAAGGTACGTCAATGCACTGAACGTAATCCCCGCATCCAGGAGAACGAGGTCGAGCGCTTCCGTAGACTCCGGCGCGCCGATCTCGCTGTCTTTTGATTGATCCGCTTCCAGCTCCAATCGCCTCAGCGTTGGCGACACTTCCCGCAACATCCACTCTGTAGCCTCCGCCGCTCCTGGACGCATCTCTAGCGACACCTTCTGCACCAGCCCGAAGCGTTTTGGGTCCGCGTCCAGCTCTTCACATAGCCGGTCGACCTTGTCCTCTAGCGCTTGCCTGCGTTTTTGCTCCAGCGCAAGCGATTCCGACCGATTGGAGGGGTATGCCTTCCGAGACCGTTTGTTCCACGGCCGTTCACCGTAGCCGAATGGCAGCCGGATAGTCACGTCGCGCCATAGACGATGTTCCGCGGGCTCCGTACAAGAAGGAGCTACCTGCGCCAGGGCTAGAGCGGATGAACCATTGAGCAGGAGGGCGATATGAATGAGGACATCGTGGGGTAAGGTGTCGAGCGTGGGACGTGATGACTGCTGCGCTTTGCCCTACCAAATCAGCACGCGTATTGGCCCACTAGCATATGGCGGACATGGTCAGGAAGGCGCGCGTCACGTACAGGCGGGACCACGATGAGCTCCTTGATTTCCGGTCCTTGCATCGTTGATGGTGGTCTCGCCGGGCTCTATGAGAAGCTGTAGTGGTGTTCAGACGTTACACGTCTCCAGCTGTGGGCGTTGCTCTGGTCAATCAGGATGTGAGCAGTCCGACCATATGTGCGGATTCCATCTTTCTCGCGGCCAGGTCCCATGTCCATGCCGGCATCACCCAGCTACACATTCCTCGCAGCCATCCATCCGCTCTGGCAACCATACATCATCCAGTCCCGTCTAGCGCAGCTCGATCGCTCCTGCAAAGGCTCTCCCGAGGCCTGATATCGGATGTTAGGATTCTCCGGCGGGGCCACAAAGCCCTCCACGCCCGCCCGCGCGTCCTCAACCGACGAATACCCCCTTCGGTCCCTATCGAAGCGGACTGCCGCATCCAGCTTCGCGATGGATGATCAGGAAGATGAGGCTAGTGGCTCTGGAACACCAATACCTGGTGGAAGGGGAGGAAGATATGGGCGGAAGGGAAAGAAGAGGTTGAGCGATGTGGATGCGGAAGAAGAGGAAGGGTTATTGGGGACAGCTCCGGGCAGAGAAGACGGGGAGGACGCGAGCGGCAGTATACGACCAAGGGAAGAGCATCGGGACCGCCATACAGGCTCCAGACCACCGGTAGCGAGAGATAAGTCGCGTACAATACCTCTCCGGAGTTCCCGTGAGCTGGCCCATAAGACGAGTTGAGGTCTGTGAGCTGATTCCACAGGCACCCGCTCGGCGTACGCTCCGAATGTGGTCAGAAATCAGAAATACTCGGTGACCACCTTCCTACCCCTGGTATTCTATGAGCAGTTCAAGCTCTTCCTCAATTTCTTCTTGTGAGTTTCTTGGTGTATGGCCGTTCCTGAGAAGGGCCCTAAGCTGAATATTCAGCCTCGTTGTCGCTTTATCCCAGTTCATCCCCGCTCTCAAAATCGGTAAATTACCTTTGACTACCAGCGCCTATCGCTGAGCTTAGCTGACTTATAGGTTACATCTTCACCTACATCGGCCCCCTCGCGTTCGTTCTTACCATAACCATGGGTAAAGAGGCATACGACGACTATCAGCGCTACCTCCGAGACGCAGAAGCTAATTCGACGCGATACCTCCTCGTCCTCACCTCGCCCGCTTCCTCTCCTTTCCCCGCCGATTCTCCGGATCCCGGTGCCTACCCCTCTTTGCCTCATACCGGTAAACCTATGACCCGGTCGACGCCCTCTTCGGCGTTGAGAGTAGGCGATATGGTCCTCCTCGAGAAGAATCAGCGGGTTCCGGCGGATATGGTGCTATTATCTACGAGTGAGGAAGAGGGAACTTGCTTCATCAGGACAGATCAGCTGGATGGGGAGACGGATTGGAAGTTGCGCGTCGCGCCCGCCGAGACGCAGCGAGTGGGCGAGGCTGGTGCGGGGAGTCTGGAGGGGAGTCTATATGGTCAGCTTCCCTTTCTGCGTCTGATCTGATGGACGGATAAAAAGCTGATGTCCTAGCCGACCCACCATCGAAAGACATCCACGCCTTCCACGGTGTCCTGACTCTCACTTCTGTCACCCCAGGTCCAGTCACCGAGACATCCATCCCCCTCACTGTCGAAAACATACTATGGGCAAATACGGTACTTGCTGCCGGGAGCGCGGTAGGCATCATCATCTATACAGGCAAAGAGACGAGGGCGGTGATGAATACTGGAGAACCGGCTGGGCAGAAGATGGGACGCATAGAATGGGAGGTGAACAAGATGGCAAAGGTAAGCTAAGTCTTAGCAACTCCCGAACGGGAAAGGTCGGACCGAGCTGACTCCCAGATACTTTGTACTGTCACCTTCGCACTCTCGGTCTTCCTCGTCGCATTGAACGGTTTCAGGGGAAGATGGTATATCTACGTCTTCCGCTTCTTAATCCTCTTCTCATCCATCATCCCAATCAGGTCAGCTTCCAGACGCTGAGTATGCACAATTCGACTGCTGAAAGCTGATAGCTAGTCTCCGAGTCAACCTCGATATGGGCAAGACCGTCTATGCGCACCAGATCCAGAATGATTCAGAAATACCAAATACGATAGTCCGGACGAGTACCCTCCCTGAAGAGCTCGGGCGGGTCGAGTATCTCCTCAGTGACAAGACGGGTACACTGACGAGGAACGGTGAGCTTCTTGCTCACAGCTGTCTAGTCTTTGTGTCCAATAGCTTATGGGTACAGAGATGGAGCTGAAAAAGCTTCATATGGGGACTATGGTGTTCGGCTTCGAAGCGATGGATGAGGTGGCGAGCATACTCACTTCCACTTTCTCAGATGGAGGAGAACAGGGGAAGAGGCAAAACTCGATGTTGGGTGCCGGGGCGGGGAGAGGCCGGAGGGATATCAGTGGGCGAGTGCGGGATGCGGTATTGGCCTTGGCCACTTGTCACAACGTGCGTCCGCTTTCCTCTTGATATCCTTCATTACCGGACGAAAGGGCAAGCTGACACCTCAGGTAACGCCAGTGACCAATGACGACGGTACAAGAACCTATCAAGCCTCCTCCCCTGACGAAGTCGCCATTGTCGAATGGACCGAATCTGTCGGAGTCCGCCTCACTTCGAGAGATCGAAGCAGCATGACTCTCTCCCTCCCTTCCGGCGCCAGTATGACATTCGACATCCTCGCCATCTTCCCCTTCACCTCCGAATCGAAACGTATGGGCGCTATCATCCGATCCCGCCAATCGTCAGAACTCACCTTTGTCCAGAAGGGTGCAGACACAGTCATGGCTGGTCTTGTCATGAAGAATGACTGGCTAGAGGAGGAATGTGGGAATATGGCGAGAGAGGGACTTCGGACGCTCGTTATCGCTCGGAAGAAGCTCTCTGCCGAGTCTCATGGGGCGTTCGACAAGGAGTACAAGTCGGCACAGTTGGGTGGCGGGACGGCGGAGGAGAGAGGGAGGAAGGTGCAGGAGGTGGTGTCGAGGTATTTGGAGAGTGAGCTGGAGTTACTGGCGTTGACGGGGGTGGAGGATAAGCTGCAGATCGACGTCAAGCCCACGCTGGAGTTGATGCGGAATGCGGGGGTCAAGATTTGGATGTTGACGGGTGATAAGATTGAGACGGCTACGAATATCGCAGTCAGTAGTAAGCTGGTAGCGAGGGGCCAGTACATTCACCAGGTGGCCAAATGTGAGTCATATCGTCAAGGGGTGGAGGAGGAGCGCGTAACGGAATCTAGCTGATCAGCAGTGAAATCAAGCCATCAAGTCCGAGACCTCCTCGACTTTCTCCGCGCCAAGCTGGACGCATGTCTCGTCATTGATGGCGAATCACTACAAGTCAGCTGCCCGCTACCCCAACGTTTGCGGTCAAAAGCTCAGCTGACGTCCAGCTCTGCCTCGATCATTTCCGAACCGATTTCATCATGCTTGCCACCCAACTCCCGGCCGTCGTAGCTTGTCGATGTTCTCCCACGCAAAAGGCGAATGTGGCGAGACTGATCAGAGAGTATACCAAGAAGACGGTGTGCTGTATTGGGGACGGAGGGAATGATGTCAGTATGATCCAGGCTGCAGATGTTGGTGAGCTATTTCTTGCTCAACCTGTCTTACTGGGCCGTAAGCTTATATGATAGGAATTGGGATAGTAGGCAAAGAAGGCAAACAAGCCTCCCTTGCTGCGGACTTCTCCATCACCCAATTCTCCCACCTCGCCAAACTGCTCCTGTGGCACGGAAGGAACAGCTATAAACGTTCAGCCAAACTCAGCCAGTTTGTGATCCATCGGGGATTGATCATTGCGGTCATTCAGGCGGTGTTTAGTAGTATCTTCTTCTTTGCTCGTGAGTCATCTGCCATGCTGCCTTCCGCCCCGGAGACGTAGCTGACTTCCAGCTATCGCGCTCTATCAAGGCTGGCTTCAAGTCGGCTACGCTACGCTATATACCATGGCGCCTGTCTTTTCGCTCGTTTTGGACCGAGACGTCAGCGAGGATCTGGCTATGCTGTACCCGGAGCTATACAAGGACTTGACTAAGGTCAGTTTTACGAGTCTCCAGGATGGATCCACCGGGCAAAGCTGATGCCACAGGGCCGGGCGCTGAGCTACAAGACATTCTTCACTTGGCTTACTATCTCGGTATATCAAGGTGAGTTGTTCTGGTCGCCTAGCTTGAGCGGTCGAGGAAACCGAGGGGCAAAAGCTGACTTCCAGGCGGAATCATCATGCTCCTCTCTTTACTCCTCTTCGAATCCGAATTCCTCCACATTGTCGCTATCTCCTACACCTCTTTAGTGATCAATGAGCTCATCATGGTCGCTCTGGAGATCACGACGTGGCACACCTATATGATTCTGAGTGAGGTCGCGACGGGTGTAGTCTACTTTGGAAGTATGCTCTTCCTGCCAGCGTACTTTGGTATGTCTCCCTCTTTCTCACACTACCACCTTGTTATTGTGCTGATCTGAGAGACCTCTCTTTCGTCCTCACCGCCCGCTTCTTCTACAAAGTCGGGATCATCGTCGCCATCTCCAGCTTCCCGCTGTACATCTTCAAAGTCATCGGCGGTCGTTTGCGCCCAGCGGCATATACAAAGGTATCCGGGATATAGGTCATATAGATCTTAGATGCTACTTGACTTGACATTCTCCACGTCCAGCTTCACCCAGTCCTTCACCTATCGTCCGAACAAAGTCTTCATCATCATCGTTCGAGTTTCCATGGGCGCCACTGAGGTCTCCGCCCACGCCACCAGCAACGTCATCCGAAACCTTAAATTCCTTCTTCTCCTTGGGCGCAGTACTGTGTTTGCGAATCCACTTTTCATCCTTCCCTTCTCCAGCTTTGTAACATCTATCAGCTTGTATAGTAGGCAAATAGGTCTCCGACAGCGACAGGCAAACGCTATCTACGACTGCAACGATCGGAACAATCACACGGCTAGATTGAACGTCAGCGACAAAGGAAGCGAAAGCATCTCCGCCCGCGCTCGTCCTCCCTTCTCCGCAGCGGTCGGTGGTCTCACTCAAACGGCAACGGGCCGGTCGACAGTCACATACAAGCAGAAGCTCGCGCTTGGACGCTACCCATCCATCGGTGGAGCTTCTTCTTCTCGCCATCGCCTTTCCTTCTTGCGACGGACCCAGCGACACCTTCCCTCTTGTGTTAGCGGACCCAGCCTAAAGTACGCTGCTCTTGTTTCCCTCCCAGCAGACTGGCGTAGGGAAATAAGGATTGACATTAAGCGCGTACTGACTGAAGCAGGTACCTTCAAAATGTCTCGCCATCGCGCCTACTCCACTCCAGCCTCACCTACCCCTTCGCCCGCCCTACACACCTCTTCCCGGATTCAAGACCCCTTCTTCCCCTCCATATCACAGCAGGTCCAGGCTCAGCCGATTCTTGACCGCCGTGAACGCTCCGAAGGACAATATACGGAGCGGCAGCAGCCAAGAGCATTGACAGAGGCCTCCCTCGCTGCTCTCACCCAGGCCGCCGGGCCGTCCACCTCCACCCGGCAAGGCGCGCCCGCTCAGCCATCCCGATATCCTTATCCTTATGGCGATGTTCCTTTCTCCTTGCCCGGACCTGGAGATGCGGGCTTCGGGTATGATCATCCTGTCCCCCGCCCGTCTGCCACGCCCAGCACGACGAGCGTTTCGGATCAAGAGGACGAAGAGGATGGGGAAGGGTATATTCAGGGTCAGAATAAGGAGGATCGGGTGGAGGTGAGGAAATGGATGGATCGGAAGGGCAAGGGGAAGGAACGGGCTGTGGAGATGGGGCATGGCAGGGGGATGGCGGGGAGTCTACCAGAGGAGGTTCTCATGCAGGTCAGCTTGTGACTTGGACCGTTCTTTCGGTAGAAGCCAGACGAAAGAGCTGACGTCCAGATTTTCCGGCACGTACCCACTCGCAACCTCTCCACCGTGATGCTCGTATCGCGAAATTGGTGCCTTTCCGCCTTTCCCCTTCTCTACTCCCGCCTCTCCATCACGTCCACCCCCCAACTCGCTTCCCTCGCCCGGATCCTGACCGCCCCGCCGTCCTCCCTTTCATTACCTTACGCCACCCATATCCGCCGGATCAACCTCAATCATATCGCCTCATCACTCACGCCCGACCTCTTCACGCCTCTGGCGGCCTGCGTCAGGCTAGAGCGGATCGTCATGGTTGGCTCGGTGCATATCTCCGCTGGGTCGCTCAGGGGTGTTTTGGAGAATGTACCGGAATTGATCGCGATCGATCTGGCCAATACGCCAGGGGTGGATGATAGTGTCATGAAGACTCTGGGGAGGCGGTGTAGACGACTGCAGGGGCTGAATATAAGCGGGTGTAAGAGTGTGGGAGATGAGGGCGTCAAGGCGGTAGCGAAGGGCTGTAAGATGCTACGCAGGGTGAGTCAGCTTTCTCCCACTTGACGAAGTCAAAGTCAAAGCTGACGCATCAGATGAAAGTCGCAGGTTGCCACCGCCTGACGGACGACTCCCTCATCCACCTCGTCCGCCTCTGCCCGCTCATCCTCGAGCTCGACCTCGCCGGCGTCCCCCAACTACGCGATACGTCAATTTACGCGATGTGGCTCAACTCGATACACCTCCGCGAACTCAAGCTCGGAAAAATCGCCAACCTCACTTCTGGCGCTTTCCCGGACCTCCCACTCCTCTACTCGGAACAGGATGACGAGGTTCTGAACCTCTCCAATCCAGGCTGGATCGCGTACCTCGAGCGCGCGGCCGATATCGCCATCGCCTCTCCCATCCTCTCGTCCTTGGACGGAAGGCGAAACAGGGCCTTGACGGTCGATAGCTATATCGACCACGGGCGAGACCGAGATCGGCGATCCACGCCCGATCCAAACTTTCTCCGTCCGCTTGCGCCGATCTTTGATTTATTGAGAGTCATCGATTTGACGGGATGTACGGAGCTCGAGGATCCGGCGCTCGCGTGTCTGGTCAACTCGGCGCCGAAATTGAGGAGTTTGACGCTGGCGAAGTGCGCAAAGTTGACGGATAGGGGAATGAGTAGCGTGGCAAGGTTGGGGAAACAATTGCATCATCTGCACTTGGGCCATGTGGAGTTGTAAGTCTACCCTAACGAATACCGCGTGTGACGCAAGCTAATGAGATAGGATTACGGATGCGGCGGTGACGGAAATCGCGCGTAGCTGTACCCGACTCCGATACGTCGACGTTGCTTGTAAGCTCGATGTCCACCAAGTGGTTCTGTGCCTCAAGGAGTTAAGCTGACATTCAGGCTGTCCCCTCCTCACCGACCTATCAGTCTTCGAGCTCTCCTCCAACCTCCTCAAGATCCGCCGGATCGGGCTCGTCAAAGTTGTCAACCTGACAGACGAAGGTGTCTACGCTCTCGCGGAACGCAACTCTTCCCTCGAGCGCATTCATTTGAGCTATTGCGACAATATCTCGGTCCGGGCCATCACGTTCTTGCTCAATCGACTAATGAAGCTGAGCCATTTGAGCTTAACGGGAGTGAAGGCGTTCAGGAATGAGGAGGTGCATCGGTTCAGGAAGGCCGCGCCTGCGGTACGTCTCTTACTTACCTTTCAGTTCATGCGTCTCTGGTCTGCTTGAGCTGTACTGACAAGCAGGAATTCACTGAACATCAATCCGCCTCGTTCTGCGTCTTTTCATACCACGGCATCAACGCCCTTCGCCATTATCTCAACGCTGTCCAGTCCGCCCAGACCGCCGGTAGCGATACAACCACCACGCGCCGCGGATCCGGATCTTCCGCTTCTTCCCTTACCGTCCCCGGACCCGGTTTCTATAGTGGATCTGGGCCTGGAGCAGGAGGCGACGATGGCGGAGTATACGTCGGTCCGGCCTACTGGTCACTGGAGCCGGGCGCACCCTCGGACGATCCGACGCCTATCCTGGCCAGACTGGCGCGAAATCATCGGTGGGCGGGAATGGACGATCGTGCGGTCTTGCCCGATTCTAGTCGTCGGGTTTGGCGGGGCTCGTCTGCCGCTGCAAATCGAGAACGAGGGCAGGCGCAGGGAAGTGGACCGATGTTTGGTGATCAGGTCTACAGGAGGGTATCCACTCCTACTCTGCCGGTCCCTCCAGCCGGTTCGGCCCCGACAAGCGACACAGCTGTGAGGGCCTGGCGGGGCGATAGACCCAGAGGGCCGAGAGAGAACGGCGTCCGGTCTACTTTGTCGGTGGACCACGAGGGCATATCGAGGTCTATGGCGGGTCTGAGGATGGGCGAGCAGGAACAGAGGGTTCCGGGGGAGTATCCCCGTGAGCGTGAGCGGGATAGGCAGGCGGGACCAGTATGGGGTCAACAAGGCCGTTCGGGGATGTTGTGGAGCTATGGCGCTGGAGATCAGGTCTGGCAGCCGCCAGAGTCGAGGTATACAGCCAGCAGGGCACGGGATGGTGTCGGGCAGAGCACGAGCGGAGGAGGGTATAGGTGGATCTCGGATGGTCTGCCTGAACTCGGCGCTCCCATTCCGCCTACTTCAACCTCGTCGACGTCGGTATCCCGCCTAAGATACCAGACTTCCGCTCAGCCACTCGCACCGGCCTCGGCCCACCGTGACAACCGCGCTTCCACGGGAATATACGACCCGACCCTACCGGACGGCTACTACTCGTACGAACCCGCCGCCGCCTCGTCGACCTACTACTCCCAGGTACCTTCAGCGCCGTCCGCGTACCGGCCTACAGCTTCGTCAGGCATGGAGAGGGAACGCAGCAGCTCCGTCAGCTCGGCACTCATCACTGGCCTAGCGGGCCGACTGAGGCGTCCGAGTTTGAGCGTGCCGGTCAGCGTGAGCGCGGCGGTGGAAGCTGTAGGGGACGTGGCTGCGCCGGGGATGCGGTGGGTCGCGGAGATGGTCGGATGGGCGGGGGATGATTCTCAGGATCAGAATGGTAGAGGAGGTGCTGGAGGAAGGCGGTATGAGCAGGGCGAGAGGGAGGGGGAGGGACCGAGAGGTGAGAGGCGGTAGGAGGATGAGGGCTTGGTGGAATCGGGATGAGGGTTGGTTCGGGAAGGCTTGTACTTCTATATACGATATGTGGGGCGGGATCTTGTAGGATTAGGACTGTATCTAGGCCTTCGGAGACACTTCGTGGTTGTAGCTGTAGCTATAGATCGTAGACCGCCGTGAACCACCACGATGACGACTCTTTCCGACGGGACTATTGCATAATTACCACTTTGGGTAAATCGCGTCCTTCGCTGCAGATCTCTTCCACCGCCTTTGTCTTCTCTGCGCGCGCACAGCTTGTCAGAGCTTGTCCTCCTCTTCCTCTATATCTTGGCTGTAGTATCCTCATCTCAACGGCTATCCACCTAGTCCTCGCCACCGAATAGCTACTGCTCACCCATCAACATCTACCTGCAAAATGCGAGTCATACTCCTCTGCTCTTCTCTAGACGAGATGACTCGAGGCGATCCTTCGTTTGCTCGACGACGAGGAGATCCGCTCTCTCGGTTGATGCTCGGCTGGAGATACAGCACAATTGGAAACTGGCTGACTCTTCAGGTCGAGCGAACCGTATGACCCTTATATCCCCGCTGGCCAGAAGGGCGGGCCAAGTGCTGCTGGACCAGGCAGTATGCAACCGGGCGGAAACAAGAAGGTATGTCCCGTTTGATGGTACTGATTCATGTCTATCTGGAGTAGGATGTGCGAGGAGAGCATCGGGTCGTCCTGTCCTGGGGACTTCTCTCCCGCACCACCAGTGTACGGTGGGAGAGCCGATGGCAGTGTCGGCGAGAGAGGGCCACAAGAGCAAAGGACGGGAACCGGGCAACAGGGGGCGGTCAGCAGTGTCATCGGCTCTGGGCTGACTTCGTAGATCCAAGATATCCAGGCGCAGATTGATGACACCGTCGGGATCATGCACGAGAACATGTGAGCTGTTATTCTCGCTCCCCCGTCACGGGTCCGGAGATGTCAATGCCGAAGTTGGCTTGCGGTCGCTCAAACCGGGGCGATTAGAGCACTGCCGGAGGTAAAGCCCAGACTGATACTTCAGAACCAAGGTTGCTGAACGTGGTGAACGTCTGGACGCGCTGCAGGACAAGACCGGTGAGCTTCCCTCGCAGTCTATCACCCGTGCCCCAAACATGGAATATAGCTGATCTAGCTTTTTCGTCCCTATCCCCTATTCCCGTTTCTATCTATGAACCGTCATGCTTGCTCTTTCGCCTTGACTTTACAGACACCCTCGCCGCCTCCGCCCAAGGTTTCCGCCGTGGCGCCAACCGCGTCCGCAAGCAAATGTGGTGGAAGGACATGCGAATGCGGATTGCTATCGGTGTGGGAATTGCCATCTTGCTGATAGTCATCATCGTGCCAATCGTGCAGCAGTAAGCCTCTCCTTGGGTTGATCATGCGGACTCGGGCTGATATGACAGCTTCTCGGGCACCACCACCTCGAACTAGATGATCCGGGTTGGAAGTCGGAGGGGGTTGTGTTTTCTAGCTTGCGGATCGGGTCCGATATATGTATTGTACACCCTGGATACGGAGGGCGTGTGCGCTAGGGCCTCAGCTCCTTCGTCCTGGCACGGTATGAGCAGGACACAACCCAGGCAGCAGGAAGCAGTCTGGGCGCCAGAGACCAGGGCACGGACGCGTGGTGGAGGCAGTCCAAGCTCCAAGCGCGCCGGCTTGGATCCAAATTTCAGTCGTTCCTTCTCTTTCCTCTTACTTTCATACTTCACCTCACTCCACCATCAAATCACTCCGTATTTACCTAAGCGTAGACCCCTACCGATAAGATAAAGTAAGGCCGCCACGTATAGCTTCAAGGGTCAAGCCTACCCGATGAAGGAGCAGCCATCATGCGGTTCCGGACTCACATAATCAACATCCCCCTCCTGCACCGTATGTTCCTCCTTGCCCCTCTACACTCAGCTGCCGATGGCTCGTCTGTCTCATTACAAGCGTATGCTTCAGTAGCTGACATATCCAGGCATCATACGCTCTCTCGCTGCGCTAGCTCGACTCTGCGTGATCCGCTTGAGCGAAGACAAAGTGCACTTCATCGTCCCTGGGAATGAGAACAAGGATGGGGTGCAGGTGTGGTCGTGAGTGGATGTCTCACAGTCTTTGATATCAGCTGGATGACCGTGTTTTGACCTGGGCTTAGCTGACCAAGCAGGCAAGTCAAGGTTGTCAGTCTGCCTCCCTTCTTTCTTCTCCCATCGACCAACACCGCATTCCCAACCCATCTTCCAGACTTCCCACCGGTGTATCTGCTGGACGAGTGGAAGAGCCTATACTGATCAGCAGGAAACGCTGTTCAGCAATTTCCGGGTTGAGTCAAACAATAAGAATGAGATCTGGCTCGAGCTGCACCTGGATGCGCTGTTGAAGGTCCTTAAGAGCGCGGATAGCTCAAGTGAGTCATCCTCTATCTCCGATTCTCACCCTATCCCACATCGGTGCGCTCCCAGCCCGGTTGCTTCTCTTCTCCTATACCTACACCTCCTCCCCCTGATCACCTTCTTCTCTCCGGGCCATTATCGCAGAGAGCTATCAGATCGCCCGTCTTGCTTCCTAGACTTGTCAAAGCTGATGGTACAGTCAACGACGGTATCACTGACTCTCGTAACGCTACCAGCCTCCAAGATGGCGAAGTCAGCCTCAAGCTCAACAAGCGGGGTAATCAGGCAATATGGGCGTTTGATATTCGTGGCAGGGTAAGTCTGCGATCCTGTTCGCTGCCTTTCACACCTCATCGTCGGAAAGGATTGGCGATGGTGTAGGGCATAATCATGAGTCCATCCATCAGCTGTACTGCGCTGGGGATCCAGCTAGCTCACAGCTGACACTCCCTAGAGTCAGCTATCCGGCAAGCCAATGCAGATCACACACGAGATCAACGTCCATGTACTCTCGCCAAAGCGGCAAGGGGAGCTGAACGAGCCGCTTTGCCCACCTCCAGACGTCAGTTAGCTAGGTCGGTCGATGGGATACACTGAGCACAGACAGCTGACAGACAGATCCATCTCGTGCTCCCTAATCTGACGGATTTGAGGAATCTTGTCTCTCGCCTGGGAACAATGGCGGACGATGTCAAGCTCTCAGCGAATCATGTAAGCTGGAGCTCCTGTGGTCTGGAGCGTTGTCAACAGAGCTGAGTTGACATACCAGGAAGGCAAGATGGAGCTTACAGTCCGATCCAAGAATGTCGACCTGACAACCACATGGGACAAACTCCACATTCCCACCCAAAACAGTCAGCTACGATCTGTGTCACTCCTGCGATAGTAGTACTTGAAGCTGACCCAAGCAGATTCAGAAGAAGAGGAAGAGCCCGTACCCGCCGACAAGATGTTTTCGGCTGTGGTTCCTATCCGGGCCATGCAGAAGTTCCTGACGAGTCATTTGGTGGGAGGGGTTGCTATCGCATGTGAGCTTTCTTCCTCTTTAGGTCTCGGCTGGATGTCTGTCGGGAAGGGGTTCACGAGCTGATTTGATAGGTATCTGCGAGAAGCACTGCCTGATCGCCTATGTGTATATCGGTGAGTCAGCTTTAGGACTGAAGCAAAGTTCAAGCTGATGCTACAGGGGAGATAAGCGAAGCAGGAGGGGTGTTGACGTTCTTCATACCGGCCAAGACATTCGGAGACGATGATGACTGAGCGCAGGGGAGAGTGGGGGCTTGACGGTCCCGCATGGCAGTAGAGTAGGTGGGCAGATGAACACGGCGGGATGTGAAGAGGAGCGGGCTAAGAGAAGGCGCAACGAAGAGTGATGATCTGCATGAGGGTTCAATCTGTGATTATATAGTTGTACAACGATACCTTCATATGCAATATGTCCCGGCTCTTCTCAGAGGTCGCTCAGGCACTTTTGTCGCACCGCCTGGCCCGCGCATTGAGCGGCTTCTCTCGCCTCGCCTCACGACCCCGCGCCCTTCAAGTTCGCCTGGCCGCCGATTCTGCTCCGCTAGCTCGCCCCCTATGTCACGACACACCAACCTCCCTGAGCCACAAGTCCAGTATCATCTCTTCTTGTCCTCCGGATCAATATCCACGACACCCTGTCCCGCTCCGAATCCATCGTTCCCGGCTTCACGATGTGAAAGGTGGTTCCCCCTAAATCGGCGTTTGGGGTCGAGCTGGGCTATCAGCCGTCTCTCCTCATTGCGGATCAGAAGTCTCATTTGAAGCAGCACATAGTAGGAGGACTCGAGACTCACCATGCCCTTCTTGCAGTCTGCGAAAGCGGTGATCAGGTGCTGGCATTGTATGGGGAGATCAGGCGATTTGAGGCATTCTTGCGGCGTCTTCCCTGATCGAAGGACACTGCGAGGTCAGCATCCGCACTTGGAGATCCGCCAGGTATCATCCACGACAGGCTATCCCAGCAGAAAAGCAGAGCGCAGGAGACATACCAGTCAGTCCTGAGGAGACAGGCGACGAGATCGTCCCGTATTGATTGACACGCTGCGCCGGTCATTTCTGGTTCTTTTACGCGGCTGAAGGTGTCTTTGTGATTATAGCTCAATATTCAAGGTATGGACGAGTGTCGATGTGTCTTGATTACTCGATAGCTATAGAGCAGGGTAATGAGCAATTGATCAATGACCTGGATCTTTGAAATCACTAGAAATCCCGATGCCGGCATGGCCAACGAGGAATGTGGCGCAGGGGCTCGCTGCGGACCGCCGTTTGATGCGGTAGGCTAGCCATCCTCCTCGCATCCCCAAGAGGGCCTGGCGCGGCCAGCTAATCATCCCACGAGTTGATAGACACCTGATCTCTCCCGCAGACTTGCGGACGTTTTGCAAATTCCCCCTTGATCTAGCTTGATCTCGGCAATGTAAAGAGGGTGGCAATTTAAATTCAACCAGATGTCACGCTCAGATTGTGACGAGGGATACAGCCAAGACACTATCACAGGTACATTTTTCGTGCTGATCTATGAGGTGGGAGATAGCAGGAATGGCCCGCCCTCATAGATCTGGGAAACGTGAAGCGAATCGCTTCCCGTCACCTTCTCCAGCCGGAACGGGTAGCCGTACTTGGCCGGTCCAGCCTCCTCGCCTTCCCTCGACCATGCGCTATACTCGAGACAGCCGGCGTACTTCCCATCTTCGAGATAAGTAACAAGAGGGCGGATGTCCCCATAGAGCCAGCAGAGCCATGGTAGGTCGACGCAGCGAGGTCGAATCTTGACATTGTCGCCGGTGGCGAACGTGAGCTTGCCGATACCTCTTCCAAAGTAGGATCCGACGATATTGCAGGCGGGGCTAGGTGGACTCCCTTCGATGGAATTGAACCCAGAGATCTCTCTCATGATGCGGAGGTCTCTCTCCCGTTTCATTCTCCTTGGAGATCAGCTTGGCATCTCCGCAATCTAATTCCGGAATGCAGCGCTTACGACTTGATGACCGGCTCCAGGTCCTCACCCATGATCCTACTGATCAAAGTCCCTATGATCAGATAACCCATCTCTCGCCCTTCTTTGCTATTGCACATATTGACCAATGAAATACCGAGGGAAGGGAAGTAGATCATGGATCCAGTGAAACCGGGTATCGAAGCGTAATGCTCAACATAGGCGGCTCCGCGACAAGACCCACTGAAAAGTCCCATCCCATACTCCTCGGGCTTGTCGATGATAGAGTTGCCTGGTCGATCTGGATCGCCAGCGCTGATCTGAGGCTTGGCGATGAGAGAGTAGAAGGGGTCTGTAGGCAGGTACGCCAGCCATTTTGCCTGTTCTCAGCCGAGTTCCATCTACCCAAATGGTGAAGCATACCATATCCTCAGCGCAGCTCACCAATCCAGCTGATCCTTTCCATGCGATTGGGTTTTCGAGGGATCGCAGGCCAAAGTCGGCCCCGTAATGTATCACCAGTGGCTTCGGCGCCAGATCGCCCCCGCTTTCAGCCCCATCTCCCCTCACGTGTCCCTCCGCGGCATCCTCGCCTCCTTCACCCCTGAAGCTAGTGGCTGTCATACCGAGGGGCCCAAAGAAGATTCGACCCAAGTAGGCCTCGACAGTCTCTTCGGCGAGTGCCTCGATAGCCGGGACGCACAGGTCATACATGATGTTGGCGTATCTCCATCGCGCTCCAGGAGAATTCGGGCATTCGACCCCGGCAAGGTAGTCGTACTATCGGTCAGCTGTGGTCCGCTGCTGGTCTCGATGTTTGAGACTCACGAGGTCAACCTTCCTCGCCTCTATCTCACTCCACATACCGCTGTCTGCGTCGATACCGGTAGTATGGCTCAATAAATGAGCAAAAGTAACGGTCGTCGTGCCATCTGCCTCGTTTGTGAGCCTGAATCGAGGTAGAATCTGACGAATTGGGGTGTTCTCGTTGAGGCCGTGGTCGTATAGCAGGCGTATAAGCGCGAGTGCCATGATATGCTTAGTCATGGAGCACAGTGGGAACCGAGTCTGGGAGCTTCTGTCAGCGCTAGCCCTCATACGTACTCAGAGCAACGGAAAGCAGCTCACCCTGGGCGTGACTGGATCGCTGCCATATGCTGTACCATACGACCTAAAAGCTGTCTCGCCGGACCCGCCGTTGGAGGCATGTCGATGCACTGTAAGAGATACACCCGGGATTTCAGCCGCTTTGGTATATTCTTGTATAATACCGTCCAGGCTCTTGTCTAATAGCTCGGTGAGAGCGGGCACGGCGATGTCGGTGTCAGTCTCGTCAGAAGGCATCATATATCTGTTGCGTTTGACTACAGAGCGGAGCGAAACGGAGGGTAATCAGAGTACGAGTCAGCAGTTCCGTTGATAAAGGAGTCCATACCCCTGGCGAAAGACTCTCCTTAGTCGAATCCCCCAAAGGAGATGAGGGAAGCGAGGACAATAAGACTAGTCAGGGGTTGATGCATGATCAGAGCTTTGGAAGGCTACTCGCGGTGCAGCACGAAAGGCGGCCCCAGGTAGACCTGCGACACTTCGAGCTTGTCGCCATTTCCCACCTTTTCGAAGCGGAACGGAAACCCGTACTTGACGGCCCCAGCTGGGCTTCCATCTCCTCCCCATTCCTTGAACTCCAGACAGGCAGCGTACTGTCCCTCGCCAAGATACGCGACGATCGGCCGGATATCTCCGTACATCCAGCAGAGCCAGGGTAGGTCCGCGCATCGAGGTCGAACCTTGACGTTATCGGCGTCCATGAATGTGAGCCTGCCGATACCGGGACCGAAGTAGGTGCCGAGGATGTGTGACGATGAGCTCGGCTCGACACCGACGACGGCCTCGAAGTCTGCTGAGTCTTTGGTGATACGCGCAATTCTCTCCTCAGTCATTCTGCAATCAGCTTGGCCCGCTCTGTTTACTCACGCCCTGATGACGGGCCCAACATCCAATCCGAGGACGCGGCTGACAATGACCCCCACGATGAGGTTGCCCATCTCCCTTGCCTCCCAGCTGTTGCTCATGCTCGCCACCGAGAGCCCGAGCGATGGGAGTGTGGTAAGCAGGCCCGAAAAGCCCGCTATTCCCGCCCAGTGTTCGGTATAGGGGACTCCGTGAAAGGTCCCAGCGAAAAGACCGAGGCCATACTGTTCTCCAATATCCAGTATGGAGTTGCCGGGTCGGACTGGATCGTATGAAGGAGTGCGAGGCTTTGACGCGAGCGAATAATAAGGGTCGGTGGGTAGGTATGCGAGCCATTTGGCCTATTATAAGCTACATCTGATTGTCAAACTCACCATGTCTTCGCCGCAGCTTACAAGCCCGACCGACCCCTTCCACGCGATGGGGCTTTTAACAGCCTCAAAGCCGGCTTTCGCGCCAAAAGCGACAACGCCTGGAGCGGGAGCCTTCCCTTTCGGCTCGCCCGAGCCCACATCGCCTCGGATATGCCCTTCCGCCGCATCCCCAGCTCCCTCCGCCTTGAAGCTTGTGGACCACATGTCGAGCGGCTTGAAGAAAATGAGCTCGAGATAATCGTCGACAGAGCTACCCGCGAGAGCTTCAATCGCCGGGACGCATAGATCGTAAAGAATGTTGGAATAGCAGAACTTCACGCCGGGAGGGTTTGCACAGGGAGCTGCAGCGAGGTAGTCGTACTGCCATTTAGCTTTGCCTATAGGCACACTAGCTACACTCACAAGAGAGACTCCTCGAGCAGTGATCTCAGCCCAGAAGCCACTGTCTGTCTCGAGACCGGTAGTGTGACTGAGCACGTGCGCCCAGGTCACCCTCGCTTTGTCATCGGTCTCGTTGGAGAGCCGGAACTCTGGAAGGATGTTTCGAACGAGCGTGTCCTCATTGTATCCGTGCTCATGAAGGAGACGAAGGAGAGCGAGGGATACGAAGGTCTTTGATATGGAGCAGAGCGGGAACTGGGTCTGGTAGTCAGCTGGTAATCAGGCAAGACGATGCTCTGTACTTGCGCTCACCTTGGGAGTGATTGTCTCGTCGCCGTGAGCGATCCCATACGATCGAAAGACAGTCTCCCCAGGTCCTTCGGCTGAAGCGTGACAATGGATAGTCAGGGACACGCCTGGGATGCCCCCGTCTTTGGCAAAGTCTCGGATGATCTGGTCGAGTGTGCCATCGAGTAGCTCATCGAGAGCTGGGACCTTGGCATTGGTGGTGAGAGGTGCCATGGTGACGATGAGAGCCCAGCGAGACTGATGAGGGACAGTGAGAGGGTCAGTCAGCAAAGGAGAGTTGCGGAGGGCTCGTTCTCAGCAACGAAGACCAAAGGATACCTTTGTCCGATTGGATCGGACATGTCGAAGCAGGCTTCGTGTCTCTCCTTCGGCCCTCTTGAGAAACATGCTAGTCAACATTTTCCTGGCCGTTGGTACGTCTATACCGAAGTTCAGCTGTGATGCGACCTGATGCGATACCGCTGAGCACAACAAGGTCGAAGGTGAAGCTGATATCCGTAGTACCGTGGCCTGGGCGTCCCACGCCTAAATCCGAATACATAGCGTTATCGACAGGTAACGCATCATCGCGAGGCAGATCTGTCATTCCATCCATGAAGCTTCTGTACTCCTCTCTTCACACCTCATCTTATCGATCTCACACTCTGCCGATTGCACGCTTACTCAGCCTACCTTCACAACAATGCATCTAATCGAGATCGCTTAAAAGGCAATGACCGAATGGAACAGACAGGGATCATCTCTGCTGTCTGCCGATCGGACCGGTGCAGGCCTACGACCTTTCTTACCTTTGTCTCTTGCAGCTGGGCCTGGGGAGCAAAGACTCGGATAGGCATGTGAGTAGCTTGACTGCTGATTGTTTCCTGGCTATCGTTTAGTCGTGCATGTTGGTCGCCGTGTAAGGCGGGTGAGGCCGGAGGAGAATGATATCCTTTCCGCCCTGATCGCTAGGCCGTAGACGAGTCTGAGCTCGGGAGGGATACCGTCGACTACTGCTTGTAAGGGTTGCAGTTATCAGAATGGGCGGGTCGACCGAGGGCATCTGGGTCCTTGCCTTAATCTCCCTCCTGCTCGCCTCACTCTGATCATACTCCTGCTGATATGCCTAGCGGCCTGGCTCAGCCCCCGTCCTCAACCCATCCATTCTGCTCGACTATACTACACCCATCCCAGAAGTCCTGCGCGCCGCACTGCTAAAACCTTACCTTGACTCATCCTACGACACGGCATACTTACCCTCGAATCGCAACCCCGTTTGTAGCGAATATTCGGCCTACAAAGCCCACGGAACAGCCTCGCCCAACGACAGTCCAACGGCTGGCTATCAAGCGGCGTATATATGGAAGCGCATGGGGATATGAGGGCTCAGGTGGGGGACGGAGGGGCAGAGAACGTTATCTGCTCGGATTGGGCAAGTGACATGGCAAGGACTCAAGGAGGAGCAGCTGAGACGGAACAAGGGGTCAGGCCGGGTCAGGGTGCGAGCGAGTGTGAATGGCGCCGCATGATGATGGGCTTCCAGCTGGGCATAAGGAGTGGCTTAATTGCGGATAGGGAGAGAGGGGTCGGAGGGAAGAGGAAAGGAAAAACTTTGGGGAGTAGAGGAGACACTGTAATTGCTTTGAGTGAGCATGAGGGTTGAAGCTCTGAAGACGTGGGCGGACGCAAGAGTGGGGAGGCAAGAAGCAGAAAAGATAGAGCTTGAGACAGGAGGCTGGTCTTGGAGTGCACAAGGAGTTTCGCATGGTGTGAGGCGATGTATGTGGTCAACTAGTAACAGACAGCGCGCTCACGCAACCCTTGTCATCATCATACCTCATGCATATTGACGCTAGCGCTACCGGAGCTCACGGCGACTGTGTCCTCACATCGGCCTCCGCCAAGGCACCTTGCCACCTCTGGCCTGTGTAGGTGTCGTGTTCCTGCCCGGACCGGCTGGGACGGCATTTCTTGGCACTGCCATGCTCCTTTGCTGCTCCTCATACCTCCTAACCGCGCTCATTACCTCGTATCTCGCGCGGCACTACCCACCGCTCGACTGAAGTTCCTGTAACTACGGGCCCACGCAATACCTTCCCCGCTCTCCGCCAAGCCCGATGTTATATGCCCTCTCGTCTCGCGTACTAGCCGGTCCTACACAAGTCCTCACTAATACTCACGCACCGCCTTCATGATCATGAATCGGTCCCAGCGGCGTAAAGAAAGCAGGCGGGGAAGAAGGGGGAGTTGGACTAGTCAGATATATATCGTACTCTCGTCCTTCTCGTATTGTCATGAGTCTATGACATCGTACCGAGTAAGTCCAGATATCATAGCCTTTGCATCTCCTAGACGTGTCCTATTCACTGAGCCCGCTGACAGCCGCTGACCGTATCCTGGCTGTCCCCATCCCCAGACTAGCCCACACCTTCAGTCCCGTCCCCAACCCGTACCAGGCTCGGACTAGACCCCGCCAGCTGGTCCAGCCCTCGACGCAAGGGGCGCCACCTCCTTCATACGCTTCCTCCCCTTCGATCATCCCCTACTCCGCCCCTGGTCCCTTCTGACACCCAGATCCGCACGGCCCCGCACAGCACTAAGTGGCGTTGAGTGATGATCATCACATCACTCTGGCGCGCAGTCTTGGCTGCCGCAGCGACAGCTCCATTTCCATGAGGCTCTGCGATAAGCACTTCTACTCACTCGATAGCACACACGAGGCTGTGAGCTAGCTGTAGTCGATGTACAGGCAGACGTCATCAATGATGGCATGTACATTCGGCTGCAATCGTCAGATTCGCCCATCATCCTGAGCTCAGAGGAAAGTCGAAAAGGGTCACATACAGTGATACTCACAGAGATGTCTGTTCCAGGGCGCAAAGGCTCACTGTGGCTCTGGAAGTGGGAGAGCCCTCCCTGGGCATTCGGCGGTCCTTGTCCTCGAGTCGAGCTATGTAGGCAGGTCAGGCGGAATGTTGAGGGGTCTCACGCGACCACTGGTAAGGTCAGAGTGCTGCTCGTCTCAAGCTCGGGCAAGAGAGCCACTCCTATATCATGCAAGCATGAATGGGGAACGCTGGAAGGTGATAGACAGGTAAGAGCTCGCATGATGCACGATGATGATCAAAGAGGGAGAGCCCGATGATCTGACGGTGCAATCTGAAATGTGGTGATGACGAAATCCAAATTTGAGCTGGGACGCCCAGGCCACGGTAATCCGGGCCGACTCGGATGTTCGGAGCCGGAACAGAGGTGGAGGCGTGTTTGGGTGGGAGCAGAAGGGATGATGCTGGGATCTTGAGAATCTCTGTCTAGGTGACCTGACGCACTGTCTAGGTGACCTGACGCACAGTACTGACTTCACCTGACTCCATCTGGCCACCAAGAAGGAAAGCCAAGCGATATGTCAGCTCCAAAAGTTCTGCAGGTCGGGGTCGTGCTCTTCAATGGCGCCTTACCGCTTGAGTGAGCTTCGCGGCGATTTGGAGGAAGAGAAGCGGGCTGATGACATCAGCTTCATTGGGTGAGCGCGATCCGCCGAGGCAGACATGAGCTGTCGGAGCTGAATAACATACAGCCCCTCATCCATACTGTCTGCCCTTTCACCGTCCTCAATTGAGAGGAACTCGATCGAGACCCCCTATGCCTTCGAGATCACCAACCTTGGCGAGACACTCGACGACGTCACTTGCACCGGCAACCTCAACATCAGGCCTGGCAAGACGTACGCGGATGTTCGGGAGGGTCGGGCCAAGATGGACATCATGCTCTTGCCAGGAGGCGTGGGCGCTCGGCCATGGAACGCGAGCCAGGCGCTGAAGGCATTCATCAAGTGGGGAGCAGGGAGCGCGGAGTACACCTTGACCGGTAAGTCTGTCTGATGTACTCAAGGTCTCCGTGCTGAGATTACAGTGTGCACGGGATCCTGGCTACTCGCTGATACCGGCGCGCTCAACGGGCAAAGAGCAACGACGAACAAGGCCGCCTTCCTTGAATGCAAGGTGAGCCGCTTCTTCCCTCCAGCTCTGCCTCCTCCTTGAGCTGATTGCACAGAAAGCAACTGCCGAGCACACCGTCGAGTGGATCCCGGAAGCTCGCTTTGTCCACTCGGGCAAGTTCTGGACCTCCTCGGGCGTCAGCGCGGGTATCGACATGGCGTGTGGGTTTGTCGATGAGCTCTGTGGGAAAGAGGCAGGGGAGAAGGCCAGAGACTGGGCAGAGTACACGTGAGTTGGGCGAGCCCTCTCAAGGTTCTAAGAACGGGTATTTCATGGGCCTTCAAGCTGAACACTGTAGCTCGGCGTCCGAGGGAGATGATCCGTTCGCCAAGAAATGCGGTCTGATATAAAGGGCTAGCGACAGGATGTATTGACATAAGCGAGTGGATCACACACACCTGACACCTTTACGCCGAGGTCTCGAGCAGGGCGCCCAAACCAACAAGCTGTGCATGACGGAAGATCATTGGCAAGGGCAAGATCAACGACGGGGAGGGCACGGCAGATCATTTGATGTTTATATTAGTGCCAACCAGCCGAGACCTTTCAGTGGGATTAGCACAGTGGTAGTTGTAGCGGATTGCAACGAAAGTAGCATCACATCCGCGGGTCCCGTGTTCGATCCACGGATCCCACTACTTCTTTTGCTTTTTGCATGCGCGCTCTTACATCTACCACCTTCACCTCCATGTCCCCTGCATGCATGGTCGGGCGCAGAGGAGCCGCGCATGTAGCATAAAGGTGCTGCGACCCATGCTCATAGTCGCGCATTTTGGATGACCTAGCAGGAAGATCAAGGGTGTGCGATGTGTCACAGCGGTCATCATCAAAGACCGTGATCTTGCTACGATTACAGATTCGCTTCTATCTATTTACAAGCTCATACAACTCAATGATAGTACAAGAGATATGTAGTCCTTGAGGTATACTCAGACCATTCGAGATGCCTCCCATGAGTCGCACCCTAGAAGCCGCCCACCCGCTTTTTGACCTTCTTCTTCTTCTCCCCTCCTCTCCCCCCAAACGGTCCTCTCTCGACTTGTGTCGCCACCAGACTCTGGCTCAGCCCCAGACCCTGACTCCCCTCCCCTCCCCCTTGCTCCCCTCCGATACTGTCCCGACCTCGGCCACGCTCCTCCGCTAGAGGTGACGATCCTCTCGGCCCAAAGCCGGAATTGGCAAAAGCCGACACACTTCCCGGCTTCCTTCGGGGCTGATTCCAGCCTTGTAACGCCGGCTGAGATTGCGCAATGATGGGAGGCGCATCTCTGCGAGGAGCGGCGGGCTGAGAGAAGGATTTGGGCGCCGCGGCGAGATTGGCATTGGGGGAGCCGGGGCGCGATGAGCGGGGAGAGGGTAGGGGCCGGATTGGCCGTTGAGCCGTAGGCGCGACAATGGTGAGGTGGGCCGGAGGATGCGTGCCGGCATCCCCCTCGGGAGGTGATAGCCACGGTCGCCAGGTATATGAGGATGGAGGGGAGATTGTCCATTCGGCGAGAAGGGACCGGGCAGTCGGCTGCTGGATCGAGCCGAGAAGGGGATGGGGTACCGCCTCTCCATCCGCCTCGTCTTCAACGTCTTCGGCCGGAAGACGGGGCTTGAGTACGCTGAAAGTGACCGCAGGCGGCCCCGCCTCGCTCAGAGACAGCCCAGCTGCCCGGGCGAGCATCTCGTCATCCGCATTCCTCTCTGCTTGCGCTTCTTCCTCCGCCAAGATAGCTACAGCCTCGGAGGATAGTACCGCCGTGGACAGAGCCAGATCCACAGCGAGCGCCTCGACGGCCTTCCGATGTCGACTTTTGGCGGCTTGCGTGTCCGCTCGCTCAGGATAGGCAGTCCGCAGCGTCTCGAGTATGGCCGAAAGGGAAGTCATGGGACCGCCATCGGTGTTGCTGAGGTGTGTGTCGACTGCTGAGGAGGGGATAGTGTGAGTGTGAACGATGTGTAGGTCCCGAGTGTAGTCGAGGGATGAAAGATTGACCGTTTCTGTCTCAACCAGCAGGAGAAGGGGGAGGGGTCGGAGGAGATGAGATCGCTTAGGCTCGCCTTCGGCCAGCACGGAATCACGAGCAAGCTCAGCGCTGGAGTTATCAGCTATACGTCCAAGCTTCACCTTCAACAGAGGTACAGAGCAGCTTACGCAGTGACAAAGTGGTCAAATGGCGCGTCGATCTCGCGGAGATATCGCCCAAACTCATCCGCGTTGAAGATTGGGTCATCCTCCTCGGGCGTGGTATCTTTGTTGATCGCTACATGATCAGCTTAGTCCTCGGCAATGGAGCTCAGACTCACCAAGCCAAGCCCACCGAGCGTCAAAGATCGTATAGCTCGTTTCGCCCTTCTCATTGACTTTCACCGCCGCGAGTTCATGACTCGCCTTGTCCGCTTCCGCTTGAAGCTCCGCATCCCACACCGCCCGGAATCGCCCGGTTTCCCCTTCCCCCTCCTCTGCGGTACCAGCCGCGATCTCCGCACTCCAGATAGACCCGTCCGTTGCCAGCGCGATGAGAAGAGGTGATGTCTCGCCCAGATCGGTCTTCTCGACATTCCGGTCGACAAAGATCACGTCTGCGAGCGGTTTCCGCCTCGCGTCAATCGGTAGCGAAAGAGTATGTGGAGGATGCAGGAATCGGAGGGCGCCGTGGTTAGATACGTGAAAGACGAGAATGGCCGGACAGGAGCGGGACGTCAAGACATAGCAGTCTGCAGGTATCAGCTAATGTAGTCGCTTGAGTATGGACTGAACGACTCACCACTATCGTCCCGCGTCAAGTGGGTGATCTGAATATCCCGCAGTTCTCCCTCCGAGAGCTCATGTTTCCAGCTCATTACAGGATTGCTTTCGGGCCGATCCTCGTCAATCCAGAGGATCTGGCGAGTAGTAGCGAGGCAGGTGTAGGTGCATTGCCGGCCGGAGGCAGTAGTGTCGATTGCAGTGAATAGGCGATCTGGGGGCAAGGTCACGATCTTGCGTTGGGGCTGATCGGGATCCTGACCATCAGTCAAGTTCCGCACAGTCTCTGCGGAGCGACAAGGGATGTCCAGCTTACCTCAACATCGACCGTATATGCCTCGGAGGCGGACATGACAAGCAGAGACCCTGCCTGCGGTCCATACGCTATCCGAAAGAAGTTGTTCTTCTCCGTTGTCACTGCCTGTCGGATCATAGTCCTGCCTATTAGCCCCATCCCGATAAGATTTCTCTAGAAGTTTCCACTCACAGCTCCATCGTCCCCGTGCCCGCCGTTGAACCCCTCTTCCATCCCCACATCCATACCCCGCCAGACTCATCCACCACCGCCGCGCATCCCCATACCTCCGGATCCAGCACAGCGTCCACCACCCTTCGCCCGCCCACCTCCTTCGGCCGTATTTCGCCCATTTTGACTAGCGCCATTGACGAGGAGGAGGGGTTGGCAGGGCTGTACGAGGGGTTCGGGGTCAGGCGGTATGCCATCAAGGACGAATGTTGGCGGACCAGTAGGCAGGTGGCGTGTACTAGACTGTCACTTTCGATCGAGGCACGGGTCAGCAGGAGGAGACTCGACTCACGGTCGTCCCGGTACAGCGAGACCAGGGGGGATGACGCGATCTGTAGAATTCGAGTTGAATATCGCTCGACGGGAGTCGATGAGGGTATGAATCGGTTGAGTCTGGCATTTTTGACATGCTTGTCCGTGTCGCCTAAGACGGTCGCCATATCTGTCGCGTCAGCAAATCGTATCTGTACGCGTGGACCGTTTGACTTACATAGCTCGTTCCCTAGCTCTCCGCCTGTATACAATACCACATTCCGCGCCAGCTTCGGGAACGGGTTCCGTTGCGATACCATCTGCCTGCCGAGGAAGGGATCGTACGCTCCCTGCTTGTGCGCCATTTCCAGCTCCTCGGTGATAAGGTCTTCCAGTCCCAGGTGCTCGTACTTGTCGCAGATCTGACGGGCGTACTCGAGCTATAGATAAGCGCAGCTCCATATTCGTATAACTCGCGCTTGGGGCTGCGGAGGGAATGAGGAGACAGGTTTGACCTACCGATTGGGCTGTACTCGGTCGGGCCGTCAATGGAGCCGCAGGCAGTAGCCGAGTTGGCGGAACGAGCATTGCCGGCTTGCCTAGACCAAACTCGATATCATCTACTGGGTCAGCTTTGGACGATCAGCCTTTGGAACCACTAGAAACCCAGCATACCTTGATGCTCCGATACGTACCCCCAACTCCAGCCTTTCCCTCTCCGCTCGACCCGCGCTCCCCCTTCCGCTCCGAACTCCAGCTCAACCCCGCCCAGCTCCCTCAAACCATCTTTGCCGCTCGCTCCTCCATATGACTCGGTAGCTTGCGCATTCCCAGCAGCATCGGCGGCTTCTTCGCCTGCAGCGATCTTTCTGGGCCGGCCGCCCTTGTTCTTGATGGACCGCAATGTTGGGACGCTGGCGGGGAACGACATTCCTTCGGCTCTTCACGTCAAAGTCCTGAGCGACAAGCTTGGGCCGGTATACACTAGGATTGTGATGCCTATGGTGCCGTATGTGAGGACCGCAGTACGGTATTTGAACGGCCTGAGAGCGAGCTCCGGCTCAAATAGGTCGAGCGGGTCGAGGCTGATGCTGTGAAGATAGCGCGTCGAGGCTGTATGTAGCGAGGCATCGCTCTTCTTTTTGGGGTGAAGGAGCTCCTTAAGAGGAGCTGTAGTAATAAGGCAGAGCTGTATATGATACGTGGGCGTCTGTATGCTAGGGTCTGTACGATGGGGCAAGAGAGTCAGTGCGAAGAGATGGAGCTTTGGCCACAGCTTGCGCGAGCAAGCTTAAGTTTTGTTGACAAATTCGCAGGTCCGTGCGTCAAGTTTCACATTTGCCTTGATCCTTGAGGCGGAGGGCGATGAGGCATGAGGCCTGTGACCTGATGGGCCAGTACAATTTCGCCACCTCCGCGGAAGACCAGAGAGACCTAATGTCGCCTACCCCACCGGCGCGGTCAATGAAGGCCAGGAGAGCATGAGCTGTCGAGGGAGATGGGGTAGATAGCCGGGCTGTCCTTTCTGGATCTGACCCGCCTCGTCCAGCTCCTCACCTGAGCCTTCTGATCCAGACTAGTCGTCCCGCCTCCCCGGCAGCATCATACGCTGTATATCATCTCCACCGGTCAATTACTTACATTCCCTGCCAAGACCCCTCTGCGTATCAGACTTTTCCCAGCTTTGATCCAGTTTGTTGAGCACGACCCACCTCACACCGCCTGAGCGACCTCCAACCCCAGTGACAATGCCCAGCACGTACGTTAGACGATTCATCATCCCGACCTACCGGTAACAGCGCTGAACTCGAGTGCAGCAGGTTCATCCCACTCCCTTCACTTCAGCGCCGCGGCTCAGAACGCAGCACAAACGGGTATCAGAACCTCGACAAGGCCTCATTTAACGTCAGTAACTCACCAGAATCGCCTCACCGCATCAAACAGAAGCTGATCAGCTAGGACCGTATAACAGAATTCGCCCGCTCCATATCCTCCGCTCAAAGCTCTCGACCATCAATAAGTCCCCGGAGCTCTTTCTCGTCCACTGTCAGCACAAGCTCCGGAGCGACAAATGGGAAATTCAGCTTCGTTGGGCGTTGCAGGGAACTTTTGAGGAGATGAGTAGAGGTACTGCTAGAGTGTAGGAAGCCCCCTCCAAATGTACTACCTTTCATCGGTGTAGCACCATGAGGCTATACCAGTCGCTCATCCCGCCCCCGTCAATCCTTCGTGAGGTCAATGATGCCAGCCTTTCCCTGTCTTCTCCGCTTTGGTGAGTTGATCTGTGCGTCAGCTATGTATGATTAAGGAGGTCGACGCACAGAACTGACCTCGGATATTGTGATAGGCATTTCCCGCGTGTCCAAGTAATCAGGACCCTTGTTCGCCCGCTTGCTGGGCCCGATCACGTAGTCCCCTTCGTCAGCTGGCGCCTCGCGCTTGACATTCTGCATGTTTCCTCTTGCAACCTGGCTGGGTCCCGGCGCAATCGGTTGTTGCAGGGGTGGGAGCTCGTCTTCCCCTGCGTTTGAGCTGAGCCGCATTTACACGGCATTGAGGCAAACCGCACAGAGACTCACCTATAACTCCGAGGAAGCCGAGTTCTGCGGGGGTATGATACTAGGCGGTCAGCCTGCAGTGAAATGTATGAGGTCCGGCAAGTCATCGACGTACTTTCCAGATAAACCGGCATATGAAGGCATTCTCTTCCGCTGGCGTGAATATGGAGGTACTTTCAGGCTCATATGGCCTGAGATTGGTCGCTCTGCTCTCAGCGTATGTCTCCAGTACCGGTCAGAGACTCGTACTGGACCGCTGAGCCAAGCCTGTCATGTCAGCGTTGAAGATCCGAACACGGGCGATCGGGCAGACCCACCCCATTTTCTTCTCGTGGACGGCTCCCAGCGAGGCTTCTGACGTTCCAGGAGGCTCATAGAGGTCGTCTCCTTCGATAATCGTCACCTGTGTCCCCCACCACAGCTCGATCTGGATCTTGCCCAGCGCGTCCACCGTCGGCCCTCTGATTTCTACCAGATCTTGGTCGTCGGTTTTGGGCTGAGTGGTCAGCCGATGATCAGTCGGAGCTCAGGTTATGACTACCATCGGTGCAAATGTCAAGTCTGCTTCGAGCATCTCTCCGTCCTCATCCACAAACATTGTAGACACTTCTCCCTCGTCGTTGATCTCCCCCTCGCCCTCGATATCACTAATCGTGAGGGAGCTGATGTTTCGTCCATCGATGTTGATGTCGACGTTGACAGCGTCCGTCGAGGGTCTCTCTGGCCCAACGATTGAGAATTTGATACTGAAGCTCTGCGATCTCAGCAAGTCCTGCAGTTCCCCAGCGCCGAGACTTACCGCTCCTTCCTCGCATGCCAGATAGCACTGATGCTGCGCGCCAGCTAGACCACTTTCCTCGTCTTCTACATCCGTCTCGCGATATTCGGCTACTGATGAGCCACCTTGCTCCAGCTGCCATACGGTCACGATCAAGGGATCACGTACGGAAACGCACGCCCGAATTGTCATTGCGCTCTATCCAGGCCTGTCTTCAGTCGTAGCGGCTGATAAGGCTCACCTCGACTCTGTAGCCTTCTCCCGAGTAGATCATGGTGCTTCGTAGAGTATATGGTCAACCTAATGCTGCGTATAAGCCAGCCCGACGCGTCGGATCTGACATGCACATGAGGAATGTGGAGTTGGGCGCTGGGCCTCGAACCGAGCGAGAATCAGCGGTCGGCGGTCACGTGCAGCTTGCGCTACGCTATGATACACGCGAACGGCCCCTCGCGTCTTACATGTTCTGCATATCGACAGCTCTCTAGTATATACAGTCCAGTTTTACTCCGAAGCCTTGTCCGTCCCGACGGGTAATATCTCTTGATCTCGTCTCCGACCCCGAGCCTGTCCTTCCTCACTCGCCCGTCAAGTCGATAACGCCCGCCCTGGCTCGTATCCCTCGCTTGGGCGGGTCGAGCTGTACTCTCAGTACATGTCTTCCAGAGGTCTCAAACTCCTTGAAGCGGGAACTCACTTCCGATACCGGTATTGGAGCGCTGCGTGACCCCAGACCTGTCTTCTCCGTCTTGACCCGCTTGACCACCTCAATCTTGTCGTCCTCTTCGTCGGAAGAGCGCTCCCTCTTCGCAGCCGTGCCGTTGGATGGGGAGGCTCCGGGAGCCTGTGCTGGAGACGCGGGAAGTGCTTCTTCTTCTTCTGTTACCCATCAGCCTGCTGACCTCCTGTGTCGTACGACCAATGTCATGATGATGCTGACCTATAATACCCATGATAGCAAGCTTTGCGCGTGTGTGGTACTGTGAGGAGTTGTCAGCTGATTTTCCAAAGTCCATAGAAGGGATGGATGTACACGCCATTGGAAGCGGCAGACATCGGCCTGGTAGGCTGCGCACGGGTTTGAAGTGGACGTAAGACCTCCGGGGTATCTCTCTCGAATTGACGGCTCTACGTCGTGAGTTTGAACCCAGTGACGGGACGAATGACATCCGTCACCGATGAGCCCAATCTGTGCTCATCAGCTGCGGCTCGCTTCCAAGTCGACGTCCGCAGATCATTGATGCTCGCTCGTTCGCTCACTTGATTTGTTTCTCATGTATTGCGCCCAGACTTGCCTCTGTGATCGTAGGCTGACTTCTTCTACTAACATGACAGATGCCTTGTTGGATGTACATCTCGATCTTACATAGCTGGTCGACAGCTGCGCCTCGTATCTGGACCTGATCTTCCTCGTCCGTCTTGGGCTACAGGATGAGCTGTGATCTCGCCTGCAATATCGTTGGACTGAACTCACCATGGAAGTGAAAGCTAGGTCTGCTTGACGCTTCTGGCCGTTCTCATTGATGTACATACAGTCAACGTATGATTCGACGCGACCGTTCCTCAATGCACATCCTGCCAGCTCCCTTCCATCGATTCGTACTCCGACTCTGAGATCGACCGGCGGTCTCCCGGGACGTACGCAGCGGAATTTGATTCGGAAGGTCTAGAAGATACGACTTAGCACGGGCCTTGATAGCTCAATCCAAAGCAGGCAGAACAACCACTCACAGCTCCCTCTTCACACTCCAAGAAGGCCTCTCTGAGCCCGTCGGCTTTTCCGCTCTCTACAGCCAGCTTGTGTGTCTCTCTGTGTTCGGCTACTGCCTTAGCTAATCAGCCCCATCATCTGAGCTGTGAGCATACGTACGAAAGCGCTCGGAGCCGTCTAACCGCTCTATCCAGGCCTGATATCAGCGTCAGTCGCGTGACACTCAGACATACCTCGATGTCGTATCCTCCTGAACTATACCGCATGGTGCGAATGGCTCTCGGTGGATGTAGGCAGACCAGCTGAGAAGGCAGTGGGATTGATTGGCAAAGCGAAAGGATGGCCGGGCGGACTTGCAAGGAATGTGGAGTGACAGCGGATGCCGTAATCGTCAGACTTGGCAGTCCAGTCATGTCCAGTCTGTTGCCCCCCCTTCAGACCAAGCTCAGGCTACCCCGACAGTCAGAAGGAGCACCTACGGCTGAATGATCTACCCCGAGGACCCTCAAAGAACAGCACATGTTTAACTTCAGCTCAGGTTTCTCGGTCAGAATAATCCAGACCGAGCAGAAGCGTTTCCCCTTCGCCCTATCCTCCCTTTCCCCCATGTATGCGAGTCAGACATCAAATAGAGTCGGCCAATTATCGAGCAACGGTCGAGGGTACAACGGGGATGCATCCTGCAATTCGACAAGCAGTGAGTGACTGGAGGGTGTATAGTCTATATTTCTAAGGCCCGCTTCATCAGCTGCCAAGTAGCGAATGATATACTGTCGTCGTCAGCTCAGACTTCGCATATCAGGACATGGCCCCTCCTCTCCATTCCCCTCTCTCCATTTTCCTCTCTAAACTCTTCTGTCTCACTCCCCTCTCTCCGCTCCGCATCCTTCGGCTCGACCCGCTCGCGCACTCACCTAGTCATAGGCACCACCTTCAAATACCCAATACTCAATCCCACCCAGAACCCCCGTCCCCCTCGTTCCGTATACACCCCCCTGACCGCCTGCCTCCAATTGACTCCCCCTCCCCCTCTTGCCCCACCCACCTGCATCCGCCTCCTGACCACCTCGAACGGATACGACGCCGTCTGGCTCACCGCCCCCGCTATCGCTCCGCAAGCCAGATCGGCCGTCGTTTTCCGCTCGGCAAAGTTCGGGAGGTAGATGGGGAGATAGCGCTTGAGGGTGCCGTATGTGAGGAAAGAGACGCCAGCGTATGGGATCATGCCGAGGATAGTTATGGAGAAGCCGCGGTAGAAGGGGTAGAAGGGGAGGGAGCGGATAAAGGGGGAGACGGCGGAGGGTGGGGCGGTAGCTGCTGCTGCTGCTCCTGCAGTTGCGGATGTGGATGCGACGGTGGAAGTAGAGGTAGCTGAGGGCGTCGCGACAGCCGCTTCGCGATATATCAACCTCACCGCCTGCCTGAGCGTTGTCCGTTCTCCTTCTTGCGTCTGGTATGCTAGTCGGACGCGAAGCAGCTCGAGGGGGTAGGTGAAGAAGACGGAGGTGACGCCGGATGCAGCGCCGGCTAGGAAGTAGCGCTGGGGCGTTCGATGATCCGGTGTGGGGATGAGGATCTGATGGTTAGTTTTGGTCCTGCACCGACGGCAATGACAGAGATGGGTGTGCGAGGAAAACCTACCGATTCTAACCAGTCATAAGCCATAAATTTGATTCCTGCATATGGGAATATCCGCAGTAAGGTCGCTGAGTGGCCCTGGAAGAGACCGCGAACACCGGCTGTACGGTAGATATGAGACATGGCTGATACGAGGCCTCGAGGGTTACCTGCTGATCAGCTTTCCCGCTTCAAGGGAGGCGTTACGACCTCTCGCTCTGGCCAACACCTTGTCCACCTCCGGTGAGACCCGCTTTACGCGTTACTCATGGCTCGGCATCATCCCTCGAGCTCCTCTCGTTGACCAACATGCAAGGTAGCGATGGCTCACCTGCGAATTGCCTGAACTCGGCATTAGACGTCTGAAAGAGGATCTTTATCCGATCCAAGGGAGCTATAGCTGTTTTGGCCTGCCCATCAGCTCCCAGCTCCATTTATAAATTTGCAATAGGACTCACTACACATCCAGCAACTCCTCCAGCTACTCCACTACTCAAGACTGCATATCAGCCTCTGTTCCCCGTACACTGAGCTCACGCGACCCCCTAGAGCCGGTGACTCACCATGATCCCATCCCCGTCTATCTGCCTTTGCCCTTCTCCTACTTTCCCTCCACATCGTAGCCGTCGTCCATCTCTCACTCTCCCTGGCGGGCGGATAGTGAGACGCCAAGTCGTGTGCTTCGCGAAGCTCGGGCGAGGTCGATGAGGGGGTTTCGAAATCGACGGGCAAGGCTCGAGATTTGCCCTTCCGATCCGAGCTCAAATTTGATGAGCTAGCCGACATGCCGCTGATCCCAATGTGTGGCCTGGAGCTGGTCTGGGCGGAGATTTTGACCGTCGTGAGTTGTCAGAGTGAGATGTAAGCGATCAATAAGGTCGCGAGAATTTGGCTGCAGCTGCCGGGTCCAGCCAAACGCAATGACGTAACCGGTCTCCCGGTCAAGTAGTTGCCGGGCGGACCATGTCATGGGTATGGGTTTGACACTGTCTCTTCTCCTTTCTTTTCTGTCTGCTCACAGGTCATGGGGGAGTACACACAGCTGGAGCAGCTGCTTGCATGCTATACATCAAAAATGCTTTATAAGCTTTGCATGTCGGGTCCGAAAGGTAAGCTCGGGAGGCGGCCGGGCGAGAAAGGGAAGGTGCAATTACCACACGGGCGCACAGACACTTTCTCGTCCTTTCCCTGTCCTTTCATCCTCCCTCGTATAAAGTACACTGTCTTTCCCTCTGACTCCACCATACTGATTGGTAACCACTCACTCCATCCACACAGCCACGCCACGACTGTCTGGGCTGGCTGGAAAGATGTCACCAGTCGACGCGGCTTCAAGACTCCAATCCGCTCGCCCTTGTCGTGATCTGGCTTCAATACCCCGAATCACGTTTATCGTCAAGCGGCTACCATACTTTCTCTTGCTTGTCGACGCCCACGCTAGTGCTAGTCGCCCGTGCCTGTCCCGCTCGGATACCCCGGTATAGATCGGCTCAGGTACGGTCTCCTCCCTCGGGCATTCGGAGCAAAATCAAGCTAATTCTCAGATACCCCTTCAGCCACCTCGCCGTCGCTCCTTGGACATCCTGCTACGAGCTGCATTGCTTCGACAAGGCAGTCCCTGACCGTCGTCTGGCTACTCTCACCTCCCTGAACCGTAAGCCCGAATGTGGAGCTACGCAGGGGCCAGGCCACTAGCTGACCTACAGGCGACTTCACCACCAACATCATGTGGTCTCCCTCATCTACCTCACCCACTTCCCCCTGGTCCTCATTCTACCGTCGCCCCGTCAAATCCTCATTCCTCCCATTCGACCTCCCTCCCACTATCGCCGACGCGTTCGACCTACCCCTCTCCCCCGCGCATCCGCGGTATCATCAACACCGCTCCATCCCCTCCGCGCCTTCACCTACCATGCGGGTTGAGTCGGTTCGATATGTCGATCCGCTGGACCCGGTCCGGCCAATCGACAAGGAAGAGTCATTCTCTCCATTTGGGGAGCGTACCGGCGCTGTCGGAGGGATGGGGTTCGGGCTGAGGGCGTCATTTTCTGGGAAAGGCAAAATCAGGAAGGAGAAGGAAAAGAAGGAAAAGAGAGGCACGATGGTCCTTCCTATTCTGCCCCCTCCGCCTACTGCACCGGGGCACGGACACGCCTATAACACCTACAATCCCGCAGAGAGCGTCGAGACCCTCTCGGCGTACTCGCGGACACCCGAAAAGCCAAAAGTCCTCTCGAGGGTCAAGCCGCCCCGGATCGAAGAAGGCGATATGAGCCACTTCGGGTACGACACGCGGTCGAATCACAGGCCATCTATGGCTAGTATCAGCACCACCACTACCTCTCGTTCGGCCATCACTGCGCCGGCCGCGCCCTACCCTTCTTACTCTTCTACCCACTTTCCCCCGCGACAAGCCCATATACCGCCTCGGCCACCTCGCTCTCCCTCGGCAGATGAGCGCGCTATCGCCGCACTGGAGCAGCTGTCGCACCATCTCCTCGCGGAAAACAAGATACCTGGGTTCAGGCACCGGCCGTCCTATGAGAACGGAGATAAGAGGGGAGATGAGGACGACTATGAGCGGACGCGGGCCGCACCTCGGGCAAAGAAGGAGGCGAAGAGGGATACCAATGTGGGGATGGAAGGGTATGTGATGGTACCTCATCCTCGATCCACGGCGACATCAGGGACGGAGAAGAAGGGGAGGTCAGCTCTGGGTCAGTCTCGGAGTCAAGGGGAGGAGCAAGTTCGAAGGGGTCCGCCATATGTCAAGGCGTCCGAGATCAGGGAGAGGGAGCTACGCCAGGCGGAGGAGCGTGAGTGCGACGACCGGGAGAGGGCACGGGGTGGGGACCGGGCAGGTGAGGCGGAGCAGGAGCGATTGAAGCAGAAGGCCAGGGAAGCGAAGGAAGCGAAGGAGGCAAAAGGACGGGAGAAGGAGCGAGAGTCGAGTCAGAGCGCTTCAATGCGCGGCTGGCGTAAACTCCGCCCGACCTCATCAGGCGGGAAAACCAAGGATAAGGAAAGACCGATCAGCGACAACCCCGTAGCGGCCTTTGGAAGCGGGAGTCGGCGGACACTCGGTCGGAATGGGAGTTCAGGCGGTACAGCCAGCAATCCCCTACCGTACACGGCGGAATTACCGCCCGTTCCGTCGATCGTCTACTCGGCGGGCGGCAGAGACGGTGACAAGGACAGAGAAGGCAGACTGGGGCGTGGCACGTCAAGGATGAGAAGTATCTCCTCGAGTCGACATCTTTACTCCACCCCATCCGCCTCGGCTTTGGACCTCCACGTCGATCCCCAACCGGCGCAGTCGTCCCGCCCACCTATCCCGCCCCGAGCCCCTTCGCGCCCGTCCACGACCCGCCGCTCCTCCTCCCATAGCTTTGCAAGCGGGCTCACCGATATCGCCGGCGGAGTGTACGTTCCGTTGCTCCTCTCGCCAGGCGGACCGGGGGATCATGGGTTTGGCGAGGTCAAGGCGCAGGTGCCGAGGGGGGCGGTCAGGGATAGTATGGCCAGTAAGACGGGAACGGATGTCACACTGTAAGTCACAGAGTAAAGGGGACATTGAGCATAGCTGACAGCTCATTAGTACGAGCCCGCATAGGACGCCAGTGCACCTGACTACCCTCCCCTTACCTCCTATCCCTTCGCTCCCATCTCGCGCCCTCTCGCCCTCGCCTGTCCGACTTCATCGCTCGGACGGTCAGCCCACTCCGTCCGAATCCACACACCCAACCTCGACCGATACCGGACGCAAAAACTCGCTTCATATCCTCGGCGGCTCATCCAGGTTCCCCAAGCTCCGGATCAAGCGCTCTCCTCCTGCGCTCTCTTCCGCGGGTCTACCACCACCGGTCCATCCCGACCGCCCAGCAGCGGATACCTGGGCGGAAGACCCGATCGCCGAAGAGGGAATGCGACTCCTCGAGGAGGTCAGGAAACGCGAGAGGCTTGTCCCAAGGACCGAGCCCCGTCCGGACCGGCTCGCTAGTCATGCGCAGCATCCCGAAGCTGCCAGCTCGGGGAGCGAGGGGAAGAAGAGGAAGGAGAAGAGGAGGGAGGGGATGACGGCGTTATCGTTCTTGGAACTGGACGACTGGGCGGTACCGGTGATCAAGTCTGGAATGGAGCAGGAGAAGGAAAAGGAGAGGAAGGATTCTGGGTCGACTGGATCGTCCGAGCCTCCCCAGACTCAGCATAAAACACCGCCCTCCCGGCCGCGACCCATCCATCAAAGCGAGGAACCACATCCACAGAGCGATTCCCACTCGCCCTCAAGATCTGTCGGACGTGGCGATGGATCGCGGGGCCCAGCTGCGTTAGGGATGGGCGTGGCGCACATCATCCCTCCAGAGGAACGGAACCGGATCGGCCCGTCCGCCTTCTCTGCTGTCGGCGAAGCGCGAGATATCGGGGAGCGCGGTCCGAGGCGGGAATCGTGCTCTGACTTTGATGTCGGAAGCGAGGGGTCTATCGATATTGACCACATTATCTACCCCTCTCGGGCCCCAGCGAGGCAAGATGATAGTCCTACGGCGCTGGATCATCCGCTCCCCTCCCCAACTCGACCGGCTAGCACCGTCCGCTCCACGCGACCAGATACCGCTCCTACCCACTCCAGCGCCCCGAGACCATTCGGGACCGCCTCCGTCAACCGAGGTCGGCCCATCCCGCCACCATTTCCCAGTCTACACCTCCATATCCCGGCTTCGTCGTACTCGGCCGTACCCTCCACTGGACCACCCACGGCTCTGTCTCCCGCGCCTCGCTCTCGGAAGATGACGAGCAGGGCGGGATCGGCCACTGCGCAACTCGCTGGGTCTCGGACGGCGGACGAGCAGGCGAGATCGCCCAATGGGGCATTGTACGGTCTGGGCCTGGGTCTGGGAGCGGGACAAGGCGCGATGGAAGAGGGACAAGAGCAGGGGTTGAGGAGTTTGAGTATGGGCACGCTCGGTCTGGGGCTGGGCACGCCCCCTCCCCCGAGTGTGGTGAGGGGAAGATTGATCTCTAGCGGTCCTGCCAGGTCTAAGGATGGAGGGGGAACGAGCGGTCTCGTGTCGGCCGAAGTGTTGAAAGGTGCGGGCGGCGGTTTATCCGGCCACACAGACGTGTTCTCCGCCAATACTTCTTCTCCCATCTCGCCACTCAACAAACTTCATCCCCTCGCGGAGGCGCCGGGACTCGAAGAGGGAGAAGACGATGACGATGATGACGAAGGCGTCGAACCACTCTTCTCGCCTGTCAAATACGTCCATCCCGGTCCCGTTCCCGGAGACAGAATCAGCAAGCGGTTCTCGAGCGGCGAGTTTGGGGTCGGATCGTATCGTCCCTCGACCCAATATCGCGTCGAAGAAGACGGAAGAGAGCTGCGGAGTGGGGATGAGGACCGCGATGAGGGGATGGCTATGTCGGGTGAGGGTGGAACTATAGAGGGGGTTAGGGATTCGGCGATGCGGGATATGGGCTCCGAGACAGGGGTTGGGGCAAGGAGAGGCGAGGCTGATGAGGGGGCGGAGCCGTTGACGTATCCTAGGGCTTCGAGGGGTTGAGGATCATCGGGGCGTTGTGGTGGGGTTATTGTATGTCTATAGGTGATTTTCGGTTGGCTTCGAGACATACATTGTAGTCATATCATAGTTTGGATATTCATACAGCGAACTCTCAATCTAGCCTCTACAATTTCGTCCCCTCGACAAAGATGAACTGCCAAGAATGCGCCCTGACCACCCGCTTCTTGCCGGCCCACTCCTTCGCGCTGTACTTGGTGACTTGAGGCAAGATCCGCTCAGGGTCCTCGAACGTGTTCTGAGTTTCAGCTCAGGCCTTCATCACCCGTCTCCAGTACAGCGAGACTCACTTTGGCAGAGAGGTCATCCGACCACATCTCGTGCACCTCCACCCCTTCAACCTTCATATCGTCCACCCGAAGATCGAGCGTCCAGTCGGCCGTCGGGTGTCTGTTGAGGATGCTGAGCCGGATACTGATCTTCTTGGATTCGGGCGAGGAGTGGGCCATCGCGCAGGTGTCAATGTAGGACGGTGGGCAGATCTCCTGGATCCAAAGGGGGTATGTGACGCCGTTACTCCGTTGTCAGCTTGCGTCCTGTTGATATCTGCGAAAGGTGGGGGGTTAGGGCACTCACTAGACATCTGCGGTGGGCGGTAGGTGCAGGGTATGTCCACCCTTCATATTGCGCGAGAAGAGGCGGAGCCTGCAAGTCAGCTGACGAAGAAGGGCAGTACGAGGGACGTACGGGTAGTATATGACCTGCTTCAGGACGGCATCCGGGCGGGTCATAACAGGTGAGATCTGACCGTCAGCCATACACCTCGTCCCGACCATGACAACGTCTACTCACCACGTTGACAGTCTGCGCCAGACAAGCCAGACCCAAATCCTGATGATTTCTGACCAACAAGTTCAACCAAGCGACAAAGCCCAGCATGTCCGTAAAGTCGTAGGACTGCTCCAGACCCCCTGAACCGGGCGCCTTGACTTCATCCCACACGTTCCACTGCTGATCAGTAAGGCGTCTTGGCAGAGAGAGAGAGAAACAGTCTGGACGTACCTCGTCGAACGCCACCTTGATCGGCCGGGTCTCGACTCGCTGATGATTCTTCTCAATCTTGATCTTGTTGATCATGGCTTTGCAGAGCTGAATACTTCTGTCCGCCGCCTAGACTTTCAGCTTGTCTAGCACAAAGTCAGGGATCAAGCTGGACTCACAGCAGGCCCAAACACGTTATTCTCATACTCCAGCCCCCTGACCTCTTTCACCTTCTCCTGGCTGAGCGTAGAGTAAAAGTGGATCGAGTGCATGTCGACCGACCCAATCAAGGCCTTGAGCACGACCTCGTCCCACTCGTCATTTCCCTAGTGGTCAGCTTGGTATGGGGTTTAACTTACCTCTCGGCCACACGAGACGAGCTTGATAGTGGGATCAACGAGCCTCAAGCCATGCGCCCAGATCCTGGCCCTCTCGGCGTAGTCGGCCGCTTTGAGGTTGCCGACTTGCCATGGACCCCACACTACAATCAGCAAAGTCGAAGCTGCAGGGAACGAGCTCACTCTCATTGCCAAGACCCCAGTACTTGATGTTGTGGGGCTCATGTCGGCCTGTGTGCTTGCGCCTGAGATTCGCCCAGCTGGTCGTTAGCCAAGCCCGGGGCACAACTCACTGAGTGTCTCCGACCCCATTGCAGTATTCGAGCCAAGCGAGCGCCTCATTGAGAGTTCCAGTGCCCACTACCTGTCAGCCAAGAAAGCGTGCAGACGTACTATTCAGACAGATATACGGCTCGCACTCGGTCCTCCGGCAGTAGTCGATAAACTCGTTCGTCCCGAATCTGGATTAGCGCTACCTTACTAGTACTCACTTGTTCGACTCATCTGACAACCAAGCCAGCTCAATGCGCCTCGGCCGCTCATCCACCGGTCCGATTCCATCTTCCCAATGGTAGTTGGAGACAAAGTTCCCCGGCGAGTCAGCATGCTCACTGTACGCCGAGGAAGTAGCTCACCTCCCGGCCACCGCAGCATAGGCACCTCCAAATCCCCCTTCTTCCCAATCAGATCCACCACGTCCTTTCTCCACCCCAGCCTTCCCTTGCTCACTTCATCTCCGTGATCTGTCGTCTCCAGCAGCTTCGCCGGGGACGGATGTTTCGGACTGTCGACGATACCGCCGTAGATGCACCTCCCCACGTGCTCGAGGAAGCCCGAGTAGAGAAGCTCGGACACGGGCTCCGAGTTTAGATTGGCGAGGACCAAAGGGCTCACAGTCAGCCGCGACGAGGTAAGCGAGGACGGGTGAGAGGAAACCATGATGTATGATCTGTCCGAGTCGGTGTCAGTATCACGGGTCATCTAGTGAGTGTGGTGGACAAAGGATAAGGCGCGTCCTTTCGAGGCGTACAGGCGCATAATCAAGGGTATCCGCCGGACCATTAGCCACTAGCGCGCTTTATCGGCCGTCCTGCTGATCAGCTTGGCTGATGAAGGCAGCAGAGATCTAGGAAGATGGTGATGGTCATGTGGTGCGTGCCTGGATATCCGGCCCGGGCCCGCTAACAACGTAACCGGCCCGGATATACAGCATTCCTCGCTGGAAATCGTCCGTCTAAACCTCCGCCTGAAGGCATGCCATCGCTTCAGAGAGCTAAGATATAACAAGAAGATCATGGGAGCTCCTCATCTGTCCCTTGCCACCCCAATCCTTCCAATTTTCATCGAGAACTTCAAGTCTCCAAGATGGCGCTTCCGCCCAAAGTCTACAACTTTCTCTGTGCCTGCTTTGCTGCGTGAGCTGCTCACCTGAAAGTTGAGTGGTCTTATCGATGCTGACCGGCAGCAATGGCGCAGCCTTGTTCGGTTATGATCTCGCGGTAATCTCTTATGTCCTCATCGCCAAGGACTTCCTCCAGACGGTCGGTATGGGCACCGGTATCGGCTCGCCCGGATACAACGAGAACTTTATCGGTTTCATCGTGTCAAGTCTACTCCTTGGGTGAGTTGAGGCCATGTTTGAGCGGAGAGAGACGTGGGCTGATGGTTCAGTGCCTTTGTAGGCAGTATCCCCGCTTCGCTCATCGCCGACAAGTTCAGCCGACGGACAGCTAGTGAGTTTGCGGTGCTCAGTTCGAGTACCGGCTGACCAGTAGTCGTATGCTCTGGTCTGGTGTTCTTGCTCGGAGGCTCGCTCCAGGCTGGAGCCCAGAGTGCGGGTATGATGCTTGCTGGGCGATTCTTTGCTGGGTTCGCTATCGGGATGCTTGTAAGTTTGGCTTGAACCTGGAGGCATATACACTGCTGACTGTACAGGGTGTGCTCACTCCTCGTGCGTGTACTGACTACTGACAGCAAGTGATAAACGCTAACTCTGATAGTATATCAGTCCGAAATCGGTAAGCCACCCTCACCCTCTTTGAGTCTTATACTGACCCACAGCCCATCCGTCCAACCGCGGTCGCCTCGGTGCCACGTTCCAGCTCTTCATCGGTATCGGAGCCTTCGTCGCCGGGTGGATCGGGTACGGCTGCTCCGTCGCTCAGCCTGGAACCGCTTTGGAGTGGCGACTACCCGTGAGTTCTAGCTTGCGCCGACGCTGACACCCAGCTCGCCTTCCAGATGCTTCCCGCCGTTCCCCTCGTCTTCCTCACTTTCCTCCTCCCCGAGTCCCCTCGATGGCTCATGATTCAAGGCCGCGAGGAGGAGTCTCTTCAGACTCTCGGACGACTGCACGCCAGGGGCAACATCAACGACACATTCGTACAGGGCGAATTTGACCTCATGCGTCGCAAGGTTCTTGAGGAGGCGGCTTTGGATCAGTCTTGGGGTTTGGTGAGTACTTTCTTATGCTCGAATTCTACCCCAGATCGCCCCTGCCGCGTCTGTGACTCCCTCTGCTGGATCATACTCGCGGTGGCGTGAAAATGGACGGCGTACATAGGCCGAAATCTTCGCTGACGGGTCAGATTTTCTCCGATCGGACCAATCTTCGCAAGGTTATCTATGGGATTATCCTCCAGTTCTCCGTGCAGATGACAGGTGTATCAGCGATCCAGTACTATGCGGGGTAAGCTACGCTTTCCAGGGCTCTCTTGATCGTTTTGGAAGGACAAAAACTCGAAATATGGTCGATATCGAGGGTGGCAAACTCCACATTCCTCATGTTTCGCATCCCTCCTCCTCAACTTCAATTTTTGGGCTATGTAGCTGACACAACAGACAAATATACCAGTCGGTCGGCTTCGAGAAGGACGCTCTCCTCATTAACTCCATCAACAATGTCATCGGGCTCCTTGGACAAGTGGTATGCGTCATGTTCCTCGACCGTATCGGCCGCAGGCCGCCACTCATTTGGGGGAACATCATCGCCTCCGTTTGCTTCGCTATCTGCACGTAAGTACCCACTCTCTATTCCTCAGATCTGTGCTGATCCGGCAGCGGCCTCGCCAAGCAGTTCTACGATGAAGTCGGAACCAAGGGCCAGGGAATCGCTTTCGTCGCTTTCATCTACATCTACAATTTCTTCTTCTCGTCTTGTATCGGTCCCCTGTCTTGGGTGTAGTGAGTCGTCTCATCTTTTGTCCCGGTACGCAGCTAATTTCAGTCCCGTGGAGATCATGAACACTGCCATCCGCGCCAAGGCTACCGCGCTCACCACCATGGCTGCTTGGCTCGCCAACTTCATGATCGGTCAGATCTCCCCCATCGCCTTTGCCAATATTGGTAAGCTGCCCTTCTCGGATGGCAGAGCAGAGCTGATCTTTCAGGCTGGAAATACTACCTCGTCTTCACCGTCTGCGGTGCTACCAACGCCCTTACCTTCTGGCTCCTCTTCCCCGAGACCAAAGGCCGCACTCTCGAGGACATGGACTCCTACTTCCGCAACCACCCCTGGATCGTTCCCGGCGCCAACGTCGAAGCCGTGGACGGTCGGACGAGGGAGAAGGAGCTGGCTGACAGTAAGTCTCACGCGGTCGGCTTTGCGGCAACATACGCTGATCCATCAGACGCGGTCGAGAAGGACGCGGGTGAGAAGCCGCACGAGAACAGACTCGAATCGGTCTGAGGTGAGGTAGCGCTGAGCTCTGGGTAGGTGGGATTTGTAAGGGTCACCGGTCATTGGTCAGTCAGGTTAGAAATAAGTAGGAGGGTTTTTGCGTATCAGAGGGGATGCAAAGTGTACTACTATCTTGTGCTTGTCGAACAGACCACGATTTGACCGGCCACCAGCACAAGGTATTTGATGGTACGGCGAGGGAACCAGGCGCGAAGCACACAGCTCTGTAGGTGTCGACGTCCAGCCCCCATCGCGCGTGGTCACCCTAGACAGATCGGAAGGCACTGCCGGGCTTTTCCAAGTAGCTGGCTACATGTTTCTGACGCTGCATCCGAAGCGTGCCGCGAGTCTGAGCTTGATGTCCTGTATCACCTCGCATACACCCTACAGAAATTCTCGAAAACGCAAAGAGATGCACGGACCTGCAGGTGCCGGCGGCAGTGGGCGGTATGCCGTGATTCACGGAGGAATACTCTCGGCGCCGAGCCCGGGAGCTTCTTTGACGTCAGGAATGACGTCGTTCTTCGGCCCTGACTGAAAATGTGTGACCGCGGGAGAGCCGAAAGCGTCTTCTCGGCGCTTTCTCTTCAGTCTCGAACAAGTCAATAAGAGAAGGGTCACGCGCAGCAAGGAGCGGGACCCCAGGCGACGTACTATACAAAGCTTCCCCTCTCTAACGCCCACTCGAGCTAGACTCAGCTGACCTCGGACGACTTGTAACCCCGTGCCGCAAGCCTGCTCGAAGCTTCCGCGTCCCATCTTATAAGCTGGACCCCAGTGCCCCACCCCATCCCTCTCCAAATCTCCAAATTCTCCTTTGCCCCTCATCTCACTTCCACACACCATCTATACTAATCCACGCCGACCTCGAAAGATCGGCCACTACATACCCGCTTAGGGCTACTCACCTACACACGCAAAGAAGAACAGAATGGGCGGCGGCGGTGGCGGTGGAGGAGGCTTCGACGATGCCCTCCTTGCCAACTCCCAAGAGGCTGGATTCAGCGGGTTGATGAAGAACAAGAAGTCTCTGGGCTTGGCGATGTTTGTAAGTGTCCACTCGAACCATGATGGACAATCACTGACTCTGCAGGCCTCGCGTGTGTACCCAGTTTTCGATGAGGCTGGTGCTGTATGGTACTGATATTATAGTCGGTGGTGTTCTGTACGGATACAATCAGGGTGTGTTCTCGAGTGTACAGGTTATGCAGCGTTTCTTGTACCGTTTCCCAGCGATGGTAAGTCTCGCCTTTCACACAGCCGCTAGATCCAGCTGATTCTGTAGGGTGCAGAAGATGGGACTACCCGTGGTCTTGTGACCGCTATTCTCGGTGAGCTCTTTTGTCCTGGGATGATATGCCGCTCTAACGAGCAGAACTTGGTGCTTTCGTCGGATCCCTCATGGCCGGGCCCCTGGCCGACGTTTACTCGCGCAAAGTAAGCATTTCCGCAACGACAGCTTTGATGCGCACGCTGACGTGATAGTACTCGATCGCTGGATGGTGCGTTGTCTTCATGATGGGTACAGCCCTACAGACTGGCGCTAGCAACCTTGACTGTATCTGGGGTGAGTCACAGCGTCGCACCGGGATAGGTGTGAATACATCTGACGGCACAGCTGGTCGGTGGTTCGCCGGTATGGGTGTGGGCGCTCTCTCCATGTTGGTCCCCATGTACAACGCCGAGCTTGCTCCACCTGGTATCCGAGGCTCGCTGGTTGCCCTTCAGCAGTGGGCCATCACGTTCGGTATCTTGATTTCCTACTGGATCGGCTACGGCACCAATTGTACGCTCACATTCATTTCAACTGTACCTGGCAATCCATAGCTGATGATCAGTCATCGGCGGTACTCAATTTGACGCTGCCACGATGACAGGCCAATCGGAGGCAGCGTGGCGTCTCCCGCTTGCTCTGCAGCTTGTGCCAGCGGTTGTTCTCTGTGCGGGAACTTGGTTCCTGCCGTTCTCTCCCCGTTGGCTGATGCTCAAGGGTAAGCGCGGACGGGCACTTGACCCACGGCAGAGATTGTAGCTGACGTACAGGTCGCGAGGAAGAATCTCTCGTCGGTCTCGCGAAACTACGGAGTAAGCCCGAAAATGATCCAGCGGTCCAATACGAATTCCGCGCATTGCAGGCGGAGCGCTTAGTGGAGAGAGAGGCGGCCAAGGAGCGGTACGGTACCGAGGAAGTCAACTTCCACGTCAGTTTGATGGAGTACAAGCGCCTCTTGACCACCCGCTCGCTTTTACACCGGTTGATGATCGGTGCGGGTGCCCAGGCTCTGCAACAGTGGACAGGGTGAGTCTTAGGCACTCCTTCAGACAGAGTATACGTGCTGATTGCCAGTATCAACGCCATCATTTACTACGCTCCTACTGTTTTCGAGCAGGTCGGTCTGTCCGGTGGATCCATCCCCCTCCTCGCAACCGGTATCGTCGGTGTTGTCAACTTTATCTTCACCATCCCAGCCGTGCTATTCGTCGACAACCTGCCCAGACGCTGGATCCTGGTGGGTCCTCCTCACAACGTCTCAAAGGCCAAGCTGATCAGGTAGATGTGGGGAGAGGGAAACATGGCGATCTCACATGCAGTATTGGCGGCAGTGATTGCTGTCTATGGTGGAAACCCGGGAGAGCAGTTCCGCAACAAAGCGGCCGGCAACGTGAGTCTCTTCTCACATGACGAATACATGCAGCATGGCGAGCAAAGAGCAACGGAGCTGACTTTGACAGGGAGCTGTATTCATGATCTATTGGTACATCGGTGAGAACATTCTACCGAGTTCCCTTCGGCCGCTCTGCTGACCCATAGCCAACTTTGCCGTCACTTGGGGTCCTTTGGCCTGGGTCGTCTCTGCCGAAGTCTTCCCGCTTGACATGCGCGCCAAGGGGATGTCTATCTCATCCGCCATCAAGTGAGTCCGAGCCCAATCTGACCTCCTTGATCCTCTCTCTTCAACACAACGCTGACCCTTTTAGTTGGATCATGAACTTCACCGTCGCCCTCACTACCCCGGTCATGTTCCGCACCGTCGGTGTTCGTGGCTACGGTACCTACCTCGTCTTCATGGCTTTCTGTATCATCGGATTCCTCTACGCCTGGCTCCTCCTCCCCGAGCTCAAGGGGAAGTCACTCGAAGAAGTCGACGCTATCTTCAAGGACACAAGCGGCGCCGAGGACGCCGCGAGGAGGGAGCGTATCGCCAAGCAGATCGGGCTCGACAAGGTCGCACAGGAGGTCAAGCACGAGGAGCACGGTGCGGGTGGCGGAAAGCGGTTTGGGAACGCTGAGAAGGAGGAGAGGCGATAAGTCTGACGTCCGAAGCGGGATTGAGCCAGGAGGATGAGGCATGGAGTGAGGCGGCTGAGAAGGGGTGTCTGGAGGCCGAGAAGGTAGAAGTGATTTTGAGATTCGTCTCCACACACTGTATCGAGCATCCCGCATGGCTCGCTTTCCCCATAATACGTTTCCTTCGTCTATCAACTAGTTCGGTCTCATGCATTCTCTCTTGTGGCTATCATGTCAGGGGGCTTATCTGGCGCTTCTTCGGACCGCCACTGCGCATGCGCAGTGGACCGTCAGAGCTGAGAGAAGGCTCAAAGATAAGCCCTTCGGAGAACTCCGACGAGCCGATATCGGGAACCCGATCCGCTTTCGGGTCAACATCCCTAGACAGCCCAACTCCCCTTCCTCTCTCTCAAGCATTATAAGCTGGGTGACAGGATGGGCCTCAGCCATTCCCGCCTCACTGTAGCTCATCTTCTTCCGTCCAGCGCGCAACACTAAACGCATCATGTCGTCTACTCTCGCACCCGCCACCCTCTCTCCCAACAACCCCATCACCCCCTCCTCGGTCCCGACCACACTCGCCAAGCTCGGCCTCACATGCCCCGAGAAGGATCTGGAGGGGTACACTTCCCTCCTCACGGGGCTATGGGAAGTCTGGAACAAGGTCGACCAGATGGAAGACTATGTCCCGACAGTCGATGAGAAGCGGTTCCCGCGGACGGATATCAAGGGTCCCGAGGAGGTGGATAATGAGTTTGGGGCGTGGGCCTGGAAGTGCCGGATCGAAGATAAGGAACAGAAGGGTGGTCTGCTTACGGGCAAGACCATCTGCTTGAAGGTCAGTCTGATCATGAAGGATATAGGTCGAAGCTGATGAGGCAGGACAATGTAGCGGTCAAGGGCGTGCCATGCCTCCTCGGTACAGACATCTTTACGGGCTGGACACCGAACACCGACGCTACCCTCGTGACTCGCATCCTCGAACAAGGCGGTATCGTCACCGGCAAAGCGGTCTGCGAGAATCTCAGTCTTTGGGGCGTATCATGCTCTGCTGCATCGGGTACGAGCCTTTGCTTTTGCCATCTCATCCCCCGGCTTTTGGACTGTTACCTCAAACTCAGCTCGATGTGCCCTAATGATGTTTCGACTCCTGCTGACGCCCAGGTCCCATGTCCAACCCCCACGCAGAGGGCTTCTCCGCTGGCGGCTCGTCATCCGGTACCGCCGTCCTCGTTGCCCGTGGTCTCGTCGATCTCGGTATTGGCGGTGACCAGGGCGGGTCGATCCGTCTCCCCTCCGCGCTGAGCGGTATTGTCGGACTGAAGCCTACCACCGGACTCGTTCCTTACACCGGTATTGCGAGCTTGGAGCCGGTCATTGACTCTGCTGGACCTATGACCAAGGTGAGTCTAAGCCCCCGCCTTCGGAGGTCGCGGTACTGCCCTTTCCTCGCTATACTTGGTCTCCCCTCTTCCCTCTGGTCTACAGCTTGACCTAGACATATAACTGACAAGTAGACTGTCCTCGACAATGCCCTCCTCCTCCAAGCCATAGCCGGCGCAGACGGGATTGACGACCGTCAGCTCGCCGGCTGCCCCTTCCCTGACCAAGTTCCCGACTACCCCAAGCTCGCCACGGCAGGCGTCAAAGGCCTCAAGATCGGGATCATGACCGAGGGGTTCGAGACGTCGATGGCGGATCCGAGGGTCTCGGCTTTGGTGCGCAAGGCGGCGGAAGAGTGGAAGGCTCTCGGGGCGGAGGTGGGTGAGGTCAGCGTGGGGATGCACAAGCTGGCGCCAGAGATTTGGGCTGTGAGTCTCGCGTCTAAGCTTGACGGCAATCAAGCTGGAGTTGAGCTCAAGCTGATCCACAGGTCGGCGGTCGCCTCTCTGCAACTACCTCTCTCCTCGGCCAGAACTGCGGTCGCCGTCAGCTCTGCATGAACGATCTTACGGAGAAGATGCTGCCCATTACCCAAGAGAAGTTTGACAAGATGTTTGCGAGCGGGGCAAACACACTCATCAACGGTGTCTGGGGCTGGGAGAACTTGCCTCCTACTGTGAGTTGCTTCTTTTCCTGCTGCAGTACCCATACCCCTTCCTCTCGAATATCCTGGTGGGTCTGATTACTGACCTCCAGCTTATGGGCAAAGCCACCAACCTCATCCGCAAGCTCCGCGACTCCTACTACTCCGCCCTGGATGAATACGACCTCCTCGTCATGCCCACTGTCCCTTTCCTCGCCCCTAAGCTCCTGGACGACGTCAAGAACGCTAGCGTTACCGATCTCATGATCAACTCGGCTGGCGTATCGCTAAACACCAGCGCTTTCAACATCGTAAGTCCCCTCTATGCCAGCTGTTCATCTCCAGTATTAAAGTATCCAGCTGACATACAGACCGGTCTCCCCGCGCTTTCTCTGCCTGTTGGCCGTCTCCCTCACTTGCTCGACGAGTCCGCCATTCTACCGGTCGGTGTCCAGATCGTCGGCAAATTCTACGACGAGCCGAAGATCTACGCGGCGGCATATGCCTGGGAACAGGCTCATGACTGGACCACATATGCCTAGGGCATAGAGGTTCATGATCTAGCTGGGAATTGGCGAGCGTAGCATCTTGATCCGCGAGGCATGCGATGATAATAGGTAGAAGTAGATGAGCAATATTGATGTATCTCTGAGAGTAGGTTGGAACCTGGGTTGGAAGCTACTCGACTCCCAGTCAGACGTCCAAAAGCATCCAAGCCAGGGAAGGACAGACTCTGGCTTGTTGCGGACGCGAACATGCCCCTCTTACACACCCTGCGACACTGTAGGCAAGATGTCTCACTTCCGAAACCAACATGCGACCGCCGCCACACTGCTGCCACACTGCCACTCGGTATAAGGGTTTCGCCGAGATTCAGCCGGGACAGCACCGCATTCCTCGTCATCTGTCATCCTTCTGCGCCCCTCAATCTGCATCTTACCGCCTTGCCCACCAACGCGGTCCGCACATTGGTCGTCACCCGCAATGTCCACTTCTCCGACCTCAATGACGACTTCCCCCTCCTTCACAGCATCACTGTTTATCTGGACCAAGCGGTCTATCATGAGCTCCCAATCGACCCGTCCACTGCGGTCACCCCGCAACCGGATCAAGTCACTTTCTACATCTCCACACTCGTCCACGGAGATAACGTACTCTACTGTTATCACCGCTCAGCTCCTGGGTCCAGCATCAAGCCCGGAGCTGCCCGAGCGGGATCACCGGTCAAGTCCCGCCTGTTGTCAAAGGCAGAAGGCGTTCGGTGGCATGATTGCGTCGACCGTGACGGGACCAAGGTCCCGCTGGAGGTCATCGCGGAGATGCTGCGGGCAGCTGGGGTGGGGGCGGAAGAGTGGGAACGGCGAGGCGTCGAGGTGGGAGACGACGCATGGGCGGTGTATGAGGGTTGGCGTCGCAAGTTATAGGGAGGTGGAATAGTGCGTACCAGTGAGTCTGCCGGGACTACTCGTGACTTCGTTGGTTATGACCAAAGCCCAATCACGCGTGCCTAGCTGATTGCCAGTCGAGCAAATCTACCATGACCGAACCGAGGTCTGCCCGCCTGACGCATAATGTCCCGAGTCGCGGATCGCCCTTCCCATGGATGCTGGCGGGTGGGTTGGGCGAGGGTTGAAGGTGAGACATGTGGCGTAGGCAGTGTTGGCGGACTGGAAGACGGCGGTATTGGTTCTGATGTTAGCGGGGATGGGAGGGGGTGAGGAACAATACTGGGAAAGAGGGATCTCAGCTGTAAGTGTCGTTTTAGTGGCAAGCTTCAACTCTGGTCTTCTGGGGTGAGAAGCTGACTCTCCTAGTCATACCCTGTGCGCCGCGTATGTGTATCCCTTCTCGGTGTGGGTGCGGCAGCGGGGCGAGGGCGAGGGAAGACTGGGTCCGCGGCAGGCTTATGATGGGGGAGGTACCTCGATCCCGGTTTTGTATGCGTCGTAATTCTCAGAGATGAGATGGAGTTGCCAGTCACTATCTTACCGGCTCAGTTGAATGCAAGGCTTAGGAGTGGATCTCAGCTGGGTCCAGGACATCCTTTGGCTAAGTCTAGTGCCGAGGAGTATCGGCTACCCGAAGAACTGGTCCACCATCTCAGTGACTATCTCGATAAGTCCTCTCTTATCAGATTCGGCTCTACCTGCCGCCAGTTCACTCCTCAACTGGACCATCGGCTCTGGGTAGACCTCAATCTCTACCTCCCACCGCGCTACGGAGACGTCCCGGCCGTGCGCGTGCCTATCGAGGCGGATGGTCCGCTAGGGCAGCTTTCCAAGGCGGCCAAGGAGATCAGCTACACCCGCGAGGCGACCCTCACGCACCTCATCGGGAAGCGGATAGCGAAGGGGAGGAGCAGGGATTGGGCGAACGTGAAGACGCTCAGGATACAGCCAGAGCGTGGCTCGGCTCAGGCGTTGGTCCAGGTGCTGGGGCTCGTGCAGGGAAATCTGGAGATGTTGGAGATCCTGGGCTTGGGGAGTCGTTTCCCTACCGACGCACCGTACATCCTCAAGCGCGGTACGCTGCAAGAGAAGATGATCGGTAGTCATCTCAGCTTCACCCGCATCACACACGTTGTCATCCGGCCCGGGGCGGTCTGGTCCGGCGACATCTGTCTGCGCTTGTGCGAAGCAGCGCCCGCGCTCATCGCGCTCAATGTCGAGCTCGGATGTCACGGCATGTCGCCGGGGATATCTACGACCGGAACGCAATTCCCACCCACCATGATGACTCGGATCGAACGGCTACGGTTTAGCCTCTGCGGATCAGACGGCTCCGAGGACCCAGAAGCTGTCCGCGTCGTCAGGGAGATCGTCCGAGTCAGCCCGGACCTTCGTCAGGTCATCCTTCCCTTCCGGGGGTATCAGAAGCAGGCAAATGAGGGTCTGCTTGAGGCTCTCGCCGACCACGAGTCGTTGCAGGAACTGTATTGGCCAGTCGAAGCCAATGCTTTCTGGCGTGCCTCGGGGGAACTGCTCTTTGACGATAGCTTCCCCAGCCTTCTCCGTTGCTGCCTGGGGCCAAGCACTAACCCAAGCTGGGAATATCTGGCAAGTGGCGTCATAGTGATAATCTCGCTCACAGCTGATCTTTCAGTTCGACCGCCAAATCCTATGCCCAGATGTGCAAGAATTGTACTACGACTACTCGTCCATCAACACTCCGGCCAAGCCCATTGCCACTGGCGAGGACCAGGCGACTGCAGAAGACCTTCTTTGAGGATTGGCCTGTACATTGTTGGACGGCGACCTAGCCATAACACATACGCTACGTCAACCTGTCGAGCTAGGCGACCACGATCTCTTTGAACGGTTGGACGGGGTCGAAGGCTCAGGCGACCTCACCGGTACCGTATGGTCCTACGATCGCGGCGATCGCGGCGACGACCAGGACGAGCTGCTGCACGTCCGACTGCTCACCGACTTCGTCGAGACCGCGGACGTTCTCTGGCCGGTCGACCCGGCTCAACTTTCGCTCGGAGATCACGTTTTCGGATACGCTCAAGTGCACGTCGGCGGAGTAAATACCAGGGCAAAGATCTACAGGGAATCTCCCAACCAGATCTGGCATCACTATACTCTGTACAAATCATCGAATGTGCCTCTGGACATCATTGAGGAGATGCGGATCGTGCAGGGGATGAGCAGAGATGAATGGGAGCATCGGTATGTGGATGTTGGAGAGGAGGCGTGGGCGGTTCTGGACAAGTGGTATCAGCGGTACTTGATGGATGCGCAGACCTGAGTGAGTGCTTGTTTCGTTCTCTTCGGGCGCGAGGCTGATTTTTGCAGTCGCACAAGCGATCTCGATGATGTGGCGATGTGGTGTCGGACATGTCGCTCGGCATGGAGCGAGGAACGGTCGCAAGGATGATGGATGAGGGGCATAGACGGAGCTAAGCGGAGAGGATGAGAGCAGGCTGGAGGGCGTTGGCGGACTGCGGGGATCTCCGGACCGTGGATGTCTTGATATTGCAGGCGTTATGAACGCTGCGAAGACAAGGTGAGCAGTCTTCTCGTTCTCCAGCGAGCGTTCTCGCTGACAAATCAGAACCGCATACCAGAAGTCTAAGACCCTCGGCTGAGCGCTGAAGAAGCTATATCCCCAACGACGCGCTGCGGAAGAGCGGGCGCCGAGTAGCTAGAGGCCCAAGACCAAGAGGTCGAGGTGAGCCGATCTACCATCTACTGCACAAGTGGTGATCGCTGACTGATAGATAATGGATGAGGTCTCAGACGCTGTCGCATGGCTACATGCGGAGACAGCTACATCAGCTTTCTCACTTTGGAATCGTCCCTCGTCTCCGCTTGTTTTGTAAGGTGCATGTACTGGTCGGACGGTTCTGATCAGATGAGGAGTGGAGTATAAGCAGAGCTATGCGGTCTTTGTGGAACTGCTTTCATACCGCGGGACCGCCCTGGCATCCCAATGGGTCAGCCGGATACGCGCGGAGCCCGAATTTGAATGGGTCGAGTTGCGCGCCAACTCCGCATTCCTCAATCGACTTTCTTTCTACATTCACTCCAGAGCTCCAGAACTCGTATAGGACAATATAATCCGGTACCCAGAGCGCCATCTACAGCTGGTAGATACTCAAGAGCTCACTCGCGTCGAACCTGCATTCTTTTCGGTTTAGTTAGTTCAGAACCGAGGCAAGTTTATCCTCATTTCGATCCGATACCTTCCCAGCTGACCCTGCAGATGAGCTCGATTATACCGCCTCCAATCCCCGCCTCCCGGCCCACAACCACCCTCTCATCTCTCCCTCGCGAACTACTCGTCCTCGTATCCTCCTCCCTGGACCAGACGAGTCTCGTCGAGCTATCACGGGTCAGTCGCGCGACCACCTTCTTGGCGGACGAGCGGCTCTGGCGCACGCTGTACCTGCGCTTGCCTGATCACTACGGGGAGCAACCCTTGGTGCAGCCCTACCCGGACCTTTGTACGGAGGACAGCGACAGGGGCAAATCATACCAGGAGTGGGAAGCCCAAGAAGAGCGGGCAGCGGAGGAGCGCATCCGGGATGCTCTGCGGGAGCGGACGAATCAAATCATCATCAGCGCGGACAAGCGGAAGTTGTCTCTCGTCCGGTCTATCGTCTTCAATCCCCGACCAGGCGCGGTTCGGGCGGCGCTCACCCTGCTAGATCTGGCGTCGGCGCATCTCGAAAGCCTGGAAGTCATCGGTCCGGTGGACGTTTGGCAGTACAAGCGGGACTGCCCTTTAAGCTATGAGACCCTTGACTTCAATCTCCCTCGGTCTCACCTCCGCTTCCCAGCGCTCACCCACGTCCGGATCGGACCCGATACCACCTGTTCGGGTGGCATCTACGTCTCGATATGCGCCCTAGCACCCAACCTCCATACCCTCGACATCGAATGTCAACGGATCCGCATCGGTGATCGCTGCACACAGACTCCCTTATCCCCCATACGCCCAAAACGGACCAGGATCCGGCGTCTACGTATGAACTGGCATCTCGATGATGTCCCGGACGGCCAGCTTCAAGAGGCGTTCATCCTCATCGTTGGATCCAGTCCGGATCTTCGCCAGCTCAGCGTGAGCTGTGATGACAGTGCGATCCGAGATGTTATACAGGCAATCGGTCGGCTGGAAAAGCTGGAGGATCTGCATTGGACATGTCCTCACACTTTTTGGGAAGAGGTCCAGGACCTGGGCGGTGAGGGATTTACTGGTCTGAAGCGGCTAGTGCTATGCACTTGGAATGATCTGGAAATAGTGAGCGGACAAGAAGCTGTGTCTGCTTGGCAAAGCAAGTCCACTGACGATCGCAGTTCCGCAATCTTCCCACCATTCCCGGCCTCGAAAAGATATATTACGACCCACGCTATACGCTGAACCCACGTCCAGCTGGGTCGCGACGGTCGGTTGATCACGAGACGGACGTGCAGCCCATGAACGACCAGTTCGCGGATATGCTCGTCCACACCCCTGCCCTGCAACTTATCATCCCTCTCGCATCGCGTGACTATGACCGAGGCCTCGGTGTCTTCGACGAGATCGACACCATCAATCCTGCCGGCGAGTCTTCGGGCGTTATCTCGTCCTATCATCACGGAGACGAGGTCCTCCTTCACGCTTGCCTTCTCATGAGCTACGTCGAGGTACTGGACGCTCGTTGCCCTATCGAGAACGTGTCGAGTTCTTCCGTCGGCGAGCTCGTCCACTATCGTACCCGAGACGGAGGAGAGCGGGTAAAGGTGTATTATCGGCAAAAGGAGGATGTGTGGCAGGATTTCGTGCACTATGAAGGCGAATGGATACCGCTCCATACTCTGGAGGAGATGCGGATGGTCGAGGTTTTATCGGAGCGGGAGTGGAATAGGAGGGGGGTGATTGTCGGAGACAAGGCGTGGAAGATCTTGCGAGATTGTTGGAAAGACTACTGGGGGGAGGAAGAGGACGAGGAAACGGACTCATCGGAATCCGACTAATGACGAGGGCAGAAGTGGTGCAGGGGACAAGCTCTGGGATGAATGCCGCGAGACAGGACGCCTATGTATACTCTACCAGACCTAGATTGGACGACGGGCACTCTGCGCCCAGCTCATCACTTGAATGGCCGAGCAAGTCAAGTCCACCTCTCATCCGGATCGCGTCGCATTCCTTGCTCTTGCTCTTTCTCAATCTTGCTTTCACAGTCACCACTTACCGTCACTGCATAGACAGATCCTCATACCACATTCTCTCGCTTCTGAAGTAGGCACGCTCACACCAGCGAGTCTCAAATGTCGTCAAAAGCCAGTCGCGGTCTACGTACTCGCTCATTCAATAGCGGTGAAGTGGTGAGCTCCCCCACTCAGTCCAGCTTCAGATCTTCTACTTTACCGAGCGAAGAGCTTATCGGCTAGGTCTCTCCTAACGCTCTCTCGCCTCCGCCTATCTTCTCGCTCCCCGCCGAGCTGCTCCGCCTGGTCACAGACCATCTCGATGGCCCCTCACTCGTCAAATTCGGCTCTACGTGCAAACTCTACGCGTCACAGATTGATTCCCGACTATGGACGCAGCTGAAGCTGTCGCTCTCTCCTAAGTACGGAATCGAGATCACATCTACCGGGAAGGATACCAGGGATGGGAGTCCGGTCTTGCGCCCATGGACGGCTGCTGAGGGGGGGCGCTGTAGCCATGCGTCGAAAAGAAGGGCTGCGCGAGCTCGTAACCGGGAGGATCAGGAAGGGAGGCGAGAAGGAATGGGCGGCCGTGAGACGGCTCATGATCCAGCCAGAGCCTGGAGGCGTCCACGGAATGGTCCAGGTGCTGGACTTGGTACAGCCAAACCTAGAAAGGTTGGAAATCCTGGGGGTGGCGAAACACCAATTTGGCCCCCCTCAGGTAGCGCCGGGCGAGACGCTGGAGGGAAAACTCCTCGGGATGGACTTCACATTCGGTCGTCTCACGCACATCCACATTCGGCCCGGAGCGCTCTGGTCCGGCGGCATCTGCCAGCTCCTCTGCAGCGCCGCCCCGGCATTGGTCGCCCTCAACGTCGACCTCGTCAGCCACAAGCTGGTGGACGAGGATGATCATACTCGCATCGAAAAGCTTCGTTTCAACCTCAGTGACGATCACGGAGATGACGACTGGGACGCGCACCGCATCGTCACCCAAATCGTCAAGCACAGTCCTCGCCTGCGGCAGGTCATCCTCCCCTTTCTAAATTATCAGGATTTCTCGGACGACGACCTATCGTCTGCGCTAGCCGAGCTCCCCTCGCTCACGGACCTTTATTGGTCAATTCGGGTGGGTGGGCTCATATGCGATGAGGCCATCAGTCGGGGAGGATTCCCGAGCCTCACTCGTTTTTGTTTAGGCCCAAGCAAGTCCCCTAGATGGGAGGAACTCGTAAGTGTGCTTGCGCTGCCGTTTCGTACACCAACGACGTGATATTGAGTTGACAGGCTAGTTTAGTGAACCCGTCGAAATACCCAGTCTAAAGACACTACATTATGACTACTCGGCGGTCGATGGCAATCCCACATCATCAGCTCCACATCCGACGACCGATACTCCCAGCGCAGAGGCTCTGCTGGAGCTCTTGGCTAGCTACCTGCCAGCGGGCGAGCTCGCCACGGTCCATACGCTTAGGAGTCGGGTGGAACTAGGGGATCACGACCTCTTCAAACGGCTCGACGAAATCGAACGAAACGGGGGCACCATGACTGGTGTCGTTTCGTCCTACCACGGCCCGGGAGACGACGAATGTCTAATCCACGCTCGTTTTTACAACAACTTTGCCGAAGTCGCGGACCTTCCCTGGCCGATTGAGGGGTCCATACTGGCGCCCGACCTACAATCTTTCATATATACCGACTGGTCCACCAGAGACTTTAAGAATCGGGCGAAACTGTTCAAGGAACAGTCCGTGGGGTCTTGGCATCACTACACCCTTTACGATTCCAAGACGGTGCCGATGGAGATCATCGAGAAGATGAGGGTCGCTCAGAGAATGAGCAAAGAAGGATGGGAGAAGCGGGGTGTAAAGGTGGGAAAGAAGAAGGCTTGGGGCATACTCCAACGCTGGTATGATAGGCTAGGATGATCAGGATGATCAGTAAGTCCTTTCCACTTTTGATCCACTCGAAGGCTGATGGAGTAGCCCATATTTCAAGGACTGGGTCAAGGTTTCGGACACCGACGAGCGAGAAGCGGTCAACGGGCGGTGAGAAGCTGCTCAGGCGGATGGGGGATTGCGTGTCCTTGCGATGATCTAGAGGGGGAATGTGAGCCCGATCCCGCCCAAAGACATGGATGAAGCTGATATATTAGTCAGCGAGGAGTGTTTCGCGCCCCCTGCTTGCACATAATGTACATCCTTCCTCGAAACCACGGTATCCTCTGCTTGAGTGGATGTATTCTAGTGCGGCCTCACTTCTTTGCAGTGGGAAACGTAACGGATTTGTCGTCCTCTCCCATTGCATGTCTGATCTATCTAATCACTCGTTTGGACGATGATCGTTCTCTGCGATTGGACAGGGATACATCGACGCCGCACAGATACAACTACGCAAATTGCCCTACACTGAAACGGCACACCGAGAGCTCCTCTACCGCCGACATCCTCCCCCTCGCTGCGGCTAACCCGATGACCTCAATCGCTCCTGTTCCACCTCTTCCTCCATCTCCCCTTGTTCTGCCTCGACCGTGGACGCCGGCCGAGTCTTGGCATTCTCCTCCTCCAGCATATTCAGGAACGTCACCCGTTGCCCCCGGCTGAAGTAGTGTGCTGGTTCAGAGCCGTTAACGACGTTCTCGGTGATGATCAGATATCGGATTGACTGAACTCATCAGCTCATTAATGTCCACCGATTGCATTCAGCGCAGAGAAGAGGGACCCACACTATCCGGCACCTCAAACATCGCATCCAGCAGAACCTCCTCCAAAATCCCCCTCAAGCCTCTTGCGCCCCCACCCCGCTGCAATCCCGTCTTGGCGATCTGTCGAATCGCTCCATCCGTAAACTGCAGCTCTGATCCCATCTTCTCAAAGCTGGCCTGATATTGTTTGACCAAGGCATTCCGGGGCTCCGTCAGTATCTGGACGAGATCCTCAATGCTGAGCGGGTGCAGGGTGCTGAGGACTGGTAGTCGGCCGAGGAACTCTGGGATGAGACCGTATGAGGCGAGATCGGCCGTCGTGAGGCCTTTGAGAGGGGTGATAGAGGCAGAGGAGGTGGTTTCGGGAGTGACTGGGGGTTTAGGTAATGGGGCGCCGAAGCCGATGGACTAAACGATCAGCTGCGTCCGGAAGAAGCCAAAAAGGGACTAAGCTTACTCCTTTCCCTAGTCGCCGATTGACTATGCTGTCCAATCCGACAAAGGCGCCGCTGAGGACAAACAAGATGTTGCTGGTATCCACCACAAAAGTCTCCCCCTTCCCGCCTGGCTCATCAGCTGATTCTCTTACCCCAAGAGGTAGTACTCACTGCTCGTTCCCCCACTTCCACCTCCAAATCCAGGTAAGCCCTCTCTGACGCCCTTCTTCCCCGAGCCAGCGCCTGTATTGCCGAACGTCCGGTTCATGGGATTGTTCGGGTCCCATCCTGGCGGGTTCCCAAATGCCGCCTCTGCCTTTGGACTATCCTTTCCACTCCCAGCTCCGCCTGGTCCACTGCTCGGTGTTGACCCGCTGGGTGAGGATGGAGATGATGGCGAGGTAGGAGCGGAGGTGACTGCCGGTGCTTTGGCGGTGAGTGTCAGAGTCGTGCCTTCGAGCAGACGTAGTAGAGCTTGTTGAACGCCTTCTCCGCCCACATCTCGGCCGCCGCCCCACGAGCCAAAGTCGGATCCGCCCCGCCGGGCAAGCTTGTCGATCTCGTCAATGTGGATGATACCGACTCTGCCGATTAGCTTGATTTCAGCTCAGGATATAAGAACAACATACTCCGCCCGTCCAACATCATATTCGGCGTTTTGCAGTAATCGTAATACGCAATTTTCGACATCTTCGCCAACATCTGGTATGGTCAGCTTGTCTGACGCGCTACATCATGGCAAAGGCACAAGCTTACATCCTGCCTGGGTGTAGGTCGTCGCGTCGCAGGATCTGTGAAGTCAGCCTCGTCCGTAACTTGAGCATTCAAAGCTTACGCAAAGGGTACATCCAGCACTCTAGCCAGGGTCTTGGCCATGAGTGTCTTTCCCGTCCCTGTCGGACCGCTGATACGTCAGCTCCCCTCCACTCCCGCGAATGAAGCACTCACACCATCAGCACGTTACTCTTCTCCACCACTACCTCCTCCACCGCCTTTCCCTTTCCTTTCCCCCTCAATCCTTCGTCAAGCTCCGCCTTGGCCCTCATCTCATCTACATCCCGCTCCTTGTCCGCACTCCGCCTCGGCCTGCTCGGCCCAGCCTCATCCTCCCCGAATCGTGCTGTTTTCCGTTTTTCGGCATCGATCCGGTCGCGAGGAGAGTAGTCGAAAGGTGGGGGATACTCATCGGCCTCGTCGGAAATTGGTCTCCGTGGCTTGGCAGGTTTGTTACTTGAAGGGGACATGGAAGGGGGAGCAGGGCGAGCCCCGAAGAAGTAATCGCTCCGATTGATACCGCCATTACGGGCTGTATGGTCAGCTGATATTGGGAGAAGAAACACAGAGGACTCACACCACTGCCCTTCTCTGCTGCGCGAGTTGAGCAGATCGTTCGTCAAGGTTGGATCGGCTCCTTCGCCGTCGCCACCCAATGCCCGGGTGATATCTCGGCGTACCCCATCATCCAGCTCAGCTCCAGCTCGAGATGGGTCTGGAATAGATCCAGCAGGTGAGAAGGAGCTGTCTCTGCGCCTGGTGACCGTAGCTCGCGATAAGGGCGCAGGGGGGACAGGGACCGCCGCTGGAATCTGAGCGGTTGAGGTCTGATCGGCGGTCTCTGGCGGTTGAATCGGCGTGATCCTTAGGTAGTGATTGAAAACGCTATCATATCAGCAGTCTGACCATGGGGGAAGCTCTCTAGAATGCTATAGGAGAAGGGTATCTCACGCAACGCTCAGCACTCGCTTCGCCCGCTCCTGTCCTACGATATATTGGCTCAGATGGTCGTACAGCTGCAGGGTCAGATCCTTCCGAGATCTCTTCCTCAGAGACGCCCAATAGATGTCAACGGACCTGCTTGGGCGATCGCACAGACCACTGCCCCTTCATAGCGCTCCCAGTCCCGCTTTCATACCGGACCCCCACCACTATCCGCCGTGCCCGAGCCAACCGGAAGATCTGCTTCAAATTTGGGTGTTTCAGCATGGTTGAAATCGCTGCTTGCTCGATTCTAACTGATTTCCGTCACCTCTAAGCTCAATGTCAATAGTGATATGCGATATATGTAGAGTACAAAGGAGAGATATAGCTCAGACAACTCATAGAGGCGATGAGTAGGCTTCCGTCGGAGAAGCCCGGCCGGGGGTTCCTGGTTCCGGGGGCATCTGGATAGCGACTTCGGGTGGTTTGACCCTTTCAGATTGTCTTTACGTCTCATCCTATCATCGCATAGTGCGGACCGCTCCCTCATCACGCTATGGCTACCCCTTTGAGGAGATCAAAGAGGCAGAAGGAAGCGCCGGCGAGAGTAGCTCCGGAAATTGGCGCTGAGTCTACGTGGGGTCGGACCAGCCGAGGGGTCAAGAGATCCCAGGGAGATGTGAGTCACCATCTTATCTGGTCGTACGCTTAGAACTCAGCTGATCAGTCAGCTATCGCCCAGAACCCACCCACTCATCTCCCTCTCTTGACTCCCGAAAGAGCTGCTCGCGACCATATCGGACAACCTGGACCGGCCGAGCGCCATTTCGCTCGCCCTCTGCTCCACCCAGCTCTTCTCTGCCTGCGAAGCTCGCATCTGCCGCGAGGTAGATGTGAGCCTCGGCCAGCATTACGGAAAGCTCCCGCTCATACTGCCATTTGCGGAAGGCGGTGAGCGGTACGCGGCGTGGAGGAAGGACGAGGATCGGCAGGAGGAGGATCGATATCGCCTGGCCCTGCGCGAGAAGACCAGAAAGGTCGTCTTGCAGGGCGGGGAGAGAAAGCTGCGGCTTGTCCGAAAGCTCAGTCTCACTCCTCGCCCAGAAGCGCTGGGCTGGATGATCTCCCTCCTCGACGCTGTCTCGCCACACTTGACGTCGCTCGAGGTCAAGGCGCCATCTCATCTCGGGCAACGCAACGACAACCCAAAGCAGTACGAGCTGTTCGACGTCAAACTGCTCGACGCCGGCATCAGTTGTCTTCTCCTAACACACGTCAACATCGGGAACCGGAGCATCCACTACGCCGAAACCATCTTCCTCATTAGCCGCCTCGCTCCCAATATGGTGTCGCTGGACGTGAATATCGACCAATCCATGGAGGAGTGTGGCGGCTGGGAGGAGGACATCTTACCAGAGATGCCCGACGAGCCGGATGGGGACAACAAGCTCCGCTTCCTCCGGCTCGCATTTAGGGACATGACCTTCGCCGACGATGTCGACAATTTGGATGAGTCCAGGGACGAACACCCCATACCATTCCCGGAATATTCCCCACATATTCGTCGCAGCTCGGCAGATTGGGTTCCGAGGGGAAATGGACGGGAGTCGTGCGATCCTTTCGTCATGGACCGGAGGAGCTCCTCCACCTCCGCATCTTGACCCGACTCGTTGAGGTCCTCGATCGCGTCTTTCCAGGCACGGTCTCAGACGAAGACGAGGATGAGGCTCCTTTGGAGATGGACTACACGGCGTGGGACGGAACAGAGCGGCAGAAGGTGTATGAGGAGCGGGACGATCTGATGTGGAGTCATCTCTCGGACTACGAGGGATTGGCGGTACCTCTGGATGTCATCGAGGAGATGCTGGAGGCAGAGGGACTGGAGAAGGGACGCGAGGGAAGAGGGATCGAGATTGGGGATGCCGGATGGCAGGTCGTGCTGGATTGGCGGGAGTCTCATGGAGATAGGGTGGGTACGTAGTCGCGAGAGGATCTGGTAGATCTGCGCAACATGGTGAGCTCTTCTTCCTCAATCGGGAGCATACTCGGAGCTGATCAGGCAGATGGTCTAGACCTTTGTGTATCCGGGCGGAGACAAGCAGAAGAGGCAGGTAGGCCAATTCAACTTTTCGATTTTATTTTCGGTGTGGATAGAGCTGAATACACCTCAGTTAGAATACATCCCCTCTCTTCCCTCCCTTGAAAAACTCTACATCGACATATCCTCTGCTTGGCCCCTCTGTGCACCAGCACCGTCGGCGCTCCCGGACTCCGTATCGTCCAGAATGATGCCAGCACTATCGCGCAGTCTGGCCAATAGTCCTCGTCTGACCAGTTGCGCCGGATAGACGTTATCTTCCACGCGAGAATGATGGACCCATTCGATCGGCTTGATAGCGGTACCATCTCGAGCGTCAACATCGGACATATACGGTCCCTACGGCACAGCGATGAGGAGCTCCTCCACGCTCGACTACTCTACCATCATACAGAGGTAGACGATTGCCCCTATACACACACCAACGACGACACACAAGGTCATGCTGCAGATCACCAGATCGTCTACGCCGCCGTCGGGGGTGTCCTGCGCAACAAGCTCTACCTTTGGGAGCGGGAGGCGTTCTGGCACGAGTACATCACCTTTGAAGGATTGCATGTTCCAGGTCAGGTCCTGCAGGAGATGAGACGCGAGGAGGTCGGGGCGGATGCGTGGACAGGTCGGCAGGTGGAGGTGGGCACGAAGGGATGGCAAGTGCTGGCGGAATTCAAGGCACTGGAGGAGAGGGCGGCAGCACGGCTACAGGCGCACCGAGCAAAGCGGTCTCAACAATGAGTGTGAGTCACTGTTCGATCTTGACGGCTACATCAGCTGACAAGCAGGATGAAGATCCATTCTCTAGCTGCCGAGACCAGACATGGAGCGCCTAACGGAGCAGGTCCGCTACTGCGGAGGACAGTATCCCGAATGGCAGACTGACGATGGTGGTACACTCGACTTTAGACAGGCATGTTGTGTAATCTCATGCGAGCATCTACCTGTATATCCATCCGCTGTACCGGGTACGAAGAGCAGGACAGGCAAGACCAGCAGATCTACCTGGACGCTGACGGCTGCGCCCAAGCAGCAACTGTCATCGCCGGGCCAAGGAATGAGGAGTTGCGCAACCAAGGGTACCAAGAACCTTCACTTCCATCTTCTTTCGCCTTTGCCTTTCATACCATAATCCACCGAAGGGCGGTCATCTGCATGGTCAATCAATAGAAGCTGGAAATATCGGCAGCATGGCGTCTTCAACCTCGGTCAGTGCTCATTGAGGCGATCAAAGGATGCCCCCTCCTTCCACCCATCAATGCCATGACAGACCCGGTCATCATTTTCTTCCTCGCCTTTCCTGTCTGCGTCCCCGTCCCCCTTTTTTCGTCTGCATTCACCTCTGAGACGATCATCATGCTGTCAGATGCGCTAGCTGACACAAGAAGCTCGTCCCCATCACCTCCAAATCTCGCATTACCCTCACATCTCTCCCCCAAGAAATCATCAAACTCGTAGCTCTTCAACTTGATCAAAAATCAGCCATATCCTTATCTGTCGTTGCTCGATCACTACACACACCATCGGAATATCGCGTTTGGCGGGACATCGATGTCTTCCTCAATCCACACCATGGGGAGCGCGTCCTCGTTCAGCCCCATGAGCGCAGCAGCTCAGGCGCGCACGTGGATTGGGCGATCGAGATGGCAAAGGATGCAGAGCAGCGGCATCGGGCTGCGCTTAAGGGGCGAGTGCGCACGCTCCTGGTGGGTCTGGGCGAGCGCAGGATGGGGATGGTGGAGAAGGTCTCGGTCATACCCCGGGAGGGAGCCCTGCTCGGCATCATGCAGCTCCTCGACACGGTCTCGCCAACGCTCAAACGGCTGGAAGTCCTTCCCCAATTCGAGCACGTATTCGACAACCACTGGGCGTCCGAAAATGACCAAACGCTGGACGTCCGGATGCTCAGCGAAACCATCACATTCCCCTTCCTCACCCACCTTCATATCGACGCCGGAGCGATCCGCTTCAACGATTACCTCCTACTTCTTGTCAGTAGGGCGCCCAATCTCATCTCTCTCGATGCGGACCTATCGGGAGAAGCGGAAGTGCCGGATTGGGAGGAAGGTTCCATGGCACCTCTCTTCCCGAACAAGATTGGGGAGACGAAGTTGCAGCGGGTTCGGCTCGTATTCGGTGACGAGGATGTAGAGCGTGATGACAACTACCCGGCCGGTGTCGTCCTCATGGGGAGTCCGCTCCTCCAGCAAGCGTGCCTGCAGGACAACTCCAACGATCAAGATCTAGAGCATATCATCGCTCCGGCCATCAAAGGGTCGCGGTGCCTAAGCGAGCTCGACTGGAGCATCACACTCAATGACTTCACGCACTGCTACTCCGGTACGGATGCGGGGCTCGTCTCGCTGCAACGACTAGTCTTAGGGTCAGGATGGTCCTCTGCCTTCGATCCAATACTCCACCTGGTGGGTTAATGGGCGGTATCATAGGCAAATGACACCGCTGAAAACCAGTTCAAACTCGAATGCTTCCCGCACCTTCCAGCCCTCGATACGCTCTACATCGTGATTCATCCGAGTAAAACACTTACATCGGCGATCATCCCGGCTTTTCCCGAGCCAGCCCCCTGCTTTAGCATGCTGCCTTCCTTCGCCTCGGCGCTACGCGCATGTCCTCGCCTATCAACTCTGCATGCTATATCCCACTCAGCGGGAGAGTATCTTCGAGGACCGCCCCTGCGGCACGGCGCGTCCTACTGGTATCATTCGATCCTTCACACACGGTAATGAAGAAGTCCTTCACGCTCACCTCCTTCTCCGTTACATGGAGAGGGCGGATGTTCCTTCCCCCTTTCCCCCCCACCGGTCAAATAGTCCCGACAACTACATCGAGTATGCCGCTGCGGACGGTTCCCAGCGCCAACGTCGATTCGATCGCCATTACGAGGGCTATCAGGACTTCACGGACTACAAGGGGGTCAAGGTGCCCATGTGGGTCCTCCAGAAGATGAGGCGGGCGGAGGGAGTGGAGTACGGCGGCTGGGAAGGTAGGGGTATCGAGGTGGGCGATAAGGGATGGAAGGTACTTCAGGATTGGAAGGCGGGATATGACAAGGAGAAGGCTGCCGAAGGAGCTAAGTAGGGACAAGTGTAAGCAGTGAGTCGCGCTTGTCCGCATAGTGCAGGGAATATTAGCGTAGAGCTGATAGTGCAGGGCGCACGTTACAATGCTTTCCCCTCAACATCCCTCATTCTCCCGATTCCAGTCCCTCCACAACAAATCTATCCATCACAATAATCGCGTTTCAGTCGGCAGTATCAACTCGGGATGGGCAACGACGTGTGGGGCGGGCGGGCGGACTGTAACAGAGCTGCCGTGCTGGGGAGGGGGTCTGGTATCAGATGGGGAATCTACGAGCCAGAGCGATGTGAAGACAGGGGTGTTTATGCAGCGAAGAATCATCGACACTGGAGCTTTTGTAAGCGCAGCTGCTGCGCTTCCCTTCTATACGGACCAGAAATGCACCCACTCAGCCGGAAATCCGGAATTCGGAATTGGCCGGACGAGGAATGAGGAGTTTCGAAGTCCAGTCAGCTCTGCGTTCCTTCTCAACTTTCCGTTTGTACCTCAACTCAATCATATCACCTCGTCTTCGGCAGCCTTATTGTCAGCAGGGAGCTGTAGGAGGGATTGCTGAGGCGTCAACACAACGTCAAAATGGTTTCCCAAGCCAACGTGAGTGATGCGATAGAGGTCATTTACATCTCTCTTAAACACTTCCCCTGCCCTCGTCTGCTCTCTCAGCTTGCTTGCCCATCAATTATCTTCGCATCCAGCTGACAGGTCAAGACCGCTTCCAACGCCAACATCGCGCCGGTCAACCTCCTGTCGATCCCGAAAGAGGTCCTGACGCAAATTTGCCTCTTGGTTGATCGCGAATCCGCAATCTCCCTATCCCTCGTTTGCCGCCACCTCCACTCCCCCGCCGAGCACGCCATATGGAGGGAGCTCAATATCTTCCTCAATCCGCACCACGGCTCATACGTCCTTGTCCAACCTTACGGCCGCAGCGGACATGGCCCGCACGTCAGCTGGGCGCAAGCCGAGGCGTTGCGGGCCGAGAACAGGCACCGTGATGCCCTTCGCGAGAGGGTCAACGAGCTCATCATGGGGCTCGGAAAGAGGCGTCTCGGGTACGTCGAGAAGGCCAGCATCATCCCAAGGCCCGGCGCCCTCATGGGCATCCTCCAACTCCTCGACCTCCTCTCCCCCACACTCAAGGCGCTCGAAATCAACGCGCCGCTCAAGCACGTCTTTGAGACGGAATGGACGCCCAAAACGTACGATACGCTCGATATCCGCTTCATCGGGTGCGGTGTCGTATTCCGGTCGCTCACGCACCTTCGGATCGGTAAGGGCGCAATTCGGCACGTCGAGTTCCTGCTCCTCCTCGTCCAGGCCGCCCCCAGTCTTACAGATCTCGATGCGGATATCGACCACCGCATGGAGGCCGGCAAATGGGACGCCCAGATGGTCCCAAGTTACTCGCCGGACGTTGGCGATACGGAGATACGGAGGTTGCGGTTATGCTTTCGCGATCGGACGGGCGCCCCTCAAGGCGCCTCCCACCCTATCATTTCGGTCATCGAGAGCAGTCTGTGTCTGCAACAGCTGGCGTTGCATTACAACGGGTCGCAAATCACCGTCGCATCCCAGCTCATGGACGCGCTGGACGACAAGGCTGATCTGACGGATCTCGACTGGTCCGTAACCCCCAAGCGCTTCTCCGAATTGGCGTCGACCTTGCAATACGGCCTGCCTTCTCTCCGCAGACTAGTCTTGCACGTACCCGCGCACAACGCCGATCCCTATATTGAGCTGGTAAGCGTCTCTTGATATCAATCGCTATATATTAGCTGACGAGCAAAGTTCGAGAGCGGGCTGGCGGACTTCTCTGAGCTCGAAACTATCTGCATCGTCTGCAACTCCGAGGACAATCTGCGCGACACCGCTACAACCGACTTTCCAGAACCAGCAGCCTGCATCGGCATGCTTCCCTCCTTCGCTTCCACCCTGCGCTCCCTCCCAAAGTTCACGGCCATCAACCCCATCGCCAAGGCTAGCCTTCCCGCCGACTCCTGCATCTTCCAGCACCTCGACGCGCTCGAGCTCTCCGCCAAGCCTGTCGGTTTCGTTCGCTCCTTCTCCTCCTCATACGAGGGCGACGAGCTGCTCCACGCGCGGCTCTACATGCACAGCTTCGAGCTCTCCGACGTGCCCTTGCCCGTTGGTCCTCTACCCCTCGTCTATCATCCCAAAAAGCAAGTTCAATACACTGCCTCGGACGGCTCGGAGCGGCTCAAGACGTTTGAGTGGCGGGCGGAGGGATCTTGGGTCAATCTCACCGACCTTTCGGGACACGCGGTGCGTCTGGAAGTCCTGAAGAAGATGAGACAGACGGAGGGGATCGCCGTGGGCGAGTGGGAAGGGCGAGACATGGAGGTTGGCAAAAAGGCTTGGAAGCACGCGTCGCATTTTATCAAGTGGAAAGAGGCTGGGGGAAAGGTCGAGGCGGAGCCGGAGGCGGGCGTGTTTGTTGACGTGGACGAGGTGGAACAGAGCTCCGAGGAGGAATATTGAAAGTAAAGGTGAGTTATCATTGTTCTTTGGCGCGATTTGACGCTGACTGAGCAGTTCCATCGCGTCAACCACCATGCCCTTTACGTCGACCAACAATTCAGAATGATCGCTGTGTATACGTCATTTCCATGTAAGATCGACCAGACCTCGCCGGATCCTTCGGACCCCCTCTCCACTCGGTCCTCTCCGCTCGCTCACTCTTCCGTTTCACAGAATAGCGCCGAACCGATTCCGCGGGCGACATTTCAGACTCGTTGATTCAGCCCGGGCCATATGACTTCTCCAGTCAAACAAAGCTGAGTATTTATGCATTGTGTAGATCAGTCTAGGCCATCAGATAGGTTGCTGCGTACAGGTTCGCACGATAACAGAGCGCTACGGCTGCTGGGCTCCTGCTGTGACTCAAGCTTGAATGGCTGAGGAATATGGAGTCGACGACGACGAACAACCAATTGATCGAGCTCATCTCATCTTTTATGTACCATCTCATTCAAACACCTTTCCTCGACTAGCCCACACCGGATCGCTGGTACTGCCAGACATCGGCTCTGTCTGTCGTGCTATAATGGTTTCTACAGCATCAGTGAGTGGGCAAGGTAGTGATTCCCTCCTTCCTCCTTTCCGGCTTGTTCGGCTATCCGGTGTATCCCGCAAATACATACTGACGCCTCAGACTCCCCAGATCCCCTCCATCCCCGCCATCAACCTCCTATCTCTGCCTCCGGAGTTCCTCACCTCCGTCGCACTCCAGCTGGACGGAAAGTCAGCGGTCGCGCTTTCTACCACATCCCGTTAGCTTCACACTCCCGTCCAGGCCCGGCTTTGGCAGGAGGTAGACCTCTCCCTGTCACCTCATTATGGCAAGCGGGTGCATATCACGCCACTTTTTTCCGGTTATCCGGCGTACCAACAATGGGCGGCGGATGAGGCGACGGAAACGGAGGAGACTCAGGAGAGGCAGAACGCCGCAATGCTGCGGCGGATTACGAGACTGAGGGCGCTTCTGGCGGACGGGCGAATGGGGCTCGTGAAAGACCTGTCGGTCGTGGTCGATGACGGATCGATCGCGGAGGTGTTCAGCCTACTCTGCGACATATCCCCCACCCTCAGAAAGCTCTGTATCAGCCCGGTCTTCGATCACATGCGGGATTCGGAGCGGTCCGCCTCGCACGAGGACCTCTTCAACGTCAACGGCTTCATCCGCTCGGATATGGTCTTCGCGTCGCTGACCCACCTTCGTATCACCCGCGGAGTGGTTCATCGAGCCACTGCGCTTTCATCACTCGTCGCGGCAGCTCCCGGCCTCATCCATCTCGATGCGGCATTCGAGTGTGAGGTCGACGCTGCAACTCGGGAGGAACTCCTCGCACCAGGCTATGTAGCGCCCACTACTGCAACAGCTCTGCGGAAGCTCAAGCTACGCTTCGTCGGCCTCAGTCGCGGCGAAATCCCCTCCACCTTTCAGCACCCAGGCATCTCGCTCATGGCGAGGAGTCCGCTACTGCGGCAAGTCTCTCTCTCTTCAGACGACAGAGAGCAGCCTGCCCCACTTCAGTCCGCGATGGCGTTGAAGGACAAAGCTCACCTGATGGACGTCGACTGGTCGAACACTTTGGCTGACTTCCTCGCTGTCTCGCGGCAAGTCGACTTGGAGCTTCCCTCCCTCCGGAGACTTATCGTGAAGGGGGAGCAGTACATGTCCGATCCACATCTTGAGATGGTGAGCAGGGAGGCGTCTCGTAACTGAAGCCCCGCCCTTGACAATAGTACTCCGCTGATCCTCTCAGCATGAATACTGCCTACCCAATTTACCCGGGCTCGAGACACTTTATATGCTGTACGACACCGATGTGGCGGTCGACAGGATTGAGGACACAGCTTTCCCGGATCCTTCTCCCCTGTCTGGCATAGTGCCAAAATTTGCCACAAATCTTCGCAACGCCCCTTCCCTACGGTACATAAACATCCTCTACTCCGACACCATTCCGAACGGCTCATGCATCTTTACGCATCTCGATCGATTCTCGTCTTTGCCCAAGCCAACGGGTCTGATACGTTCATTCTCTCACAACGGCGCGGAACTCCTCCACGCACGGCTCTACACGCACTATATCGTGAAGTCGGACACCTCCCAATCTCTCTGCTCGCATCTACGGGCGCCGTCGCGTCATTCGGACTACCGTCACGTTCGTTATACCGCGGCGGACGGGAGGGACCGAGTCAAGTATTTCGAGTGGTTCCCTCAGCCCGCGTGGCTCAATTTCACCCACTATGAAGGGTATGCAGTGCCCCTCGAGGTCATCAAGAGGATGAAAGAGACGGAAATGTGGGAGGCGGAGATGAGGGAGGCGCAGATGAGTGAGGCGGAGATGAGTGAGGCGGAGACAAGTCAGACGGAGGGAGCTCGCAACAGAGCATGGGAGGGGCGGCAGATCGAAGTCGGGGTTAAGGCGTGGAAGCATCTAACAAATTGGGTCAAATGGAAGGCATGGACGGAGGCGGGGAGGACAAACACGGTGAAGATCGAGTTGCCGGGATATTAAAAAGTCAAGGGAGAAATGGCGAGGGAGGCGGGATACCCCTTGGCCTGAGGTGAGGAGTCTTACGTTCACCGCGCCTTTCGATATTGGGCTGACGAGCAGAGTGTCTTCATTATGTATATCGGCGTTCTCTTACGCTTAGCTGCAGAGAGACACGTCGACATCCGCATATACATCATCGCTCCTGAGGAATCGAATGCTCGCCATAAATCAAGATCAATACTGATACATCCCCACATACCCTAACCTAGGCGATCCCAAGCATCCTGATCCTCCTCCGTCAACTCCTCCCTCCCCTGCCCCGGCCTGACCGTGACACCCTGCCTGGCTGGCTGCTCCCTATCACCGCTTGATCCCCTACTGCCCCGATCCCGATCCGGCTCATCCGCATATAACGGCTCATACCTTCCGCCACCTGCCAGCGTTCTCCGTCCGTTGCTGTGAAGAGGCAAGATAGGTGCAGATCGGCTGTCGAGCGTACGCTCGGCGGCTGCTTCTTCGTCGGAGAAATCCAGGTCCATGTCGAGTGCGTCGGGGCGGGCTTGGGAGAGATCGATTGGTTTTGGGGGATTGAAGATGGAGTGGCCGGATCTTAGGGTCAGCAAGTACTATTGCAGTGTCGGGCTATTGTAATCGGGATGCAGAGAAGGAACAAAGGAGGCCGGAAAGGCCACGTACCTTCTCAAGATGTTGACAATGCGGAGGAACTGTACCCCGTTCCTTATAACGAGCAAGATCATGTCCAGATTCTCCTCAGCTGTGATCATCAGTCTTTGACCACCTCCAGATGAGGCGGAAGCATAAGAGAGCGACACGTACACATGGAGCTATCAGAGCAAGGGCTTGTAAAGACCACAATGAGCGTGATGGAGCAGAATAGGACAAGGAGGAGGTCGATGACGTTTAAGGGGGTCATAGGGTATTTCTGGGGTCTCAGCGTTCACATTGCCTTTGCCAGCACTGTGACAAGATATAGTTCGGCGCCCAGCTGCGACGTACCTTGCCGTATGCGATCCATCTTGTCCCGACCTCGATAACCATCAGAGCATTGATGACGATTTCGAGGATATGCCACGTTATTGACGGGCATCCATCTGCCTCTGTCAGTCTGCACCTATGATTTTCTCCTTCCCAGACCCTCATCTTCCCCTCGAGAGCCTCCATCACGACCTGGGCTGCTGCGCACAGCGGGAGTCGGACGTGGGGGATGAGATCCAGCAGAATTGACAACTCACGTCTTGCCATCAAGCTCATGACCACAGTGACCATACTCAGACTCATCATCACGAAATAGAACAGCACATAGTACCGGCTGAAGATGATCCTATTTGCCAGCCCGCGAAGCTTTTCTGAGGTGGGCAGATGATACGGCGAGCGGGACGGCTGGGGTTGATTCGGGTTCCCATTGTTTACGCTGAGAAACGATGTCGTGGGCTCGTCATCTATATCGTCCGGTAGCTCGAACGACGCTGGTGTGAGCGAGTTGTCTGGGCGGGACATTCTAGCCTCTGGGAGATCCTGCTGCAGGTGATAATGTATGTAAGAGCGATAGCAAGGTCATCTCCCTCAAGATCTCCCTTGACCTCTCTTCCCGTTTTGCGGAATGAGGAGCAAAGGCATGTCCGTGCGCGTGATTTTGAGGGACTGGCATATGAGGAGCGGGTCGTGCCCCTTGTTTGGCCAGCTGTAGCATAGATACGTCCCAGGATTGTCCTTGGTCTACTGTCCCCAGTCCTCCCAATTCACCCCGGTGAATCGCCCAAAGCCTTCCCCAGAGTCCTTCATGACCGTTCCCGTCTCCGCCTCATACTCGTGCCAGAACGTGATCAGCTCCTTCAGCTTGTCCGGTTGTTCCGCTGCAAGGTCTTTGATCTCTCCAGGATCTACTTTGTCAGCTTGATCGCACGATATGCGGTCTCCACCGCAACGATCAGCTCACCAATGGAAAGATCGTACAGTAGCCACTTGTCATTCCCGGTGGGTGGCGGGAGCCAGACGGCTTTCCACTTGCCTTGACGGATAGCAGCTTGACCGAAAACTGGTTTGTCAGCTTGATCTAGACACGAGTCGAAGAGAACTCACGTTCCCAGCCGTGTATCGCGTTGTCTCCGTGTACCTCATCCTCCTTGCCTGAAAGGTACGGTACCCAGGACTTGCCTCTCGGACGCAGGACCTTGCGGCCGCGGAATTCGTCTCCAGGGTGCGGTACTCCAGCGAGGTCAAGCTAGGTCGTGAGCATTCTAAAGGCAGGACTGTGGCACGACAACTTACGACAGTGGGTAGGATGTCCATCACAGTGGTGAACTCGTGCGTGACCGAGCCATTTCTGGAGCCGGGGTAAGCGATGATGCTCGGACATCTGATACCGCCCTCGGTCGACCAGGCTAGGGCATCAGCCCGCGCTAGGTAGCTCACAGCCATGGAAGATCTGGCTCACCCTTGTACATCCTAGATGGAGCTGTAGCAGCTTGTGCCCACATTGGTCCGAGGTAGGTCCACTACTATATCAGCTCGGTCCGTCAAGATTGTGACTGAAGATGTGCTCACCGAGTTGCCGCGGCCGATGTTCTCCAGGCTGTTATCGAAGAATCTTTCGATGGTCTTGGTGATCGCATTGCCCATGATGGGAATGGCCTCAAGTCTGCGTGATCAGCGTTATTACTACGAGAATAAGATGACGAGGCTGAGGACTTACAGCGCTCCTTCCGCACCGTTATCGCTCGAGAAAAAGACAAAGGTGTTGTCGAGTTCACCCTGATCCTCGATCTCCTGCAAGACCTTGCCGATCTCCTTGTCCATTACGGTGACCATGGCAGAGTAGACCTGACTCGTCAGCTCCTCTCCAAGCAGTCAGCAACAGCAGCATTCTTACCTCCATCTTCCGAGCGCTGAGCTTCCGTTCGTCCCCGGTCAGATCTGCCCAACTCTTCTCGCCGTACGCGTTGATGATAGGGTGTGCTTGGACCTGGGTATCAGCGCTGTCTGTCCTTCAGTACTCACGTCTTCTGAGACGAGACCGAGCGTCTTAAGCCTCTCCAGCCTTTCCAGCCGTAGAGCTTCCGGACCAGCATCATACCGGCCCTGGTACTGAGCGACCTCTTCTTCTGGCGCTTGAAGAGGCCCTGGACGTCAGCTGGGACCACACAGCGGGAGCTAAAGGGAACTTACAGTGAGGAGCGGTGAAGGGCAAGTAAGAAAAGAACGGCTTGCTCTTGTCTCGCTCAGACAAGAACCCGACCATCCGGTCCGCGAAGTACGTGGACGAGTAGAAGGGGCCCTCGATGTCCTTGTGAGTGATCTGCTTGGCGCCTTCGACATATAGCGGCGGGAGGAACTTCATGGCTGGTGTGTTGTCCTCCAGGAAGGGCTCGTAGAGATCTGATAGTCAGACAGGTACGCAAAGAGTAGGATGACAGGCGTACAGTGGTTGCCTGCTCCAGGCAGGAGACCAAAGACCTTCTGGAACCCCCTAGCATGCGGCTGCGCATGAACCGGAAGACCGAGATGCCACTTTCCTAACATGATCAGCGCGAGGCTTACAGATCAGTGGGCGCCCACAGCGGCTCACCAGACATGATGGTCTCATAGCCGGCATCGCTGAGAATCTCGGGCAGAGCAGCGACGCGCTGGGGGTCAGCATCCGCTCCGTATTCACCCAGCTTGCTGTGTACGCACATCGTTCAGCATCCCCTCATAGCCTGGTCGACCTTGGTAGAAGGGGTCTCTGCCAATGGTCTCGGCCATCTGACCTAGCCCAGCCCTGCCTTGTCAGCTTGAGCAGCCAAAGAGACGCGCGGGTACCGCATACAGGTGATTGTCCGTCCCGCTCATCAACATTGACCTTTTTTGTCAGCTTTTTGTCAGCTCAAGCCCTCGCGCTTTCCATTCGACCCACCTGGTCGGACTACATGCTGAGGCCGTGTGGAAGCCTGTCTGTAGCAGACCTCTCTTTGCCAGCTTGTCAAGGTTAGGAGTCAAAATCTGCTGCTCAGCCAAAGTCCTCCTCGGCCATCGGGCACCGGGCAAAGCCGAAGACTCACTTCTGAGCCAAATGCGCCGACATCGCTGAAGCCCAAGTCATCTGCGATGATCTATACCATCAGCGTCGCCCATTGGCATGGGCTCACTATCAGGAAGTTGGGCCTGGACATGGTGAGGTGAGGTATGGCGGACTGAGGAGAAAGCTGAGTCGGACACCGAAGAGTTATAGCGGGGCGGTCGATAACGTAAACCGGCGCCGGTGGATATCACGCCATTCCTCCGTCCAACGACGACATCAACGCTCATCCTGTCGACATGAGCACGTTTCGCGACGCCAAGGGCTGCCGGTCGAGTGCCGCAAAGCACTCACAGCCAGCTCACGGCGCAGCATCTAAGCGATAAAGTACCTGACTGTACTGATTACACACAATGCAGTCATTATTGCACCGAAAATGACGACTGACCAAATGTGACATTTCGGACAGCGCTGCTTGTCAGCTCAGGCAAAAGATCACGCTATGTCAAAGCCGAGCCGAAGGCTAGCCGCTCCTTATATTCCAGAGACGAGGAAGAAGATTCCGAAACATCCCCCCTTTTGATATTCGGAAGCCCCTTGATCTAATCTCATAGCCAGTATGGCAGCTTACCCCTCGCCATCGCCCTCCCTCGAGAAGGATGAGCTTGACAGCCCATCTGCCAGCTCGTCCGACGGACTCTTCACCTATACCGCCGAAGAGGAAAGAAGAGTGTACTGGAAGCTGAATGCCTCTGTACTCTCTTTGCTCTTCCTCGGCTTCTATGTCTTTCAACTGGAAAGAGGAAATATCAGCAACGCCTTGACAGATGGGTGAGTCCACGAGAGACATCAGCTTCATCATCAGCTAACGCTTAAGCTTCCTTGCTAAGATCGGTATCACCCAGGACCAGTTCAACAATGGCCAATCACTGCTCTACATCGGTATCATTTTGCTCGAGGTCCCAAGTAACTACATTCTTCAGTGGATCGGGCCAAGAGTAAGTCTGCTCTTTTAGTTCTCAGATCATGCTGACTTGTAGATATGGATCTCATTCCAGGTCCTCGCCTTTGGCCTAGTCGCCACCTTCCAAGCCTTCCAGTACGACTACTCGACTTTCCTCACCACCCGCATCCTGCTCGGCGTGGCAGAGTGTGGCTTCATCCCCGGCGCCTTATACACCCTATCCACTTTCTACAAGCGCGGCGAGCTCGCGACCGTCACTGCCGTCTTCTTCCTCGGCAACAGTCTTGCGGGCGCCACTTCGGGTCTCCTCGCCTACGGCATCCTCCCGCTCGGCACTACCCACCCTCGGTACTACGGCTGGCAATGGCTCATGCTCATCGAGGGGTCCATGGCCTGCTGCGTCGCCCTCCTTATCATCTGCTTCCTCCCCGGCTCGCCTAGCCGACCTCGGCCTCTCTTCCTCCCCATCCGCTACTTCTCTGACCGGGAAGAGCAGATCATCGCCAGGCGGGTGGTATCGGACGATGCGGCAAAGGCAGCTACGTCGAGGCGGTTGACGGTGAAGGAGGTGTTTGGGACACTGGGGAACTGGCGGATCTGGCCTCATGTCATCATGGCCATCGCCTACATTGCGCCTACTGGGGCTATGGGGACGTACGGACCCACCATCATCCGCTCTTTCAACTTTGACAGTATGTCCCCTTCCTCGTTCCGATTGGGCAATCAGCTGACTCTCAGCTCTCACCGCTAACGCTCTCTCGTCTGTCGCTGGCTGGGCAGCCCTCGTCATGACTTTCGTCTACGGCTTCGCATCCGACCGCACCCAGCTTCGCGGACCCATCATCCTCATCGGCCTCACTCTTGCGCTGGTCTTCTGGATCGGCTTCCAGCAGACGTCGACCTCGTCGGACCGTTGGCTCAAGTATGCGATGCAGGTACTCACTCAAGGCTTCGTCTCATCCTACCATGTACGTCCCGTCTCATCGTCTCATAGGGAACCTCCGCTGACGCACAGCCTCTCAATGCGACATGGCTCTCACTCAACTGCCGCACGCCTCAAGAACGGTCGATCGCCATGGCCATGAGTACGCCTTCTCCTCTGTATCTATCTATATACCGACAAGAGCTGATCTGGCAGTTATCATGGCCGCTAACGGAGGTGCTCTGGTGGGGTCTCAGCTGCTCAGAGGGGACGACTCCCCGCTCTACCCGCGCGGCTTCAAAGTCTGCGTTGGGCTCGTGGCTATTGCACTAGCTACGGGTGTTGCGCAGCACGTCCAGTACAGGCTATCAAATCGGAGGCTGGCCAGGCGAGCAGGGCTGGAAGAGGGACTGGAAGGGGTAACAGAGGAGAAGGGCTTTAGGCATACTTTGTAGTTTGGGTAACTCAGTATAGATTATAGATGACAATCTTGACGGAGGATATCGCTCGGCGGGACAGCTCGCCATCTCCAGGCTGGGATCGATGACAGTTGATTACCCGCTTTCCTTCCGCGGAAGCCCCGCGGCGAAACTCCTCATTCCTCAACCGCGCACTGACCCGCCTTCCGACTTCCGACGATCTCTCCCGCAACGTATCACATATCGACTCCCATCCGCTCTTGTACGACTACATCTTGACACGATAAAAGTCTACTGCGGAAAATAGTAGGTCGTGTGGACGCAGCTGCTCGGCTGCTCGAGTACGAGGGAAGGGAGCTGAGAGTCCGTTAGATCCCGCTGAAAAAAAGTGGGCGGTCTTTAAGAACATCGCGAAGAGAAGCAATTGACCGAAATGTCGTCCGAGGTAGGTCATGACCCTTATCCTATGTCTCGAGAATATCACTGACAAATTCAGAGGGGCAGCATATCGCTCGATCAAGTGAGTCTTTGCGCGGGCTACACTATCCATCACGATCGTCCGAGGGGGGGAAGCTGATCGTGATAGGCACGCGAGACCTCCCTCAATGCCCTTCCCTTTACAGCGCCTCCTACCACAATTGTCACCCTCCCACACGAGATCGTCACCCACATCACCACCTTCCTTCCCCTTCCCGACCTCGTCATCCTCTGCCGCACCTGCAAATTCCTCCACCCGTTCCTGACCGAGGACAGACTCTGGGAACGCCTCAACATCGCGCTCCCCAAACACCACGGCGACTATCCTCGGGAATGGCACTGGATGTACAGGAATGAGCCTAGCGCAGGGACTGTAGACATGTGGATGGCGAGACAGGCGCGGAGCGGACAAGCCGCGCGGGTTATGGAGGCAAGAGAGAGGATCAACAATACCATGGCGCGGGCGGGATGGGAGCAGTGGGGCCGAGTCAGAGAGATACATCTCGAAGTGCGGCCGGGATCGACGGTGGGGATGTCGCATCTCCTGGAATTCGTCCAGCCCAATCTGCGGAGCCTTTCGATCGAGATAGCCGACGACTTCGACCCGTCGGACCTATGGGATGGTGCCGGCCATAGCACTCTCGACGCGCTAATCCTCGACGGCCCCCTCGCCTTCATGGCACTGACGTACTTACGTTTCGGTCCGGGCTCCATACTCTACCCCTTTGTCGTTCCGCACTTGTGCGAGATCTCACCCAATCTCTCCGCCATCGACATCGACGTCACTCGCGACGCCTGGCACGGACTCGGACCTTGGGAACCGCCGGACACGCATTTGGAGGACTACCCCACGCGGATCCAGCGCATGAGGATCAAATTCGACGAGATGGACGATGAGGATTACCACCCCATGCTCTTCGGAGTAATGGAGCAGTGTCCGGATTTGCGGCAGTTCTCGCTGGTCCCACGCCTGCGAGGACTGGATAGTCCTTCACTTCTTACTCGTGGCATTGATCAAGTGCCCCTTGCTACAGAGCCTGCATCTCTCCATCCCTTTAGGCGCTTCCTAAGAGAGTTTATCCCTACGGAACCCAAATTTTGCTCTCCAGACTCTCATCATCTCATCAGACTCATGGTCAAACATCGTGAGTCCTACACAACCCCGAGGGGCTACCACTGACTCCTAGTTTACCTTCAAGCACCAGCTTCCGTACATGCGCGAGCTCTACTTTGACGCATCACTACGGGAAACACCCCACACACCTCCCCTGCCCCCTTCCGCATCCACTACCTACCCCTGGAGTACGCAAGACATGATCCCCGACTTTGTCGCTCAACTTCACGCAAATCCCCACGTCCAGTACATCCACACGTTCGCCCATCCCCACGGTCCCATTGACACCAACTATATCGATGACGTCCAAGGCATGGACAGGTCGGATACCATCACGGGCAAGATCTACTCGTGGAAACACGGGACCGAGGAGCTGGTCTACGCTCTACTCTACTTGCCCAGTGTAGAAGTCGCCTACTCGCGTCTCCCTGGTCCCGTCATCGTCAACTACGCCACCACCTTAGTCTTTACGGACAGCGGCGATCCTAACGGAGGACCTTTCAGGAAGGAGTATCTCCTGGCGGAGCAACCATCCTGGCAGCACTTCAGTGACCACCAGGGGATTGCGGTCCCTCTGTATGTGATCGAAGGGATGCGCGAGGCGGAGGGGAAAAGTCTCGAAGAATGGGAGCAGCGAGGTGTTGAGGTCGGTGATAAGGGTTGGGCGATCTTGTTGGAATGGCGGGAGGATATGACGAAGACGGATACAGAGGCTTGAGGGAAGGTCATGGCGGTACGTCGGACTTGGACTGCAGTGAGTATCTCTGGATGCTTCAAGGGGGACTTGAGCTGAAATCCCAGGCCTCCTCCCCTCTCGGCAAACCTCCACATCTCCTGGAGCATCGCACGGGACATATGTGTTCTGGGCATGGGCGGGTCAAGGCGGCATGGAGACATTGGGCCATGGGGCCGGCCAGACCTAGAAGGGCTATGCGGTCACGCATTTACAGCTGTCGAGGAGCGTATCTAGGGTGGGGCAAAGTGGGGGGATTGCTAGCTTAAATGGACCGTCATTTACGACTTTGCAACCTGAAAGCAAACCTGAAAGCTAAAGTTCTCGTCTGTGTTGCGTCTGTGCCCCTTCAAGCATACATCTCATATCTGCTCGACGGTCAAGTCACACCGTACGAGTAAGATCATCGAGAGGACAGGAGAAGGCCTGAAGACGTCTCAACAATCCGATAGCGAGTCGCAAGGAGGTCGATCGCTCGGTCAGTCCGGCAGGAAAGCAGGGAAAACATCTTCGAAGGGTTTGCGACCGGGGACGTCATGGTGACCGATTCAGTGAGCTCGCCCGTGAATTGTATGAATTGTATGAATTGTATGAATTGTATGACTATCACAGTTTGCAAAACGGCAGCTGATTGCCAAAGGGAACTGTTACTACGGCTTTGCCATTGCCATCCCGAACACTCGTGATGACCTCCCCCTCATTGGTCACTCTTCCCCGCGAGCTCGTCAGCCTCATCAGCTCCCATCTCCCCCTGTCGGACCTGATCGTACTCGGCCGGACCTGCAGATCCCTCCATCCCTTTCTCACCAAGGAACGCCTATGGGGACGCCTGGACATCTCAGTGCCCGCTCATTATGGCGAACACCCGCGAGTCTGCACTTTGGCGCCAGACGAGCTAGTGGCGGATGATGACGAGTTAGGCGGCGGTTGTTGAGCTTTGGATGGACAGCCAGGCGGTTGAGGGGAAGGCGTTACGAGATGCGGAGGCAAGGGAGAGGGTCAAGCGGCTGATGGAGCGAGCGGACCGGGCGGAATGGAAGGTGGTCAGAGAGCTGCGGCTGCAGGTGTACCCGAGCGCGGCGCTAGGGATGGCGCATCTGCTTGACTTTGTCGACTCGAACATCACTAGCTTGATCATCGAAGCTCCCGGCATGCTCAGCGACGAGGCTCCATGGGAGGCTATCGGACACCGCACGTTGGACGCGTTGGTTCTCGGCGGGCCCCTCGCTTTCTATGCGTTGACCCATCTCCGGCTCGGCCGCGGGTCCGTCCTATACCCATCCTTCTTGACACATCTATGCAACATTGCACCCCGACTTTGCACGGTCGACATCGACATCTCTTGGGACGAGTGGTCCGAACTCGGACTGTGGCACCCACCTGAGCCAGCCGTCCTCAGTCATCCGACAAACATACGACGTCTCCGCATCTGTTCGGACTACTCGGGGCTTGACGACGGGTACACTAGTGCTCTCGCCCACATATTGGAGAACAGTGACGAGCTGTGGCAGCTATCGGTGGATTATGTCTCAAGCAATGGAGATGTTCTATTTGCGCTTGTCGATGGGCTCGGCGGATTGAGGAAATTGGAGGTGTTACACCTTGATATCAGAGATGCTATTCTTGACCACTTTGGCGGAATCCAGGAGGACTTGGCTCTTGGGGTGCTCATTATCCCCTCACAATATGTGATGGATATCGTAAGTTTCTGGCGCGTCTGGCGAGTCAACTCAAAGCTGACAATCAGTTCGACTTCAGATACCACTTGCCGCATATGCGCGAGCTATACTTTGACGTATCTGCGCGCGACACTTCGAAATCATCTCCTCTTCCCACGTCATCATCCACTACCTATCCCTCTGAAACGCAAGAGATGCTCCCTGTCTTTGCCGAAAACCTCCGCCGGAACCCCCGCCTTCGCTTCGTTCACGCTTTCATCCCGACCGGGCCCGCGGACACCGATTACATCGACAACGTCCTTGACCTGGAACGGTCCGACACTATCATCGGGCACATCCACTCCTGGCGGTATGGCGAGGAGGAACTCCTATATGCCTTCCTCCACTTGAACAGTGTGGAAGCCGCACACTCTCGATACATCGTTTCCCCCCACCCTGGATGGGTCGAATCCACAAAGTACAGCGACCGATACGGATCTCTTCACGAGAAGCGCTACATTCCGCAACAAGACGCATCGTGGCAGAGGTTCTCCGACTATCGGGGAAATGTCGTTCCGCTGCAGGTGATTGAAGAGATGGCAGAGGCGGAAGGGATGAACTCGGAGGAGTGGGGCGAGCGAGGAGTAGAAGTGGGGAAAGAGAGCTGGAAGATATTGGAGGATTGGCGGGAGCACGTGGAGCAGGATGGGTACTGAGGCAAAGAGGATCCAGAGGGGGTCGCCTTTGACTCTGGATGTCTTGATGGTGAGTTCCGAGTCAATTCCATGAGCAGACGGTAGCGGGACAGCTGACTCCTAGACGTATTCTCCCTCCAATACAGCGGGACAGTAGAATTGTGAGTGTTCAGCTGCGGCATGAATGATATAGAGCTGATCTTCTAGGCCTAGTCATCTCCCGTGTTCAACATGCATACTCCTAGCTTCTGTTGCCGGTGTACTGGGGCGATACAGCGTGTTTTCGATGCGCTGTCTACGCGCGTGCAGAATCGGCGGCTACAGCGGGACACGGGGGCTCGGTTACGTCCCCACTCGAGCAGGCAGGTACGCGCGTCCCTGGGTGGATCACGTCCGAAAAGGAAGGGAGCGAGAGGCTGTGGCGTAGGGAAATAGATGGTCGAGCCACACGCACGGACCAGACTGGGGCATCGGGATATCGGCTCCGAATTCCGCCCGGCGGCCGAGGTGACCGGACTTGGCTCAAGCTTGGCTATCTCTCCCTCGCATATCAATCGCCTCTCATTCCCATCTCCTCTCTCCGGCTGGCACCTCGGTCAAGCAGCGCTTAATCACCCAACTCCCATCGTCCAATACGAGCACGAAAAGAGGGAACCACGTCAGACAGAGCGGGAACGCCTAGAACACCCGCGATGGTATCTCGAATCTTCCTTATCTCCTCTGGGATGTGCTGATCAGCAGTCTGTAACAATACTCCCACTTCTTCCCGACAAACCACTTCCCATCCTCATCACTCTCCCACCCGAGGTCGTCGCCCGAATCGGCTCATCCATCTCACGCAACGACCTGATCAATCTGGGCCGCACGTGCCGCGCCCTCGTCCCGTTCGTCCCGGAGGAGCGGCTTTGGAGAGATATCAACCTCTCTCTTCCACCTCATTACGGCAAACAGCCAATGATCAGGCCGGCGGACCGTACACTTGAGCACTTGCTCTGGGAATCCTCGAAGTTCCATGCGGAGCAATCGTCGCGCTCTGCCGAGCTCAAAGCTTTGGTGAATGCTATCTCGCGCTCAGTCTCGGCGAGACGGTTGGCGTTGGTGGAGAAATTGACGATCAAGCCGGAGGAAGGGTCGACGGTGGGGATGATGCACCTGTTGGAGCTGCTGGCGCCAACTCTACAGGTGCTGGAGATTATCGGAGGGGAAGGAGTTCACCGCTGGGGCAACCGAACCATCGCGGCCATGCTGATCGAGAGCGACATGCGATTCTCCGCCCTCACATCGCTTCGGATCGGACACAAAGCAGCCCACTATCCCGAGCTGGTCTCCTTCATGTGCATGACCATGGCGCCAAATCTTACATCGGCGGATATCGACCTTACTGGCCCCTCGGAATCCGAACCTATTCCAGCATTCTGGTCTTCGGCCAGCTTCGTCAGAGGTCTACTTTCGGCAACATCCAGCCTCGAACGTCTCCGTATCCACTGCTTCTCTCGCGGGGAGGTCGGAGAGGACGAGTGGTCATACACCCTCGCGGACCTGGTGAAGCGGAGCCCTCGTCTCACTCAGCTATCGGTCGATTACGTCGGAAGAGATTCGCCTCCTATCTGGCCGGTTCGAAAGAGTCTACCTCGATGGGTCCTACAGGTCGCGCCTTCCAATGTCACCCTCCGCCAATCCCGCCACCTATCCGGCTCACGCTCAAGCGATGCTGCCGGATTTCGCTGAGCAGCTCTACGCGTGTCCACACCTTCACATCCTGCACACCCTCCGCGAGACGTTCAATTCCGGCGATATCACCCTCTTCGACCGCTTAGACGAGCTCGAGGCGATCGGCGAGCATAACGGAGTCATCTCGTCTTGCTGCAACGGAGGGCAGGAGATTCTCCACGCTCAGATGCTTCTCAGTGCTAGTGAAGTGACGCCGGGCGTACTGCCCACGCTTCGGTACTTCGACCTCGACAACGAGCCCAGCGTATGGGATATCAAGTATACGGATCGGGTTGGCGTGGAGAAGAATCGGTTCTTCTTCGAGCAGAAGCAGGCCACGTGGCAGAGCTTCACGTTCTTCGAAGGGCTGGCGGTGCCGCTAGAAGTGCTGGAGGATATGCGAAAGGTGGAGGGGCTGGATCTGAGGGAGTGGGAGGAGAGAGGAGTCAAGCTGGGGAATAAGGCGTGGAAGTTGGTGGACGAGTGGCATGAGGCGGAGCGGGCGAGGTTGGCGGCGGTGTAGCGGCGGCGTAGATCTGGAGCAATTGCGGCGAGTCCTGGTGAGTCTCTATCCGCGAGATGAGGATTGATCTGACTGGGCAGGTTTCATGGAGACTTGACATGGCTATCAGGGAGGGTCACACGCGCTAGTCCGAGGGAGATTCGCGGGACAGCGCACAAGATCAAGGTACATCCCGCAAGCGAGGACATAGCTCTAAGTCCGAGCTAACAGATCAGGTACCGATACGCCATCAGGGCGGTGCTGGTCGAGCGGATACGAGCTGTGCTACGAGCGCAAGCAGGTGAGCGTTGACTTGAAACTTGCAAGTGGACTTGGCTAATTTCAGGAAATGACCAAGGTCACGAGCTCCAAGGGACGCTCAAAGTTAGAGGAGAGAAGGATCTTATGAGCGCTTTGACCACCTGGCAACGCGATGTAAGCTGATCGTCAGATTGGTACAGAGATTCGTTGGGTCGCGGCAAGACGGTTCCGAGGGAATCTGGGGGATGAGGTGTCTTTGGGGGCGTCATGAACAGCTGTAAGAGTTACAGGTGTACGTTTCTATTTTTTCAATGAGGCTGAGACTCTAGCTAAAGCTGACGAACAGCTGTCGCCGCAGTATGATCCGCCATAGTCCTATGTAGCTCCTTCCTCTTTCTCAATCCGTTTGAGTCTGACAGCGGCGCGCGAGCCTTGAGTGTACGGAAATACTGTAGCTGTCAGGGCCGGCCTGATCTGTATGGCAATGTATCCATACTATGTGAATGTCAGTGTCAGACTAATGCGGTGGCCACATTACATGGGGTCCGACTGTTCTCTTTCCGCTCGACTAGCTCCTCGACGTCTCCGAAGCCACCGAAACTGAACTCCACATTCCTCTAATAAAATTTCCAGATTTCTCCATGCGACCCTGCGCCTCTCGCCTCGCATCTCCTCTCTATCTCCTTACACCCTCGATATCAATTGAGATTTTGGCGCACTGATCGAGAGTCTAAGGTATCAGCGTCTAAAGTAAGTCTGCGTAGCAGCGAGAACTGATCGCTGCAGCCGGATCCCGATCAAGAAAGCATTCATCCACATCTCCCCCTCCCCTAGGCTCCCCTCAACACAACTCTCTAAAGCCCTGCCAATCTCGCACCTCATCACCCCGTTCCGCGCTACAAGCGTCCTGTCACAATGTCTAAGATGCCTGTCAGTCCTTCCAAGCTGATAGATACGCGCTGCGTACAAGGCGCGGTTGTGCGACTCAGCTAACCGTCCAGGCGCCCACTTTGCCCGCACCTGCCTCCCTCACCTCCCTCCCCGCCGAGATCCTCCTCAATATCGTCTTACAGCTCGACCTGCCCACTGCACTCTCACTCGCCTGTGCTTCCTCGGCTCTCACGTCCATCGCGGATCATCGCATCTGGCAGGTTGTCGCAGCCACCGACCGGTGGAGGGACTTTTCGGATTCGCAATATACCTCCTTTGAGGAGCGGGAAGCGCGTGTGAAGCAGGCGCATGCGAGGCTTCTGGACACGATCCTGGAACGGATAGATGGTCGCCGCAAGGGTCTCATCAAGTGCCTATCTATCCTCATCCGCACCGAAACCGACGACGCAACAATGCGGATCCTTTCTCTTGCCGCATCGACGGTCCGGCGACTAAGAATAGATGGCGGGTCATGGACGTGGAGTACCAGCTTCGACAGTCGTGTCCTGGACACCGGCCTCTCGCTCCTGCGGCTGAGCTATCTCAATCTGGGCGAAGCATGTGTGTGTAACGCAGAATTCGTTCTGTTGATGCTCAGCGCTGCGCCCAACCTCGAGGTGCTCGACATCCATCTCTCCGACACCGCCGGACACGCTGGTCCTCAATACCCAGCACTCACCGGAAGCACCAAACTTCGGAATTTACAAATCTACCATGACTGGCGATCCAAAGAGGAGGAGTCTATCACGCGCATGCGCAAAGTCATATTTGCTATCCTCAATCACAGTCCTCTGCTCGAGGTGCTGGTCATGGATATGCCAGATCTCGAGCTGCAACGGCACGCCGGTCCGAGGCCCTTGGCCATACTACCCCTCCTAGCTCGCCTGCATTACACGTCGCACACTGCGCTGTTCGGTCGCAACGTACCACTGCTGCAAACACCGGTTCTCAGCCAGATCGTCGTTGATGTAAGAGTTAACTTGAACCTGGTAAGCACCTGAAAGCATTTAACAGCTGAAGCGCGACGCTGATCGACCGCAGGCTCTGGACTTCCCTGCATGCCCAAATGTCGAAGTCCTTGGCTTTGACTGCTCCCTAGAATCTGCGGCAAACACAGTCAATGATATCCCCTTCCTCGCTCCATGTCCAGTGCAGAGCATTCCCTCGCATCTCGCGGCCCGACTCCGTGACTGCTCTCGTCTTCGGTACATCCTCATCGCCGACAACACGGCTCTCACCCGATCCGACGAGGGGTGGAATCATTTCTCCGTTTTCTCGGACGGGCAGACGCCATATACCGGATTCGTTCGGTCATTCCGCCACAATGGGAGCGAGATGCTTCACTTGCGTGTACTCTTGCGCGAATCGACAGAGATGCCATACGGCGGAGACGGTGTCCCGGTCGTCCAGTGGGTGCCGCTTATCCGGAGCGAGCCAGCTCTTCCAGGGCGCACCTGCTGGCAGGATTTCACCGACTGGGAAGGGCAAGTGGTGCCGATGGCCATATTGGGTCAGATGAGACGAAAGGAAGCGGGCAAGGCGGATTGGTATCAGCGGGGAGTTGAGGTGCCGGCGCCAACGTGGAAGATTTTGGAGGACTGGAGGGACGGGTTGCGGGTTTGAGGTGGGATTCGAGGGAAAAGTGGCGGAGCCGCTGGGGGAGTTGGACGGGCGAGAGATTCTAGCGGGTGGGGAAGGTCGGCTGTGGAGGGGAAGTGGCGGTACGGGACGGTCTGGCTAGAAGGGGATCAGGGGGACGTCTTCCAATGGCTATAATGTAGGCGTGTACTACAAGTGAGTGATCCTGATTGGCCTGGTGCAGGTGATGGTAAGAGCTGATATAGCAGGTGATGGATTTCGCATTCAAGGCGGGGTTGGCGAGACGTAACGGCACATTGCGCCGCTCGACGAGGAGGAATGGAGACGGGACGAGGGGCTCAATTTGGGGTTTTGGAGAACGTGGAGCCTGGAGAGCGGACTAGAGGCGCTCGGTCAGTCAGGAATGGGTGGGAAGTAAGACCCGCGTTAGTGAGTTGTTCGAGATTCCGGATATGGCTTTAGACGGCGGCGCTGAACGTTCAGGGTGGGTCTGGCTCGATCCGAAGTGGATGTCAAATAGATGCGCAATCACCTCAGTACTTGTAATGTCGCTCTGGCTTTACTGTCGCTTTAGTTGACTCCGTGTATTGCAGCTCTACTCTCTTATAGTCTTTACTGTATTCTGTGATCGCTGCGTCGGTTCTGCGGCTTATGACAATCAGCGCTCAGCTCCAACTCCACATTCCTCGTTGTCTCATATAGTAGCAGCAATTCCGGCAGCCACAGCTTTCTCAACTCTTCCTCATTAGCTTTCCTTCGGTATTCACACCCCAAGTCCTAGGAAGTGGTCAAACCCATCGAAGCTTCGCAACGAGGCGGGCATTGCGAGTTTGGAGACTTGTAGCTCATCAACGCGTTGTCGAACGCCCCGAGAAGCTGGGATGTCTTTGATCGATGTGCCCGTAAGCTCTCATATATTTTCGTCTCGAGCTTGTCTCGTCCAACCCTCTCTACCACTGCCATAATCAGCACTCAGCTGATACTCTTAGCGTCTCAATCTCCTCTCATCCCCTCCTAGCCTCATCACTCTTCCACGCGAACTTCTCAACCTCGTCTTCGACTTCGTCGATCGTCCTTCGGCTCTGGCGCTCGCGCGTACCGGCTCGGTCTTCGCACCCTTCTGCGACAAGGTCATCTGGCAGCGGCTTGACCTCAAACTCAACCCCAACCACGGTCATTCTCCCTCTACCTTTCCTCCTGAAATCAGCCCCCGCGTGTCTCTGTCGGACAGGGAAGAGCGTGCATGGTGGAAGGGGGAGGAGTTACACCAGGTCGCGATCAAGGCGAAGGTGGCCATGGTACATATGCGGGCGGATGAGAAGCGCTGGCGTATGGTGCAGGAGGTCTTCCTGGAACCAAGACCCGGAGCGGTGGATGGAATGCTTTACGCCTTGGAGATGGCGTCCAGCAGCCTTCGGCGGCTCGTTATCGAGCGGTCAGCTAAGACAGACTTCATAGACGACTGGAGGCCGCCCAAGCACCACCAAAGTCTCGAAATCAAATCTATTGATCGCGGCCTTTCCTTCCCCTTCCTCACGGAACTCCACATTGGACCAAATGCCATCCGCTTCGCCGAGCTCGCACTCCTGCTGGTCCAGGCATCGCCCAATCTACGGTGCCTCTTCGTCGACGTCATCTATGATGTCTATAATCTGGCGGACAACGCTCTATCGTGGAACCAATATGGCGGACCCTCCTTTCCGGTGATTGTGCCGCCTACCAGTATCTCGACTATGCGGATCCGCTTCTCCCACGGGTGGCCAGGAGATAATCCCGACCGGGATCATCCGCTCCACAAGCTGTTGCGCTGGAGCCCGAATATAGAGCGGCTGTCCGTGCACGCCAACTCTCGCACGGATGCGCAACGGAAGTCGATCGTCGAGACAGCGCATGGCTTGACTAAGCTGGAATACCTGCATTGGGAGTATGATGCCCAGGGTTTCGTTGACGACGTCAACTCCCTAAGGGACGTGGGCTTCTTACGATTACGTCTTCTCGTATTCCACGATATCCCGTGGTCGGTCATAGTAAGCTTTTATGAGGACCGCCAGGTCTGCGGACACGGACTGACACCTAGATCGAACAACTACCGGCATTCCCCATGATCGAGACTATCTACTTTTCGCCGGACGAGCACTACTACTTCGACGAGTTCGACGAGCTGGACCCGTGCGAAGCGACGAGCGCGTGGCCTATGCTTTCATTATTGGCTCGTCGGCTGCACGAGTCGCCCAGGCTTCGCACTTTCCGCTCGTCGACATACCTCGATCTTCCCCCGGATTTGGACGATTTCGTCAACCTCCATTCCGGCGGGGACAAGGAGAGACCCATCGGCGAGGTCTGGTCCTATCACCACGCCGGATCAGAGATCCTACACCTCCGGCTCATGGGCGCAGGATCAATGATGTACCGCTCTTTGGACCTCGCAAACGCCGCCGATCAAGGCTACATCTTCCCTCGTTCCCCGGAAGAAGAGCGGCAGACGAGAACGTTTGGGGATGGGGAATTGGGCTGGTGGGACTACACCGACCTGGACGCGGCAGTGGTACCTTTGAGTGTACTGGAGGAGATGAGAGTGGCGGAAGGCGCGAGCATTGTCCAATGGGAGCGAAGGGGAGTAGAGGTTGGAGAAGCGGGATGGGCGGTGTTATCGGCTTGGCAGCAAGGTTGCTAGGAAGTCGGTGGGGAGATGATACACGCGAGCAGTAGTGGGCATAATACAGGTGAGTAGCAACTCAGGCCAGATGCTCCGGCTTGCATGCGAGGGCTACCAGATGACATCTCAGCTGCTCCTTATGCTCTATCCTCGCGGAGATCTGCCCGTACATACCGGGAAACTGTGAGACTCCCTCTGCGCCTCTCTGTTGTGGACACTGACACCTATAGATTACTGGCAAAATGTATCGCCACCTTGACAGAATTGCTGGACTCCTCTCCTTATCTATGCATGGCTTCAGAGTCCAGGACTCCCAGTTGAACGTTGAACAAAGACTGTTCTAATGCTGGTCTTGAGGAATGTGGAGCCTCATGAGCTCCGAGGTTTTGCCGACCTGCTTAATGGCGGTCTCTTTGAGCTTGATCTCCTTTCGTACTTCTCCTGTGTACGGTACATCCGCGCATACCTTGGCTGCCATTGCACGTGTGCGGCTTGTCGTCATAGAGCTAGCTGACGACATAGCTGAGCGATCATTCTGAGCTTGCAAGGCAGATCTCTCCGCGGATCTTGTGTGCGCAAAATGTCAGATATCTTACCGGTATGTTTGATCGCGATCAATCACTTCATGAGTCTTCTCAGGACGCGGGAGACTCTAGGGAGATACGTCAGCAGCGATAGTCTCTAGTCAGAGCTATCTGCAACTACCTCAATTAGCCACTCGTTCTGAGACATTGCTGATCGCACAGCATCCCCTATCCTCCCTTCACACCACTCCTCGACGTACCACCGCCCTCTCCTCCCTCCCCCTCGAGATCATCACGCAGATCGCCCTCCACCTAGACGCTCCCTCTGCCGTCTCCCTATCGCGCGTCTCCCGTATCTTTCACGGTCCGACCGAGAGGCCGATCTGGCGGAATATCGACTTATCCGTCGCCGAGAGGCCTCTTCTCCAGCCCATTCCGTCACGCGATAGGGGCGCTCTGGACGTCAGATGCAGAGGGGATACCTCTAGCACATCCGAAGCCGAGCAAGATCGCTGGGTGCTGCAGCGGCAGAAGATCAAGAGCATCATGGCGCAAGGCGACGCGAGGACATGGGACCTCGTCGAAACCCTCAGGATCGCCCCTCAACCAAGAAGCTCCCACCTCTCGTTAGCCTTCCTCGATCTCGTAGGTCCAGGCCTGTGCGAGCTGGTCATAGAAGCACCGCTCGGACCGGAGTTAGATGGGGGCGACTTGACAGCTTATCACGGACCCCTTTCGGTCAAGCTGCTCGACGCCTGCTTCTTTACGCCGCATCTCGCCTATCTTCGGATCACGGAGATCTCGTCGCGCGTAACGCAACTCATCAGTACACTCCTCATGATGGCCTCCTCTCTGCTCTCACTCGATGTGGAGGTCTTGCCGCTTCCTACACAAACTACCCAAGTCGACAAGGACACTCTCCAATTACCGCCGGAGTTCATTCATGCCAAATTGCAGAGGCTCCGGATCGCCTCCCAACGCGGAATCACCTGGGGACAAACGGACAGGTACGACTCCTACACGGCTATCCATGAGATCATCCAATATCTACCTTGCATCCGGCAGCTTTCGCTGACATGCGAATCAGAGCGCTGCTATCCAAAAGACGACGAGTACTGCGACGTGTTCGCGTACCTCATGGCGAAGGATGAGGATCCTCCGCGCGAGATGCTGCGGGACTTGTACTGGGGCCATCACCCATGTGCTTTCGGCAAATCGTTGGATGTCAGCAGATCGGAAGGGCCGAGAGGAGGAGAGCTGTTTGCCCATTTACAAAGGGTGGCCTTTGCACAAGCATCTTGGTACGATATTGTGCGTATTCCCTTCCCACTGTGATCGGGCTGACCACCAGTTTGGCTACCTGCCCATCCTCCCAAACATGCACTCCATATACCTCCCAATTGCGACCACCGCTACTTCCCTCCCATCCCTCCCCTCATCCCGTCTTTCCGGTGGCGCATCCGACAACCATCCTGTGCGACAGATGATGCCCCAATTTGCCGCTACGCTCCGCGAAAGCCCCCACCTGCGCTACATCCGGTCCAGCACCGGCGTCAAGCACGACGACACCGATTTCTTCGACCGGCTAGACAGGCTCGCCCTGGCGGGCGACAACGATATCATCGGAGTCGTATCCTCCATTCGCTACGGGGAACAAGAGGTGCTTCATGCCGAGCTACTCCTACCCTTTGCGCAGATCGAAGCGCCGGCAGCAGGTCCGGTGTTTACCAAGACTACCGCGGCGATCCACTACATCTCCGAGGACGGCACGGAGCGCGCAGCCTATTTCGAGGCTCTGCCGCAGCCTGCTGAAAGTCAATATAGCGACTTCGAAGGCGAGGCGGTCCCAGTCGAGGTCATTGCTGAGATTTATCGGGTGGAGGGGCTGGAGTGGCCACGTGATTCTGGCAGGGGGGTTGAGGTCGGAGAGGCGGCCTGGGAGGTCCTACTGGACTGGCAGCTGCTCCAGGACTTGCAGAAAGCGACGGCGTGGACGGAGAGGAGGCAGGGCGACGGTGTGAAGACTTAGGGGATGTGTGTGAAGTGAGTTTGTCTGGCTGGTGGTGCTTCAGACGCCTCGATCTCAGGCTGACGCAGCAGGTGGATCTCTCAAATTGTGCAGACCTCTTCTCGAGCTGGCCTTCTGCACTTGCTGGGCTATATCTTTGCTGCCATGGCGCTGTACAGGCTGGCGGGATGTAGGCCGAGCGGTAGACATGCGCACGGACCCCATCCTCCTCCCCACCCTGCAGTGGATCACTTTTAGCTATCTTGGATGTATCAAGTCTACTTCTACCGTATACCTTGGCTGCTCTAGCTACTCCTCAACACAGCGCTTGAGGGAAGATTCTGAATAATAGCTCCGATTGAGGCACAAGCTAGTCTCGCTGCGGGACAGCCCATCCCACCTAAATTGAGAGACGAGGAGACCCACATTTGCTGCACGGTACGTTCCCATTTTGGTTCAGGTCCAGCGCTGCATATGGGCTCAGCAATCTAGCCTGAAGAGCTCGTAATGTAGCTTCCGATTAATCAACCTCCTATGGCCAATCTCACATCCTTACCACAGGAGACAATCAGCCAGATTGCCCTTTGTCTCGATCGCCATTCCGGCCTCTCCCTCGCTCTCACCTGTCGAGCTTTCGCCGGACCGGCGGAGGCGCGGCTCTGGCAGACCCTCGAACTATCGCTCAGCCCGTACTATGGCGTCTCTCCGCCTATCCAGCCGCATGAAGGAGCCTTTCCCTTGGCCGAGCGCGGGGGAGCCTTTCTACTCCGTCATCGCCCTTACACAGCGCTTGAGGCGTGGGCATGGAATCAGGTGGAAACGGCGGAAGAGGCGTATCGGACGGCGCTGCCAGGAATTATTGATAGGATCATCCGGATGGCAGACGGGAGGCGATGGGCACTGGTCCGCGAGATTACAGCGGCGCCTCGCGTGGGAGCCATCGCCGGCATCGTTCGAGTCCTGCGCAATGCCGCTCCCCGTCTAGCGGAACTGCACCTCGACGAGCCAACCTCCCTGGATGCCCTGGCCCCCATTTTCCCAGCGGACATTGACACGCTAGACTACGCCCTGATCAGGGCGGATCTACACTTCCCCTTCCTCACCTACCTCCGACTTGGACACGATTCCGTTCGGTTCTCCGACCTCATCCTCCTATTCCTGCACGCGGCGCCCAATCTTACGGATCGCGACTTCGATACCTGGGGTCTGTGGGATCTCCCTGCGGACGCTGAGACGCAAATGCCGCAGCTGCAAGGCGAGACCAAGCTGCGGAGATTGAAGATGGAATTTGCGGATCGGGGCCGGCAGGAGGAGACGGACGAGTCATCGCCGGTCCTTGAGATGCTTCGCCGGAGTCCTCTCGTGGAGCAGCTCTCGGAAGGCTATATGGATCAGAACGTGGTTGTCTATGACGGCCTGGTGAAGACCGCTTGGACCATGCGCGGTCTGAGAGATTATCACTGGCGTTGGGAACCCTCGGACTTTATGGACAGTGTAGTATACACGATGGGCGAGTTGGAGACGCCAGGATTCACTGGTCTCAAACGGCTAGTCTATAGTCATGCGTCCTTTGACTACATGGTACGCATATTCCTTGTCTGCTGTACTTGTACTGACACATAGTACAAGTCCAGCAGACAAGGAATATGCGTACCATGTAGTCAAAGGACGCATGACTATAGACTAGCCGTTTGAGACCAGTGAATCCTGGCGTCTCCAACTCGCCCATCGTGTATACTACACTGTCCATAAAGTCCGAGGGTTCCCAACGCCAGTGATAATCTCTCAGACCGCGCATGGTCCAAGCGGTCTTCACCAGGCCGTCATAGACAACCACGTTCTGATCCATATAGCCTTCCGAGAGCTGCTCCACGAGAGGACTCCGGCGAAGCATCTCAAGGACCGGCGATGACTCGTCCGTCTCCTCCTGCCGGCCCCGATCCGCAAATTCCATCTTCAATCTCCGCAGCTTGGTCTCGCCTTGCAGCTGCGGCATTTGCGTCTCAGCGTCCGCAGGGAGATCCCACAGACCCCAGGTATCGAAGTCGCGATCCGTAAGATTGGGCGCCGCGTGCAGGAATAGGAGGATGAGGTCGGAGAACCGAACGGAATCGTGTCCAAGTCGGAGGTAGGTGAGGAAGGGGAAGTGTAGATCCGCCCTGATCAGGGCGTAGTCTAGCGTGTCAATGTCCGCTGGGAAAATGGGGGCCAGGGCATCCAGGGAGGTTGGCTCGTCGAGGTGCAGTTCCGCTAGACGGGGAGCGGCATTGCGCAGGACTCGAACGATGCCGGCGATGGCTCCCACGCGAGGCGCCGCTGTAATCTCGCGGACCAGTGCCCATCGCCTCCCGTCTGCCATCCGGATGATCCTATCAATAATTCCTGGCAGCGCCGTCCGATACGCCTCTTCCGCCGTTTCCACCTGATTCCATGCCCACGCCTCAAGCGCTGTGTAAGGGCGATGACGGAGTAGAAAGGCTCCCCCGCGCTCGGCCAAGGGAAAGGCTCCTTCATGCGGCTGGATAGGCGGAGAGACGCCATAGTACGGGCTGAGCGATAGTTCGAGGGTCTGCCAGAGCCGCGCCTCCGCCGGTCCGGCGAAAGCTCGACAGGTGAGAGCGAGGGAGAGGCCGGAATGGCGATCGAGACAAAGGGCAATCTGGCTGATTGTCTCCTGTGGTAAGGATGTGAGATTGGCCATAGGAGGTTGATTAATCGGAAGCTACATTACGAGCTCTTCAGGCTAGATTGCTGAGCCCATATGCAGCGCTGGACCTGAACCAAAATGGGAACGTACCGTGCAGCAAATGTGGGTCTCCTCGTCTCTCAATTTAGGTGGGATGGGCTGTCCCGCAGCGAGACTAGCTTGTGCCTCAATCGGAGCTATTATTCAGAATCTTCCCTCAAGCGCTGTGTTGAGGAGTAGCTAGAGCAGCCAAGGTATACGGTAGAAGTAGACTTGATACATCCAAGATAGCTAAAAGTGATCCACTGCAGGGTGGGGAGGAGGATGGGGTCCGTGCGCATGTCTACCGCTCGGCCTACATCCCGCCAGCCTGTACAGCGCCATGGCAGCAAAGATATAGCCCAGCAAGTGCAGAAGGCCAGCTCGAGAAGAGGTCTGCACAATTTGAGAGATCCACCTGCTGCGTCAGCCTGAGATCGAGGCGTCTGAAGCACCACCAGCCAGACAAACTCACTTCACACACATCCCCTAAGTCTTCACACCGTCGCCCTGCCTCCTCTCCGTCCACGCCGTCGCTTTCTGCAAGTCCTGGAGCAGCTGCCAGTCCAGTAGGACCTCCCAGGCCGCCTCTCCGACCTCAACCCCCCTGCCAGAATCACGTGGCCACTCCAGCCCCTCCACCCGATAAATCTCAGCAATGACCTCGACTGGGACCGCCTCGCCTTCGAAGTCGCTATATTGACTTTCAGCAGGCTGCGGCAGAGCCTCGAAATAGGCTGCGCGCTCCGTGCCGTCCTCGGAGATGTAGTGGATCGCCGCGGTAGTCTTGGTAAACACCGGACCTGCTGCCGGCGCTTCGATCTGCGCAAAGGGTAGGAGTAGCTCGGCATGAAGCACCTCTTGTTCCCCGTAGCGAATGGAGGATACGACTCCGATGATATCGTTGTCGCCCGCCAGGGCGAGCCTGTCTAGCCGGTCGAAGAAATCGGTGTCGTCGTGCTTGACGCCGGTGCTGGACCGGATGTAGCGCAGGTGGGGGCTTTCGCGGAGCGTAGCGGCAAATTGGGGCATCATCTGTCGCACAGGATGGTTGTCGGATGCGCCACCGGAAAGACGGGATGAGGGGAGGGATGGGAGGGAAGTAGCGGTGGTCGCAATTGGGAGGTATATGGAGTGCATGTTTGGGAGGATGGGCAGGTAGCCAAACTGGTGGTCAGCCCGATCACAGTGGGAAGGGAATACGCACAATATCGTACCAAGATGCTTGTGCAAAGGCCACCCTTTGTAAATGGGCAAACAGCTCTCCTCCTCTCGGCCCTTCCGATCTGCTGACATCCAACGATTTGCCGAAAGCACATGGGTGATGGCCCCAGTACAAGTCCCGCAGCATCTCGCGCGGAGGATCCTCATCCTTCGCCATGAGGTACGCGAACACGTCGCAGTACTCGTCGTCTTTTGGATAGCAGCGCTCTGATTCGCATGTCAGCGAAAGCTGCCGGATGCAAGGTAGATATTGGATGATCTCATGGATAGCCGTGTAGGAGTCGTACCTGTCCGTTTGTCCCCAGGTGATTCCGCGTTGGGAGGCGATCCGGAGCCTCTGCAATTTGGCATGAATGAACTCCGGCGGTAATTGGAGAGTGTCCTTGTCGACTTGGGTAGTTTGTGTAGGAAGCGGCAAGACCTCCACATCGAGTGAGAGCAGAGAGGAGGCCATCATGAGGAGTGTACTGATGAGTTGCGTTACGCGCGACGAGATCTCCGTGATCCGAAGATAGGCGAGATGCGGCGTAAAGAAGCAGGCGTCGAGCAGCTTGACCGAAAGGGGTCCGTGATAAGCTGTCAAGTCGCCCCCATCTAACTCCGGTCCGAGCGGTGCTTCTATGACCAGCTCGCACAGGCCTGGACCTACGAGATCGAGGAAGGCTAACGAGAGGTGGGAGCTTCTTGGTTGAGGGGCGATCCTGAGGGTTTCGACGAGGTCCCATGTCCTCGCGTCGCCTTGCGCCATGATGCTCTTGATCTTCTGCCGCTGCAGCACCCAGCGATCTTGCTCGGCTTCGGATGTGCTAGAGGTATCCCCTCTGCATCTGACGTCCAGAGCGCCCCTATCGCGTGACGGAATGGGCTGGAGAAGAGGCCTCTCGGCGACGGATAAGTCGATATTCCGCCAGATCGGCCTCTCGGTCGGACCGTGAAAGATACGGGAGACGCGCGATAGGGAGACGGCAGAGGGAGCGTCTAGGTGGAGGGCGATCTGCGTGATGATCTCGAGGGGGAGGGAGGAGAGGGCGGTGGTACGTCGAGGAGTGGTGTGAAGGGAGGATAGGGGATGCTGTGCGATCAGCAATGTCTCAGAACGAGTGGCTAATTGAGGTAGTTGCAGATAGCTCTGACTAGAGACTATCGCTGCTGACGTATCTCCCTAGAGTCTCCCGCGTCCTGAGAAGACTCATGAAGTGATTGATCGCGATCAAACATACCGGTAAGATATCTGACATTTTGCGCACACAAGATCCGCGGAGAGATCTGCCTTGCAAGCTCAGAATGATCGCTCAGCTATGTCGTCAGCTAGCTCTATGACGACAAGCCGCACACGTGCAATGGCAGCCAAGGTATGCGCGGATGTACCGTACACAGGAGAAGTACGAAAGGAGATCAAGCTCAAAGAGACCGCCATTAAGCAGGTCGGCAAAACCTCGGAGCTCATGAGGCTCCACATTCCTCAAGACCAGCATTAGAACAGTCTTTGTTCAACGTTCAACTGGGAGTCCTGGACTCTGAAGCCATGCATAGATAAGGAGAGGAGTCCAGCAATTCTGTCAAGGTGGCGATACATTTTGCCAGTAATCTATAGGTGTCAGTGTCCACAACAGAGAGGCGCAGAGGGAGTCTCACAGTTTCCCGGTATGTACGGGCAGATCTCCGCGAGGATAGAGCATAAGGAGCAGCTGAGATGTCATCTGGTAGCCCTCGCATGCAAGCCGGAGCATCTGGCCTGAGTTGCTACTCACCTGTATTATGCCCACTACTGCTCGCGTGTATCATCTCCCCACCGACTTCCTAGCAACCTTGCTGCCAAGCCGATAACACCGCCCATCCCGCTTCTCCAACCTCTACTCCCCTTCGCTCCCATTGGACAATGCTCGCGCCTTCCGCCACTCTCATCTCCTCCAGTACACTCAAAGGTACCACTGCCGCGTCCAGGTCGGTGTAGTCCCACCAGCCCAATTCCCCATCCCCAAACGTTCTCGTCTGCCGCTCTTCTTCCGGGGAACGAGGGAAGATGTAGCCTTGATCGGCGGCGTTTGCGAGGTCCAAAGAGCGGTACATCATTGATCCTGCGCCCATGAGCCGGAGGTGTAGGATCTCTGATCCGGCGTGGTGATAGGACCAGACCTCGCCGATGGGTCTCTCCTTGTCCCCGCCGGAATGGAGGTTGACGAAATCGTCCAAATCCGGGGGAAGATCGAGGTATGTCGACGAGCGGAAAGTGCGAAGCCTGGGCGACTCGTGCAGCCGACGAGCCAATAATGAAAGCATAGGCCACGCGCTCGTCGCTTCGCACGGGTCCAGCTCGTCGAACTCGTCGAAGTAGTAGTGCTCGTCCGGCGAAAAGTAGATAGTCTCGATCATGGGGAATGCCGGTAGTTGTTCGATCTAGGTGTCAGTCCGTGTCCGCAGACCTGGCGGTCCTCATAAAAGCTTACTATGACCGACCACGGGATATCGTGGAATACGAGAAGACGTAATCGTAAGAAGCCCACGTCCCTTAGGGAGTTGACGTCGTCAACGAAACCCTGGGCATCATACTCCCAATGCAGGTATTCCAGCTTAGTCAAGCCATGCGCTGTCTCGACGATCGACTTCCGTTGCGCATCCGTGCGAGAGTTGGCGTGCACGGACAGCCGCTCTATATTCGGGCTCCAGCGCAACAGCTTGTGGAGCGGATGATCCCGGTCGGGATTATCTCCTGGCCACCCGTGGGAGAAGCGGATCCGCATAGTCGAGATACTGGTAGGCGGCACAATCACCGGAAAGGAGGGTCCGCCATATTGGTTCCACGATAGAGCGTTGTCCGCCAGATTATAGACATCATAGATGACGTCGACGAAGAGGCACCGTAGATTGGGCGATGCCTGGACCAGCAGGAGTGCGAGCTCGGCGAAGCGGATGGCATTTGGTCCAATGTGGAGTTCCGTGAGGAAGGGGAAGGAAAGGCCGCGATCAATAGATTTGATTTCGAGACTTTGGTGGTGCTTGGGCGGCCTCCAGTCGTCTATGAAGTCTGTCTTAGCTGACCGCTCGATAACGAGCCGCCGAAGGCTGCTGGACGCCATCTCCAAGGCGTAAAGCATTCCATCCACCGCTCCGGGTCTTGGTTCCAGGAAGACCTCCTGCACCATACGCCAGCGCTTCTCATCCGCCCGCATATGTACCATGGCCACCTTCGCCTTGATCGCGACCTGGTGTAACTCCTCCCCCTTCCACCATGCACGCTCTTCCCTGTCCGACAGAGACACGCGGGGGCTGATTTCAGGAGGAAAGGTAGAGGGAGAATGACCGTGGTTGGGGTTGAGTTTGAGGTCAAGCCGCTGCCAGATGACCTTGTCGCAGAAGGGTGCGAAGACCGAGCCGGTACGCGCGAGCGCCAGAGCCGAAGGACGATCGACGAAGTCGAAGACGAGGTTGAGAAGTTCGCGTGGAAGAGTGATGAGGCTAGGAGGGGATGAGAGGAGATTGAGACGCTAAGAGTATCAGCTGAGTGCTGATTATGGCAGTGGTAGAGAGGGTTGGACGAGACAAGCTCGAGACGAAAATATATGAGAGCTTACGGGCACATCGATCAAAGACATCCCAGCTTCTCGGGGCGTTCGACAACGCGTTGATGAGCTACAAGTCTCCAAACTCGCAATGCCCGCCTCGTTGCGAAGCTTCGATGGGTTTGACCACTTCCTAGGACTTGGGGTGTGAATACCGAAGGAAAGCTAATGAGGAAGAGTTGAGAAAGCTGTGGCTGCCGGAATTGCTGCTACTATATGAGACAACGAGGAATGTGGAGTTGGAGCTGAGCGCTGATTGTCATAAGCCGCAGAACCGACGCAGCGATCACAGAATACAGTAAAGACTATAAGAGAGTAGAGCTGCAATACACGGAGTCAACTAAAGCGACAGTAAAGCCAGAGCGACATTACAAGTACTGAGGTGATTGCGCATCTATTTGACATCCACTTCGGATCGAGCCAGACCCACCCTGAACGTTCAGCGCCGCCGTCTAAAGCCATATCCGGAATCTCGAACAACTCACTAACGCGGGTCTTACTTCCCACCCATTCCTGACTGACCGAGCGCCTCTAGTCCGCTCTCCAGGCTCCACGTTCTCCAAAACCCCAAATTGAGCCCCTCGTCCCGTCTCCATTCCTCCTCGTCGAGCGGCGCAATGTGCCGTTACGTCTCGCCAACCCCGCCTTGAATGCGAAATCCATCACCTGCTATATCAGCTCTTACCATCACCTGCACCAGGCCAATCAGGATCACTCACTTGTAGTACACGCCTACATTATAGCCATTGGAAGACGTCCCCCTGATCCCCTTCTAGCCAGACCGTCCCGTACCGCCACTTCCCCTCCACAGCCGACCTTCCCCACCCGCTAGAATCTCTCGCCCGTCCAACTCCCCCAGCGGCTCCGCCACTTTTCCCTCGAATCCCACCTCAAACCCGCAACCCGTCCCTCCAGTCCTCCAAAATCTTCCACGTTGGCGCCGGCACCTCAACTCCCCGCTGATACCAATCCGCCTTGCCCGCTTCCTTTCGTCTCATCTGACCCAATATGGCCATCGGCACCACTTGCCCTTCCCAGTCGGTGAAATCCTGCCAGCAGGTGCGCCCTGGAAGAGCTGGCTCGCTCCGGATAAGCGGCACCCACTGGACGACCGGGACACCGTCTCCGCCGTATGGCATCTCTGTCGATTCGCGCAAGAGTACACGCAAGTGAAGCATCTCGCTCCCATTGTGGCGGAATGACCGAACGAATCCGGTATATGGCGTCTGCCCGTCCGAGAAAACGGAGAAATGATTCCACCCCTCGTCGGATCGGGTGAGAGCCGTGTTGTCGGCGATGAGGATGTACCGAAGACGAGAGCAGTCACGGAGTCGGGCCGCGAGATGCGAGGGAATGCTCTGCACTGGACATGGAGCGAGGAAGGGGATATCATTGACTGTGTTTGCCGCAGATTCTAGGGAGCAGTCAAAGCCAAGGACTTCGACATTTGGGCATGCAGGGAAGTCCAGAGCCTGCGGTCGATCAGCGTCGCGCTTCAGCTGTTAAATGCTTTCAGGTGCTTACCAGGTTCAAGTTAACTCTTACATCAACGACGATCTGGCTGAGAACCGGTGTTTGCAGCAGTGGTACGTTGCGACCGAACAGCGCAGTGTGCGACGTGTAATGCAGGCGAGCTAGGAGGGGTAGTATGGCCAAGGGCCTCGGACCGGCGTGCCGTTGCAGCTCGAGATCTGGCATATCCATGACCAGCACCTCGAGCAGAGGACTGTGATTGAGGATAGCAAATATGACTTTGCGCATGCGCGTGATAGACTCCTCCTCTTTGGATCGCCAGTCATGGTAGATTTGTAAATTCCGAAGTTTGGTGCTTCCGGTGAGTGCTGGGTATTGAGGACCAGCGTGTCCGGCGGTGTCGGAGAGATGGATGTCGAGCACCTCGAGGTTGGGCGCAGCGCTGAGCATCAACAGAACGAATTCTGCGTTACACACACATGCTTCGCCCAGATTGAGATAGCTCAGCCGCAGGAGCGAGAGGCCGGTGTCCAGGACACGACTGTCGAAGCTGGTACTCCACGTCCATGACCCGCCATCTATTCTTAGTCGCCGGACCGTCGATGCGGCAAGAGAAAGGATCCGCATTGTTGCGTCGTCGGTTTCGGTGCGGATGAGGATAGATAGGCACTTGATGAGACCCTTGCGGCGACCATCTATCCGTTCCAGGATCGTGTCCAGAAGCCTCGCATGCGCCTGCTTCACACGCGCTTCCCGCTCCTCAAAGGAGGTATATTGCGAATCCGAAAAGTCCCTCCACCGGTCGGTGGCTGCGACAACCTGCCAGATGCGATGATCCGCGATGGACGTGAGAGCCGAGGAAGCACAGGCGAGTGAGAGTGCAGTGGGCAGGTCGAGCTGTAAGACGATATTGAGGAGGATCTCGGCGGGGAGGGAGGTGAGGGAGGCAGGTGCGGGCAAAGTGGGCGCCTGGACGGTTAGCTGAGTCGCACAACCGCGCCTTGTACGCAGCGCGTATCTATCAGCTTGGAAGGACTGACAGGCATCTTAGACATTGTGACAGGACGCTTGTAGCGCGGAACGGGGTGATGAGGTGCGAGATTGGCAGGGCTTTAGAGAGTTGTGTTGAGGGGAGCCTAGGGGAGGGGGAGATGTGGATGAATGCTTTCTTGATCGGGATCCGGCTGCAGCGATCAGTTCTCGCTGCTACGCAGACTTACTTTAGACGCTGATACCTTAGACTCTCGATCAGTGCGCCAAAATCTCAATTGATATCGAGGGTGTAAGGAGATAGAGAGGAGATGCGAGGCGAGAGGCGCAGGGTCGCATGGAGAAATCTGGAAATTTTATTAGAGGAATGTGGAGTTCAGTTTCGGTGGCTTCGGAGACGTCGAGGAGCTAGTCGAGCGGAAAGAGAACAGTCGGACCCCATGTAATGTGGCCACCGCATTAGTCTGACACTGACATTCACATAGTATGGATACATTGCCATACAGATCAGGCCGGCCCTGACAGCTACAGTATTTCCGTACACTCAAGGCTCGCGCGCCGCTGTCAGACTCAAACGGATTGAGAAAGAGGAAGGAGCTACATAGGACTATGGCGGATCATACTGCGGCGACAGCTGTTCGTCAGCTTTAGCTAGAGTCTCAGCCTCATTGAAAAAATAGAAACGTACACCTGTAACTCTTACAGCTGTTCATGACGCCCCCAAAGACACCTCATCCCCCAGATTCCCTCGGAACCGTCTTGCCGCGACCCAACGAATCTCTGTACCAATCTGACGATCAGCTTACATCGCGTTGCCAGGTGGTCAAAGCGCTCATAAGATCCTTCTCTCCTCTAACTTTGAGCGTCCCTTGGAGCTCGTGACCTTGGTCATTTCCTGAAATTAGCCAAGTCCACTTGCAAGTTTCAAGTCAACGCTCACCTGCTTGCGCTCGTAGCACAGCTCGTATCCGCTCGACCAGCACCGCCCTGATGGCGTATCGGTACCTGATCTGTTAGCTCGGACTTAGAGCTATGTCCTCGCTTGCGGGATGTACCTTGATCTTGTGCGCTGTCCCGCGAATCTCCCTCGGACTAGCGCGTGTGACCCTCCCTGATAGCCATGTCAAGTCTCCATGAAACCTGCCCAGTCAGATCAATCCTCATCTCGCGGATAGAGACTCACCAGGACTCGCCGCAATTGCTCCAGATCTACGCCGCCGCTACACCGCCGCCAACCTCGCCCGCTCCGCCTCATGCCACTCGTCCACCAACTTCCACGCCTTATTCCCCAGCTTGACTCCTCTCTCCTCCCACTCCCTCAGATCCAGCCCCTCCACCTTTCGCATATCCTCCAGCACTTCTAGCGGCACCGCCAGCCCTTCGAAGAACGTGAAGCTCTGCCACGTGGCCTGCTTCTGCTCGAAGAAGAACCGATTCTTCTCCACGCCAACCCGATCCGTATACTTGATATCCCATACGCTGGGCTCGTTGTCGAGGTCGAAGTACCGAAGCGTGGGCAGTACGCCCGGCGTCACTTCACTAGCACTGAGAAGCATCTGAGCGTGGAGAATCTCCTGCCCTCCGTTGCAGCAAGACGAGATGACTCCGTTATGCTCGCCGATCGCCTCGAGCTCGTCTAAGCGGTCGAAGAGGGTGATATCGCCGGAATTGAACGTCTCGCGGAGGGTGTGCAGGATGTGAAGGTGTGGACACGCGTAGAGCTGCTCAGCGAAATCCGGCAGCATCGCTTGAGCGTGAGCCGGATAGGTGGCGGGATTGGCGGAGGGTGACATTGGAAGGCGCGACCTGTAGGACCCATCGAGGTAGACTCTTTCGAACCGGCCAGATAGGAGGCGAATCTCTTCCGACGTAATCGACCGATAGCTGAGTGAGACGAGGGCTCCGCTTCACCAGGTCCGCGAGGGTGTATGACCACTCGTCCTCTCCGACCTCCCCGCGAGAGAAGCAGTGGATACGGAGACGTTCGAGGCTGGATGTTGCCGAAAGTAGACCTCTGACGAAGCTGGCCGAAGACCAGAATGCTGGAATAGGTTCGGAT